AAGTCTGTATTGACAGTTAATTGATTTACACATGAATATATCTAAAAAGAAAAATTAATATATATGCTAGGTACCTAATTCAAGTAAATATATTATAAGCACTGAATATACATTTATAGTGATGGACAGGCATGCAATTTTATCTATCTCGTATAGTAAGTTCAGAATACGATAGTTATAAGCCTTCTATAATGTAGACGATTTAATATTCTCTATGATTTGAATGCGAAATTATCCCGATTTCCGAGTTTTATTTTCGATATTAAAAAATATTACATACACTCAAAAAAGGAATTGAGCGAAAGAAATTGGAATACAGTAGTGTTTTAAAGCCTTTATAAATAAATTGATATTTGCCACTGAAAAGAAAGAAAATCAATCTATAGATTAGATTTGGTTATTACATGTATATTTGATAAAAAGGTTAAATTATTTATGACACATGATCTATACTCTATATACCCAAGGAATTAAAAAAGACGATTCTTGAATTCTTGTGAAATACTCAAAGAGTTAAAAAAAAAATATGTGAAAACGCGATCCTGTGTGAAATAATGGTACGCTATATGTTTCTTTTGAAAAAAAAACATGATAAAAAAATTGCACAGGTCTCTTGATATGTGGGATAAGTATACCTGAATGAACACATTTTTATGCAGTGATATATAATTATGTATATGCAGCTGACGTCCGTACTTTTCCTTATAATTCATAAAACATAAAACTATCTAATTCCTTTGAAGCCTCCTCCCCCCCCCCCATCTTGATTAATATTTGGAGACGTTCGTGCAGCTAGGCATTTGAATTATATATTCGTTTTAGATTTAAATCTGGAACATGTGAATATAATTACCATTTACATGTATACAGAATTTCATATTCTATAATGGTAGATTTGTCATTATGAAATGTTCAATTTACGTCTGAGAGAGGGGGGGGGGGAGAGAGATTCCCTCTTAATCCCGATCCTCCTATCCATTTACATAGACCAAAAATTAGTTCTGTATCGGTCACACCCATTCTTTATTAAATGTTTCCTGATTTCAAAGTCAGTCATGGTCACATCCTGTATATTTTTCAGCTTAAAAAGTATCACACGAAGTGCACCTGTGTTGACCTGTCAATCAAAATCACTTGACGCTGTATTCACTGCAATTAAGTAGCCTGGGTTCGAAATGATCTTGAAGTATGATCTTTAAGTAAATCTGATGCAACAATCTTGTGAAAAAATAAAATAAAAAATAAAATATCTCGGTATTATGAACTTCGATTGTGGGACGTGGAGACCGGTCCTTTGGATGAGATCGTATAAATCGAGGTCCCTTGTCGCAGAAGGTGCTGGCATAAAAAAGATTCCCCACTGCTCAATTTGCGATAAGTGCCAAAGTATAGGACAAAAATTTGCAGTCTCCACCTGCGAGTGGTGGCGTCTCCATGTAAGTGAAAAATTCTCGAGAGGGACGTTAAACAACATACGTATAATCAATCAATCAATAAATCGATTGCTGAAGAATTACTGTAATTGAATAATCTGTCTTAGAGGTATGCCGTCAAATCTTGATATTATAACTTTACAAAACTCAGTGACTTTACGTTTAGTGTGATACTAACTTAATTCATTATATTTTTTTATAACACCATCACAATTATGCCAAAATATACACACAATGAAGTTTATAATAGTACGGTGTTCGTTCGTCTGTTTGTTTGTCTTAGAAATGATTGCAAACAATTTTTTTTTTTAAATTGCTAATGATATACGTTTATCTCTTATAGGTGCCAAATGTAATATACAAGATTGATAATGAAAATCAAAGTACCTTAAGTACTGAATGAACTTTTTCCAGTTATTTTTTTTCTTTCACAGTAAATATGATATGTATGTTTTTTACACAGAAAAAAAGCAAATTCTTACATATTTAGAAGAACGGAAGACTTTTTTGTTGCCATGGCAACAAGAGTCTAGTTATTATTATTTTTCTTCCTGGGTACTTTTTTGTCCGTGAGTGATCTCCGAAACTATACATCTGATTGAGTTGAAACCTTTTTAGGGTTAGTAGGAATGTTATGTAGATTTGCGGAACGAAGGTCATTCTGCGCGCACGTGCATGCACGTGCGTGCGCGTGCAATGAGTAAAATGACCAATATACTTGATATAGCCATAACTTTCATATCTTTTGATGAAATACTTTGATACTCAGAATATAAGGATATATTAATAGTGTAGACAAGATGACATGGTCAGAATGTACATGCATGCACGTGCGCGCATGCGCATTGATTGAAATAACCAATACAATTGATATAGACTTTACTTGTACATTTTTTGATGAATTGCTTTGAAACTCAGAATATAAATATATATTAGAAGTGTAGACAAGAAGACTTGATCAGCGCACACATGCATGCACGTGCGTGCACGTGCGTGCGCGTGCAATGAGTAAAATGACAAATATACTTGATATAGCCATAACTTTCATATCTTTTGATGAAATACTTTGATACTCAGGATATCAGGATATATTAATAGTGTAGACAAGATGACATGGTCAGAATGCACATGCATGCACGTGTGCGCATGCGCATTGATTGAAATAACCAATACAATTGATATAGACTTTACTTGTACATTTTTTGATGAATTGCTTTGAAACTCAGAATATAAATATATATTAGAAGTATAGACAAGATGACATGATCAGTGCCCACATGCATGCATTTGCATGCACGTGCGTGCGCGTGCAATGAGTAAAATGACCAATATACTTGATATAGCCAGAACTTTTACATTTTTTGATGTAATGCTTTGATACTCGGAATATATAGACATATTAAAAATGAAGACAAGACGACATTGTCAACATGCATATGCATGCACGTGCGCGCGCATGCAATGCTAAAATGACCAATATACTTGATATAGCTGTAACTTTTATACTTTTTGATGAAATGATTTGATACCCAAAATATGTAGATATATTAATAGTGTTGACAAGATGACATGATCATCATGGACATGCATGCACGTGCGCGCACTTGCAATGCGTAAAATGATAGATATACTTAATATAGCCGAATTTTTTTTTATCTTTCAATGAAATTTGAATATAAAGATGTATTAAAAGTGTAGACAAGTTGACATGGTCATTTTGTACATGCATGCCCGTGCGCGCGAGTGTAATGCGTAAAAAAAACCCCAATATACTTGATTGCCTCATTTAATGAAGCTTACAGGGAATAAGACACCAAATGGAAGTTGGGGAGCGTTTGGGGAACATCTGTAACGGTCCCCGTTACAATTAATACTAGTTTAGATAATTATACATTTTTAACATTCGTTGTACAAACTATAATTCCCAATAAAGATAACCTAGGCAAATAATATATCACAATATTAGAAGAGAAATCGAATTCTTTAGAAAGATGATTTGTCTGTTCAGCATGCATCCATGACTTGAATTACATTTAGGTCGTTGAGCATTTATATATACGACCTTTAAAAAATTTCAGTAAGATAAAAATCGGGCGCACAGTACTGGATGAGCACTATTTCCCGGACACTTTTTTTCCCTTTTATTGAGTCTGGAAATAAATTCTCAATCATCCAATTCCACCTTTGTGTAAGAAAAAGCATATATAAAGAGACATTTTGCAAGCGTTATCAATTATAATATACGTCTAATTAGTTGATCAGCATGCATCTATTGTTACTCTTTACAAGCTTCATTTGAATACAAAGGATACTATTTTAAACAATTTGAAAGCTTTTTCATATTAGCGAACATTGTGTCTTTGTATTTATCCAGGGGATCCAGAAATTTGAAAAGGGAGGGGGGAACATTAAAAAAAAAGGAAGGAAGGAAAGGGAAAAAACAAAACAAACAGATAAAAACAGCAAAAAAGTAAAGAAGCCTATCTAAAAAGGGGGAACTAGTAAGTTGATAGAACTTGTTTCTGATCCTTTTGATTGTCAATAAAATATGTTCAAAACAAATAAACACGCACTCTTTTCAATACTATGTTCATAGTCCTCAAAGAAAAGGGGGAAGGGTATAGGATAATCTGCTGTTCAAGAAGTTCATGATTGATTACTGGTTGAGAGTCATTGAAATTACATCGATTTAAACACTATGATATTTTGTGTGAACCAATTGTAAGTTCAAGTATATACTAGTTGAAAAATTTGCTTAGAGGTTCCACACATTTACCTCATTTGATTTAAATAAAAAAGTGGCTTTTCAACACAAAAATAAAATCTATTTCTTTAATATTCTTATTTTGGTTTTAATTGTATTTAATAATAAGGCGCATTTAACTGTATTTACCCCATTGTTGTGATTATCCAGTTAATAATTGATCACTGAAAGTTAACGTCTCAGCGAGACATTTTCATTTAGACGTCAGCAGCTATGTATAGAAGAAGTAATTCTTAGAGACTTATACGCATAGAGTAAGCTAAGGACCATCACCAGTGCAGGGCAGTTCTACAGTGTGCCGCCAGCATTTACTGGTCCAACAGTTTTATGCTCTCTTTCAAAAGACCTAAAGTCCATATTAAGATAGTATTTTCATGTTATCATGTCCAGTGTCTGTTTATAAAGCGAAAATGAGCTAGAACGGCTCCTCTAACATCACTGTTCGCTTGATCGCTGGATTAGATGTTCTCAAGAGTAAAACTTGAACAGGTCGAATGGTATGGATGGCGCTTAAGTTGGCAATTAACCCAAGCAGAAAGGATGAAAATGCAATACGTTCAAGATAGTTCTATACCTTGTGGCATACCACTGAAGTTTAGGAAGTGGGGTTGCGATGATGAAATGCTGCCCATATACAAATGTCTTATCTAAATACATGTAATTAACCAACTGCTGGCAACACTTATACATGTTTTAGACTAAATAATGTATTCCACGACATATCCCTTCTTAATGCGTTCATGGAATGAATCATAAAATGCTTCGATTAGGTGTTTATCTTTCATTCCAAAGTCACGGCTATCATGGAAAAGAAGCATTGTAAATGGCTGCAGATTGACTCATTAGTATGTATGACAGTGGTGATTTTCGGTATTGGATCTTGGATCGACATTAACGGACTGTGGGCAGAGTCCCCACTACTGATCACACATGGACGTCTTCCCGAGGGATGGAAACTAGTGTCCTATATTTCTATCATAACTCAGATAGCAAACATTGGACCACTGTTCGTAACGCTCATGCGCACTAAAGCTCCAGGAAGGCTGAGTGATACAGTCGTCGTTTATGTCATCCTGGGAATCGGGTGCATTGCTTGTTTACTGCTGGCGTTCTTCTGGGATTCGACAAGTCACATTGCTGGTGTTGAAAGAAGTACGTGGTTACTGACGCTGACAGGGTTTCTGGCTCTTGTAGATTGTACAACTTCAGTGGTTTTCTTGCCATTTATGGTCAAATTTCAAGAAATTTATCTCACAGTTTATTTTATTGGTGAAGGAATGAGCAGTCTGGTGCCAGGAGTAGTTGGTTTCATTCAAGGAAGCGGGTCATATTCTTGCCAAAACATATCCGTCATCAACTCAACTACTAATCTAACTAACTATATAATTCAACTAGAGTTTCATGACCCTGTATTTTCCGTGCGGGATTTTTTCCTGTTCCTCTCTTGTATGGTCTTTGCAAGTGGAACTGCATTTTCTTTTTTAAATTATTCTAATTATTGCAAGTGTGCCTATGCGTTTAATCATGCAGACAACAAAATATTGGAACATGAAAGCCTTCACCGTTCAGACTACAAGAACCAAAACTCAAAACATTTCATTGCAGTTGAAGAGTTATCCCTAATGGAAAAATCAAACATAGATGCTACAGAAAATTTTTCTGATCGTTCACCAAAATATTACTATTATTTGATAATAACTGCTATTATAAATGGCGTGAAAAATACAGTGTTGCCATCAATAGCCACCTTCTCAAGTTTGCCGTATGGATTACATACATATCATTTGACAGTAATTTTATCTTTGATTGCAAATCCACTGTCTTGTTTCGCCGCTATGTTTTTAACTGTTTCCTCATGTTTCGTTATATCGACATGTACGTCCATCGGCATCCTTTCAGCTGTATACATTATTTACAATGCGTCAGCGAGCCCAACTCCGGTGCTTGTTGGGACATTTGCAGGGGAATTTCTAGTCGTACGTATGTCTTTCAATTTAAAAAATCTTTATAAAAGTTGTGCGAGCAATGAAATATAAAAAAAAAGCTTTGAAGTTTTTGTGCTAAACAACTTTTAGACAAAAAAAGATTTGAGAGGATCAAACCTTAGGATTTTAAGAAGTCCAGTACATGTATTCTGCATGTAAACTAAAGGTTTTCCAACTTCATGTGGTGTCATTGGATTTGAATATTTTTTAGAAATTATTTTAGAAATTATCCTTGAACTTGTAAACTGCATCTCTGTTTCATTTCATTAAATTTCACTTTTCCTATTCAATTATAGGTTTCAAATAATGCAATTTGGAAATAGACAAGAAAGAAAAATACATCTTTTTTTATTTTTGGCTCATTTGATCTGAAAGTCCAAGTGAACTTTTCTGATCACATTTTGTCTGGTGTCCGTCTGTTTCCGTCCGACCGTCTGTAAAGTTTTAACCCTTTTGACTTCTTCGAAAGAACCACTGGACCAATTTCAACCAAACTTGCAACAAAGCATCATTGCGTAAATGGAATTAAAGATTGTTCAATTGAAGAGTCACAGCCTCATCCAAGGAGAGATATTAAGAATGGTGAAAATATGGTGGCATCTTTAAGGAATCTTCTTCTCAAGGACCACTGAGCCAGCAAAGATGAAACTTATATGAAAGCTTTTCTGACATAGTGTATAGATTTAAGTTTTTCAAAGCATGACCTCCAGAGGTGGGGTCGGGCTATAATAGCGATCAAAGATTTACCTAGGAATATATAGGGGAAAAGATCTTCTTAAGAACAGCAAAGCCATTGTAAGTCAAATTTACATGGAGGCTTTCTCAGGTATAGAGTAGAATCAAGTTTGTTCGAACCATTTTTACAGGGGGGAAAGCTCTTCCACAGCAAGGCCATGTTGATTTTAAAGCATCCCAGTGTTGTGTGGATTCAACTTTTATTAGGACAGAGCTCCCGTAGTGCTATATTTAGTTCATTACATGGCATCAAATTTAAAAAAAAATTAAATATAGCGGAAATTTCAAAAAATCCGCTGATAAAGAAGAGCAGGGTCAAAGTGATTCAGGTGAGAGATGTGGCCCAGGGGCCTCGTATTCGCAAATAAAAGGATAATTTCACATTGAAGATTTAAAAAAAAAATAATATTTAGATTTGTTTTTCTATTCTTCCTCAATCCTGGAGACACTTGTTATTTTATATATCAAAATACCATATTTTTGAAAAGCAAAATTGGAGACATTTGGATAATTTAAATATTTAAGCTAATACTCCTTTTCTTCTGAGGACATATTTATTTATAAATGTTTGTGCTTTCCAGATTTTGTCGTGGATACTGGCGAGTATTTTTCTAACTTACTCTGGAGTTTCCGTAGCTAACATCTTCCGCAGAGGAGGACGTAGGGCACTTCTTTGGATTGGCGTAATGCAACAGCTGGGCTCTTTTCTCGGAGCCATTATCACATATTTCTTTATAAATGTGTGGGAATTGTTTGAAAGTGCTCCTCTCTGTTAATTTTTTGACTTAAAAAACTTTTTTAAGTTGTGTTTGGGAGTTATGGTGACGGCCTACTTGATAATTGATTCCTAGAGTTTTTGTTTATTAAATATCGATGTTTGTTTCTATAAATAAATACATTTGTTAGCGATATTCCAGTCTGCTGGATTAAATATTATTTCTTTAACATTTTGAACAAATGTTAAAGATCTTATTTATTACTGAAATTAAAAGAAAAAATTCAAAGTGTATCATGAAATGAATTATTAAAAAAATCATTTTGTATTAATGTATTAATTAATTATCAGTAAATCTCTTACGGAATTGATTCATTTTTCACGAAGAATAAATAACCTTATCTTTACCTGTTACCACGGTTAAAATATAAGGTAATTTTTGTAGTCTTTGAGCAGTACTTGTTTTGCAAGAAGAACGCTTCACTGAGCCCATTGCATTAACATATCCTTCATTCCAATGATCGTTGCACTTACGTTGTTCAAAGGGAGATCATTTGAGTACATCCAGAGTTACCTTATGCAAATTTTAAAAGAATACAACTGAGCATTTGTGAGATAGATATAAATTCGAGATTTCTAGAGGGTGGTGGTGGGTTAATGTTACATATGATAAGGTTACTCACTAAGAGAAATCTTCTGCTTGTTTCAGGCAATAAAAGCAAATGCACGTACATATATCTGAATATACATGCATAGAACTGCAAAATGCAACCTGTGCACATTTGTGCTTCATCAAATTATTCATACTCATTTTAAGTTTCACACATTGATACGATTTTTTTTTACTTAAACCTAATACATGTACATGTATATTCTAATCTTTAAGATATTTTCCTTTCTTCAAACTAATGTGTTACCCGTATAAATCAGAATTGTAACTGAGTTAATTGTCTAGGATCAAAAGAGTTTTAAGAAAACTTATTATTTACAATGTTTGACAGTGCATTCTTTGTAGGAATTAAGATATAGCAATTGCAAAGGTGTGAAAGAAAAAATTGCACATGTCCAGTGCAGTTAAAAAAAAACTGTAAACACACAAAAAGCTCACGATTTCTTTCTGTTGTGAAGAATTTAATACAAGGTCATTGCTGCAGTATTAGAAAAGTAACTGTTTTTTTTTTTTTTTTTTTTTTTTTTTTTTTTTTTTTTTTTTTTAGCCGGAACTCTAGTCATCACGTGACCTGTAACCATCGAAGGCGTTAGAGGACTTATGTAGCAGACACGTAGAATCGGGGAGGGGGGGGGGATTTTTTTTTAAACATTATTATTTACTATTGAAAATGTTCACTGAAAGGCCATCTCAAACTTTTTTTGATTAATCAACAAAAATGCCATTTCTTTGTTTCTATAGTAACTATAAGATTTCTTTCTCTTGAGAGTAGGTCCTTTACTTTGATTGCAGTTCAAATATACTCGTACATGCACATGTGCATTTTAAAAAAATGCCCCGACATTTGACCGAATCAATTAATTCTACAATAAGTGTCTTTTTGAACTCGACTTCATGTACTGTAGACTAATGTGTACATTTCTACGGAGGAGTCAAAAATTTTATTTCCGTGTGATTCTTTCTCGGCTGAATTGTGGAAGCATAATGTGGAAAAATATTCATTTGTTTGTTGTTGCGACTATTTCTAATTTGAAAGGTAATAAGTGTTTAACTTTTTTTATAAAAAAAAAAAATTGAAATTTTCATCACCTGTTTTATTATTATTTTCTTTCTAAGCAAATTGTGTCTTTGTATTATCTAAAGTCCTTTTACATTTGATAGATGATAGATGATGCTGGCAATGGAGAAATTCAATGTAACATGAGTGGAAAATGAATTTATTGTTATATAGTGTATAACTTGTGTGTTTGTTTAAACATGTTCACATATTTCTGATAATGTAACTTTTTATATTTTTTTTCTTTTAAGGTAACTACTTGCAAATATCAACATTCAGGTATCTAAACGACACCAATGGAAACATAACGTCTCCCGGATATCCTGCAAACTACCCAAATAACGTAAATTACACTTGGGTCATTTCAACGGGATTCCAACTGGCCAAAATTTATTTTTCCATTCCTGACTTCGATATCAAGAAACACGACTATTATCCCTGTGATGACTACCTTGAGGCATGTTTTTTTTGTTTTTTAAAAATTATTACATGCATTAACGATGATGTTTTATTGGTTGAAAAAAAAATGTTCGTATAAAGAAGATGGGCGAAAAAGGTGTGCAGATTGCCTATAGCTTCAGATGCATAAAAATCATATTCAATTTGAAATATTAGTATTTAGAGTAAAGTTCTTATTATTGAAATTTATGAAATAAAGAGAAACAAAATTTTTCTGCAGAAAATTTTCTTAGAAAAAAATATTTTATTATTAAAAAAAAATAATGTGGTATTTGGGGGGGTTCGAACCCTAGCAATAAAAAAAGCTGGACATTTAAATTTCTTCGAAAATAATACGTTAACCACTACGCTATACTGCTCCTGAGAAGTACATTGTAGTTGCATTTAAATCATGTTTGTGATATGATTGACTAAATGGGCTTCAGGTATTTCTCGGAAAAACACGAATGTTGTGATATAAAAGTGTAATTTTAAGGTATAGTGGGTCTTTGCTCCATGCCTTTGTTAACCAAAAATGTTTATTTTTACGCAAACTTTGAGGATAAACTTTCAAAAAAAAAAAGGGAGGAGACCCACTCATATGGGAAAATTATGTTATAATTGAGAAAATTATCATTTTTGCCTTCTTTGGTGTGTGGATGCTATTTCATAGACAAATAATTTCAATCTGATATTTTTGCATATTGTGGAGATTTTTCATAAAGTATACATTAATGTTTGATGAAATATCAAAGAAAATATTGTTATAATTGAGATTTACTGGTAATTCTAGAGCTTCATATGCAGTTTGGTCACCGTTCGCCCAAATTTTACTTAAATGAATTTGTATATCATATATTTTAAAAATAATTTTGAAAATTGGCGTGATATCTTTAACTAAATAGCAATTCAACAAAAGTTTGGGTTTTTTTCCCCTAGATTTATTAGGAACTAATATGTGTATAGTTGTAATGATATATGTACTGTGCATTTCAAACATAATTTCCTTTTAACTTGTGTACAGCATCTTCATAGGTAATCATACTTGCAGCTCCATACAGCATGCAGATAACTATTTTTCAAGGTATTGGAAACTACTGTATTTTGATTTTGAATGAATATATTTTTAGATCAAGGAAATAGAACCGTGCTGCCATACTCTTCTACACAGATGTGGCAAAGAAAGTATAAATATAATTGCTACGGGACGGATGATACGGATTTCCTTTATAACCGATGACAGATTTACTGCGAAGGGGTTTTCAATGTTTTGGAATGGTATTATTTTTTTTGAAAGATTAAGACTACAATTCAAATCAAAGCAAACGCTACGAGAAGCACTAAAAGACACTCACACACTATAAACTCCTACCAACCCATGCACGAGTCGAACAAGTATAGCAGATACATGTAACTTTCTTTTAACGTGTAATTTAGTACGTGTAAATGTTTTAAAATTTCCCCCCATGTTTTAAAGGGCTATTGGATGGAAAGCCCTTTAACTTTTTATTCCTAAAAAGTTACAGAGATATATCTCTCTCTTAGCGAAAGAGATATCTCTCTGACTTTAAGAGATATATCTAAGTAAAAGAAATATACATGAATCTCTCTTTAGTCTTAGTGAAAGAGATATCTCTCTGACTTAAAGAGATATATCTAAGTAAAAGAAATATACAATGTACATGAATCTCTCTTTATTCTTAGTGAAAGAGATATCTCTCAAAGTAAACGAGTTTTCTCTCTAAGTGAAAGAATTTTCTCTCTAAGTGAAAGAATATCTCTTTTTAAGATAAACATATCTGTAAGTAGACAGATATTTTTCTATTTATAGAAAAAAATATCTGTTTAAAATAAAAGATATCTCTGTAACTTTAAGAGATATCTTATTTTATAAATAATAAGGCTTGTCATGCTGTTGGTACGTTGCAGTTTGAGACGGAACAAGTTGTTTGGTACCATGAGGGAAATGAATATCATTTGAAATGCATCTGTGTAAACATTAATTCTTGATTATATTTAGATTTTTTCTATGCTCAAAACAATGTGCAACATAATGTATCATGTTTATATACTGCCGGTTTTATGATTTTATTTTGGATCAAAAGATAATTTTTATTACAACTTCTGAATAGACCAAATATCGTGAATCACAATTAGGGAATACTTCAGTTTGATCATCTTGAATAAACGTGAATACACCAACTAAAATTTTATTTTAAAAAATAAATTTTCATTAAATTAAAATATTTCTTAAAGTCCATTTAAATAGTATTGAATTTTTAATGAACTTTTAGAAAACTTGACTTTTCAGTTTCTTTTCCTGGTGTCCCAGAACGAAATACGGTTAAAACAACGTTGACAGTAAAACAAATGCCGTGGACAACAAACAGAATACCAAAAACAACAACGATAACAAAACTAAAGCCAGGTCCACCAGTTCTAGCGACAACAACAATGATGATTATTAAAATACCAACAACACACACAACAAGGATGGGGGAAAGGCCATCAGCAATAAAGACAACACACAACAATATGCTAAAGAAACAAATAACGTCAAAAACTGTGTCAATCAAAACAACAAGAAAAATAAAAGCGACAAGCCTGACAAAAACTGCTTCAACAGAATTAGCAAGAGTTGTAGAATATGAAATAACTTTAGCGTTCCTTGAAACAAAGTTGAGAACAGGTTACTACACCAAAGTGATGGTGAAGGGCCTGAACGCAGAATCATCAACAGAAGTCAATGTCCTTATAGGTAATTATAATTTTTTTTTCTATTCATTTTCTTTAACAAAAATAAGTACAAACACAGAAATATTTACTTATGCATATGCATTATTCTCTTTTGAAGATGGCAGCTATCCAGAACCCAAAGCTCCAGAAAGCACTAGCTTAAATATCTGTGAGATTTATATTTATTTTATTTCATCATTGTTGCAAACCACGACCAAAATGTAGGATTCTCTCCCATTTCCGGGTAGGAAAGAGATTAGTCTGCGGACTTGGGACCGTGGTTTGAGACGAATCCTATATATATAATTTCTAAAATTCAGATAATTCATCTCAATTCTTTAATTTTTTTCTCCCCCTTTCTAAGTAGTTTCACTGAAGTAATATTCTTATAAAGAATATGAATAAGTTTATAACCGAATAAAATAACATGTCTTTATAAAAAGAAAATTAAATACTTGATTTAACTTGATTGCTTGAAGTATGAACTTTTTTTGTCTATATATCTTTAGATGCTGTTTTCTTTGCGATTACATCAACAACTACTTTACTTCTTGTGGTCCTGATATTATTCAGAAAGAAAAAAATCAGGTAGAAATAATTAAACAAATCATTTTTTTGTGATTTTTTTTCAATATGCTTTTAATTATTTAAATCAGAGACATAAATAATAATTTACGTCTCTGTTTAAATACACATTTATTCTTTAAAATGGATTGATTATAGGTTTCCCCTTAGTCGACGTCGAACAGTACAAACCGCATCTACATCAGGACACGATACACAGGAGGACACATATGCCCACTTACAGAAATCCAGAAAAACGTGCTCTGATACATACGGAGTAGATCGCATGGATCCAGACGACGCATACTTAGATATCATGTGCATGAATTCGGGGAGTGGACAACATTATAGAAGTACAGATGAACTACAGAATAACGATTATTTACAAGCATGCTTTGGTAATAGGACGGAATCGAAAACATACGTGGAAATAGCGGAGTGTTATGTCTAATAAGTAAACACCAACATAATAACAGCAATAAAATGGGAAGAAAATGTTCAGCAAGTTTGTTATTTTATTAAATTCCTTCCATACATTTCTCAATTTTGCGAGAAGCACTCTTGCTAATCATAACCATGCACTTAGTTTGCCTGCTAAATATCCAGTGGCAGAGATCTTCAAGTAATTAAGGCATTTTCAGTATATCATCGACAGACCCCATCCTAACACCAGAACCCTTGACAAATCAAGTTTGTCCGCTTAATACCCTGCAGGCATGTTCACGAACCTTTCCTAAGATACGTCCTAAGATTGTTCCTAAGATATGACTTAGGAAGATAGTTAGGAACATCCTAAGGTCAACTTAGGACATATCATAAGATGTAGCTCGACGGTATCTTAGGAACATCTTAAGTTAGGATATCCTAACATACGGTGAATACTATTGTTTCTAAATACATATAAAATTTGGGAGACATTTGCAGCCAAAAAAACTTCTGTATTACATAACAAAAATTTATCCATTTACATGATGATTTCAGTATAATTTTAATGTTTACATCTTTAATTAGAATTATAAATGAAATATTTCATACCCCATGTAAGTCGCAACGAAACAGCGATTTTTTTTTTCTATCAAAGTGAAAGATTTTTATTTTAAAAACGGTGTTTCAGCAATAATCTACAATATGTTGGATAACTCAAAAGATAAAAAATAATCTTGAATTCAGTAATTTACCACAATGAAGCTTATGATATGACGTACAGTATTATAAAAGTCTGAATTATTTTTTGAAGAATAAACGGATAAAAAAAATGAAATGCAGGGTTCGAAAACATGTACTATAGTATTCAACCAGGGAAATGTTTCTTAATTTTAAAGGCAATGCTTAATGCTTAATCCCCGAGTCTTGGAACTCTCAACAGTTTTAAAATATGTAAATCAAAACAATATACCCCGATTTACTTATATCAAGGCGATAGATAAAAATAATAGAATTTTCACTTTTGGTCCCTTAAACATAAAACTTGTATGATTTTTTTTTATCGGGAGAGGGGATGGGACTGACCCCACATTATTTTTCCGAAAATAGTCTCTTACTGTTAATTTAATATGGATTGTTTTTAAAAGGCTGTTCCCCCACTTTCTTTTGCAGTATGGACGAGCCCCCCCCCTCCCCCCCCCCATTACATGTAAGAAGGTTTTTGAGTGCGAACAGTTTCTTTTCAGCCCCCGTGACCCCCCCCCCCCCCCGGGTTCCTACGGCCATGTCAGCTAATACGCAGACTGTTGAGGAATGCGAAATTGTCGTTTATACTTGCGATACTCAGAAAAATAACCATCACCACAAACTTAGGATGATCTTAGGATATGATTTATGTTATCCTAAAGTTAGGACAAACTTATGATGAGGTCCTAGATTTAGGAAAGCTTCGAGAAACTGACTTAAGACTAAGATATTTCCTAAGACGTTCTTAGGGACACATCGTAGTCCTAAGAGGGACACATCGTAGTCCTAAGATTGCTTTGTGAACATGCCTGCTGGATCAGATAAGATTTTCAAAGAAATTTTGAAAACATTTTCTCTAAATGATCAACAGAGCCCTGCCCTAACACCAGAATCCCTGACTCAGCAGCCAAATTTCTAAATTTTGGAAGAGGCACTCTCACTCATCATTTGCACTTCACTTCATGATCAACAGACCCCGTCGTCACACCAGAATCTCTGACCCGGGGGGGGGGGGGCATAAATTTCACAATTTTCTAAGAAACACTTGTTCATCATAACCTTGCACTAAGTTAGTCTGCTAAAGACTCAGGAGCAGAGAAATTTTCAAAGATTTACTAGTAATGCAGTTTCACTATTATATATGATCAATAGAGTCCCATCCAAACACAAGAAACCCTGAATCAGGAGCCACAAACAAACAATTTTGGAAGAAGCACCCTTGTTTATCATTTCTTTGCACTTAGTTCCTCTGCTGATATACAATGTAGAACAAAAATTCAATTCATCATATGAGGCTATTTTTGTATTTTTTTGGTATCAAAAAAAATAATTCTTGATATTAATAGTTCCAATTCTTGATATCAAAATTAATTCTGATACCAAGAATTTGAGTTTTTGATATCAGAAAATCATTTTCTTATATCAACAAGAGGCCAAATGGCCTTAACGGTAACCTGAGTACAATACAACAATTTAGAGGATCTACAGAGGGAAAATAAACTGATAAGATGAAGCTTTGTTGTCCATAAGCAGGAGACTTGGGATGCTCAGGATCAACATAATAACTAGTCTAGTTTCTAATGTCCCCCATTTATTACAATCACCATGCAGACTATCAACAAACTATCTATTTTTTAACCCCATATTATTACCTCTCACACTGGCCTCTCTTGCATTTTCCGATATCAGAAAATACTTTAAAAATATTAAAACGGTACCTCATAGGGATAAGTGTTTTTCCATCCTTTTGAAATACACATTAAGTTTGTTTATTCCAGCACAAATTTGCTAAATAATGCATATTTAGACTGAAGTGTTTAAACTTCATTAAGATTAATGAAAATAATGAAAAATTAATGAAAATGAAAGAAAAAGTGAGCAAGCTCACATATCCCACGCTCCCCGAAAACTCGACAATGCAACACGTAATGAATGGCACAGTGCATTTTAAATACACAGTATAATTCAAAAAGGGGCATTACTTGCAAAAAATCATCACATCAAAACTTATTGCATATACGGACATTCAAATCTTTGTACGTTACAAATTTAATTGGGCTTAAGTTTCTAGATAAATAATGGAATCTATACATTATACGTTATTTAAATTCCTGTGATTTCGATTCGTTTATGAGTGTAAGTCTATGTCCAACACATGACAATTTACACATTTAAATAATTGATGGAAACAAAATTATGATGTAGTCATATGAATTTGTTTATATACTGTACTTATGAAATCATTAAAGGCAAAGCAACAATTTGGGGAAGGGGGGGGGGGAGGGGGAGGGGTTGACAACTATCCAAGATTTTGTGCGCGTGTGTGTGTGTGTGCTAATTAAATCATTAATATTTTGATCTCAAAATCAATAGGGATCTGCTGATTCCACTGGATTTCTTTATTACCTAGCTGGAAAGTTTCTTCAATGATAGGCAAAACTCTTAAGGCAAAAATAATGGAATCGGAATTTCCTGGTAATATGCACATCTACACACTGTTTACTAAATATCTGCAAAGTTTGACGAAATTCTGTACAGCGGTTTAAGAGGAGTTGCGCTGACAAACTGTTCATCTCTATATTCAAGATATGGCCAAAAATCTAAGTTGAAAAGTGTTGAAATTCCAAGAAAATATAATGGAATCGGAATTTCCTGGTAATATGCACATCTACACATTGTGTTCTAAATATCTGCAAAGTTTGACGAAATTCTGTGCAGCGATTTATGAGGAGTTGCGCTGACAAAAAAAAAAAAAAAACAGGACTGACTGACTGACGGACGGGTCAAAAACATTATACCCCCGCGCAACTTGTTGCGTGGTATAATTTATTAATCAAGATTAAACACAGCTTCCATTGTTGAAACCCCAAATATTATCGTTTTCTGTTTATCTCTCTGTCTTAGACTGCGCGTATTTTCACTCATCCCTGTAACTCTGCAGGGGTGGACACAAAATACATGTAGTCAGACACAAAATTCTGTATGCACTGTAAATTTCAATCTCTTGTGCTAAGGGTGAAAAATGCTAATAGATGGGATTCCCACATTATACACCATAATATACGACAAAATGAAAAGCTGATACAACTATGGCAGTCTTGTTTTATATAATACTTTCTTTGTAAAACACTAAAACTGGGTTACAAAGCCTTATACATGTAGCTGCAACATATTTAAAATGATACTAAGATCAGAAATATTTGATACACAATTAAGAAATTCTATCCTAAAAACATGCATTCCGTGGAATCATCGTTCGTGAGGGACCAGTGCTCATGGATTTCGTGGGTCACCTTTACAGATGGATATATTATGGCCCATGAACATTGATTTTTCTAACTATTGATAAATTGAATCTTGCGTATTAACGAGTTACCCACAAAATAAACTCCACACAAACCAGTAAAATTTTGCTTACCCAGTCCCACAAACAGTGACCCCCATGAGGTAAAATAATTCCACAGTAAATTCAAAATTGGTAGCACAAATCACCTAGACATAGATTTATTGCTTGTTTCACTCTACATTCTTAAGAAACTAGGAGAACCAAGAATAAAATACTAATTTTTCCATATTGCTATTGTATTGGTCAGTCTTTATCCAAATCATTCCAAATATTCTGCAACTTCTGCTGAGCAATGTCATCTGAAATTTTATTTTTTCTCAGTTTTCTCTGGTCCCATCCCCTTTTGACTGCTTTCTGTTGTCTTTTCTTTTGTTTAATAGGTGGTACATGATATAAACTTCCAAATTCAATCATTCTTTTCAACTTTCTAGCCTGCTTTGCAATTGTGGGAGATTCAGAAATGGTCTCCAAAGCTTTCACTTGAGGTGCTACATAGTTCTTGGAAGTATAAATTTTCACAATGTCCTCCTCTGAATCTGACTTCTTTCTTTTCCTTGGAGCTTTAGCAGGAGCTGTTGTGCCATTTAAATCCTTCAGAACATTTCCAAAATCCTTTGTGTCTTCAGTGCTTGATTCTTCTTTTAGCTCAATTTCACTTGGTTCTTCCCTGGACGCTTTGTATATTTCAAAAGATCTTCTGCGTAACCTTCTAGACTTCCTTTCTGCGGCTATCAGCTCATCTTGTTGATGACTATTTCCACACTCCACATTTCCATTTTCTGTCGTAGAATCTTCTTCTATGTCTCCTTTACAAGGCTCCTCCTTACAGTCTTTCAATGTTTCCAAAGATTTTCTTGGCTTCTTCTCTTTTCTCTTCAGCTCCTCCTGTAGATGACTATTTTGGCACTTCATATTCCCAGTTTCTGTCATTGAATCTTCTTCTAGGTCTGCTTTACATGACTCGTCCCTAAAATCTTTTAAATTTTCCAAAGCTTTATCTTGTGAATTACTTGGCTTCTTTTCTTCTACTCTTGGCTCTTTCTGTAACTGACTGCTATTGAAATCCCTGACATCCTCTGCAGAATCTTCTCTCAGTTCTGTACTACATGGCACTTCCAAAGAAGCTTTGAATATGTACAGAGATTTTCTTCGTAATTTTCTCGATTTCTTCTCATTGGCTAATAGCTCTTCCTGTTGCTGTCCATCTTCACAGGTCTTTACATCACATTCTGTATGACTTGCAGAATTTCCACCAATTTGTACCAACTTGCTGTCCAAGGATTTCTTTCTGGGACGTCCTCTGTGCCTTTTCAGTACTGGGGAAAATGTTCCACACCTTCCTGCTGAATCATCAGTTGCTGTTATCTCAGATTCGTTGCACACTAACTCTTCTTTGTCTAATTCCTTACCTTGTCTTAGATCCACAAAGTCAATGTTCATATCAACATTTTGCATTTCATTACATGCATGTACATTTTTCAAGTTCGACAAGTTTGTAACACTGGCTTCATTACTGCCTTTATTTGTATTTACTATGTTCATGAGACAATTCATATTTTCCTCTAAATTTTCAGAAACAACTTGTTTCAATGCATCAGAAGTAGGTAAGTCTGTTGACGTTTTTCTTGGCCTTCCTCTTTTTCGTGGTTGCCCTTTTTCCTGCATCTCTACATTCTTCACATTATTATTTAAAGTCTTTGATTTCTCTTCTATTTCACTGTTCTTATCTTGACTATGTTGAGGTGACCCTGAATATGCCTTAGAAAGACAGTGTATATCTGATGTTAGACATGGTTTCAAATCCAAATCACTAAATTCTGCTAACTGAATGTCTTTTCCATCATATTTATCATTGCTTCCTAATAAATGTTCCAATGGTTCTTCATTTTGTTCAGTCTCTAATATAAGCTTGTCACATGACTGGCTAACTACACAAGAATCCATGGTCTTCTGTGGTGATTTAGTGGTTTTTAAATTTATATCAGTAGTTCCAGGACTTATACAAGTTTTCAGTGACTGGTCAATCTCACTGTTTTCTTCTTTTCTTTCAAATCCAACATCTTCCTCCACTATACCAGTCAAGCTCTGGGTTGTTTTCTCCTCTGAAGAATTTGTTTTCTTTAGCATTAACAATTTCTCTCCAAGTGATTTACAGACTTTAGCAAAGTTTGCTGCAGAGTCTCCTAGCCTGTCTTTATTCTTCATTCCATCCATCTTTTCATTAGAGTATTCAGCAGCCAGTTGTTTTGGTTTGAACTTTGTTCCATTTGTCTTCCTTGATGATAAAATGTCATTTTGGGATGGGTGAGACTTCATATGAGACATGGGAGTGAAAAATTCTACGTCAGAGGCTGGAGAACAGGGGCTTACCAGAGAACTGCTTTCTTGGGATTGAGAGATATCTGCTAGAATGGGTTGAGAAGGGGAATATGGCAGCAAGTCTGATAAATGTGGAGGAGCTAAAGGGGTAGAAAAAACTTCTGGATGAATTTTTGGCAGCGGAGTTGAGGTGCTGCTCCTAGGTGTGTCATCAATGAAAGAAGATTTCTCTGTTGAGGGGTTCAGCACATCTTCTGTAATGTTGACTGGAGTGATCCCAAGATTATCTTGATCACCAATGCTTCTGTCTGGGCATCTTGCTCCTTCTACCTCTGAAAGTGGGGTTGTCTGGATGTCTACATTAAGAAAGTTTAGATGTTCCACTTCAGTTGTATTCGATTGTGTTTCTGCAACTTTGAAGGGAAGCAACTCCTCAGCATTTAATATTTTGGATCTTCGTCTCTTTTCTTTCAATTTGGCCACACGGCAAGATTCAGGTGATGGTTCTTTCCATACACTTCCAAAAGTTTCTCCACATGTTTCCTGTAAACAAAACTTGCTTTTAATAACCTGAATAATTGTTAATTATTTGTAATGTTAACCAACTTATTTGTATCTGAAGCATCAGCCACAATCATTATAAATTTATGAACTTTGTATAATGCGTTCCAGGGCTTAATATCCCTTGCATGCAGGTAGGTAAAAGGACCCAGTTCAAATTGAAAATTGACTCTTTTTTCCTAAAATGTTTAAGGCAAAAATTCTCAAATGACATACACATGAATTTTCAGTGCCATTTTTAGTGTTTGAAATAACCATGCACCTGATCATCCAAGATTAAAATTGCTTGTATCAACACACTGCTGGACATGTTAATCATAATTAGATTATATGAAAATGTGCATAGAGGATAAGTCTACAAAATAATTGTCTTCATTTTACAATGAAACATATTACATCAATATTTCCAAGTTTTATTACTTTTTTTCAATTAAAAATTTCCAGTTGAAAGGGCACAAAACCTTGTACCAAAAAGGGCCAATTTACTTAAATGAACTTTTAACATTATATTTTTTTAAAAGGATGTTTTTACTTTTATCATTATGCAGAGTCTAAGTCAAAGTGTGAGAGAAGAATGAAGGCAGCATACTGATCTTTATCAATAAGAAATTAATACAATTTTATCAAAGATGTTCATGTAAAGCCATACCAAATCCTGACTGATTCTTAGAGATCTTCTCCTCCTCTTCATGACAGCATCCTAAAAAGCAATAAATAATTTATACATACATCACATTGCTTATTTATTTCAACCTGAACCTAGATACAAATTAGAAAAAGAGGTCAGTGGGTCACAATGCTCATTTCTTCCTAAAAGCGAACTAGGGAGTATCGATGACATTTTTGTGCACTTTGTGGCATTGTTTAAGTCTCACCTTGACTGTAATTATTGACAACTATCATGAGAAAAGTCGTTTTTATGATCAATTTAGCATTTAGGTGGCTGAAATGGCATGGCAGTTATTTAATAACAAATTAATGCATCAATGCATCCATATTAACATCATTTACCGGTAGACAGACATCTCGGCCCAACGACACCTCGGCCCGTCACACTTAACATCTCGGCCCTGACAGGTCGGCCCAATATTGTTGACACGTCGGCCCACATAAAAGACACCTCGGCCCAAGCAAAATTTTATGATTATTTTTTCTGTAGGTTAATCGATTGTTTTAAATTAAAAAAAAAATAGGGGTCTTATCTTGTGTGTGTGGTTTTTTTTTTTTTTTTTTTTGCATGATACAAGGATCTTGGAAAAAAAGAGAGAAAAAACGGACTCGAATTATGTATAAGCGACGATAATAAATTCATGAATGGAAGTGTTTTTCTTAAGAAATAAATGAGAAAATATTCAATAGATGTATATGCCTTTAATTACTATCTTCCAATTAACTCTGCTCGTAATTAACCCCCTGTGGTCACCAACCCCAAAGGATGCGCCGCAGCATATTACTTGTTTATCTTTTAGCACTTTAATTATAACATCACTGGCTTCTCATTCATTGAAAATCGTCAAAGTGCTCGTGGAAGTTCTTTTGAAAAAAAATCTTGAAAGTTTATTCATGTACTTTTTTCAACAAATATTTGATTCAAGTCCCAAAATTCAATGGAAATATATATTTTATGGTAAAATTTTGCTTGGACAGAGGTGTCTTATGAATGGGCCGACCTGTCTTCAATCTTGGGCCGACCCGTCTGAGCCAAGATGTCATTGGGCCGAAATGTCAATGGGCCGAGGTGTCGTTGGGCCGAGGTGTCTGACATTCCATTTACCAGATGTGTTGCATGAACTTGCATCACTAATTTTTTTAGCTGGAGGATACCATGTGTTGATTCCTGTCCTGGAGATTTTGGGAACAGCTGATTTATAGGGAATATTTATTACATTTCCCTCTAATTAATCTAAGTAAGATGATTTTGATTAGTGAATTAAATTTGTTCTTACAGACCGAGACCAGTCTAGTTTATTGTGTATATTTTCCAACAATTTCAATGACAAGAGAATTCTTTCCAAGTTAATGTTGAGCCCTGACAAAGTGGTTGAAGGCATATACCAGCAATAGCCAAGATAGCTAATGATATCCAATAGGCCTAATGATAGCCAATCAATTTATCAAATTCTATAAACAAAAAAGGGACATTCGAGCTAAAATGGTTAAAGATTGTAAGACAACAAATATTTTAGATAGCTGAGTAAAAACAGTTCAGTACAGCAGTGGAAATACCAAGCACAAATACATTATACAATCAGCCCTTTCACTATAACTAGTACTGATAATGAAATGACATATATTTAATCATCGCTTTTACGTCATATTTCACCAAAATATAAGATACAAATAATAATAACACGTCAATACGTTTCCGAATATTCAGCATTTTCTTTCCCATATAAATTAGTGAATGTTTTCATTAATCAGCATTTTTTTTAAATATGGCTTAATACCCAAACTGCAAGTCAGGTGTACCTTTTATATCCGCAGATAACTAATGTCTTTGATTTGAAAATCTTTCCTTTCTTCCTTTCAATATTTTTTTGTACTTGAACACAGCGCTTAATTTTTTGCGCATGCGCACTGTCATGGATTCTACTAAATATCGATCCCGAACCTTTTTCTTCCTGAATATTGTAACTAATCCATGCATATCTATGCAAAATTTACTTGTATTACCAAAAATATAAATAAATAAAAAAAATAAGAAGAAGAAGAAAGTATGGCCTGTGCTTGGAGGAAAATCATGCTATAATTCAGCTACTTCAAAGGGGGTGGGGATACTATAGTTAGTAACAGCAGGCCCGTAGGAAGCAATTTCAGTTTGGGGAGGCACAGCCAAACATTTTTCAGTTGACAGTTGAGGGGGCACTACTAAAAATTTTCTGACAAGCAAAAAAAAAAAGAAAAAAAAAAGGTCGTCAACTACCAAATATTCCTTGACAAGCAAAAAAAAAATAAAAAAAAAAAAAAAAAAAAAAGGTTATCAGGCGGTTTTATTGAGGGGGCACATCGGCAAAATTATTGGGGGGGGGGGCACGCCCCCCCGTGCCCCCCCCCCGGTTCCTACGGCCATGAACAGGGGCCAATTTCATGTTTTTCACCGTTTAATATGTAAATTTAATCACACTTAAAATCCAAATTTGAGTGGGATCCGAACTCCTCTTAGAACTGCTAAAGACCGTGTAATGTCTAGCTCTTCACTTGTCAGACAAATTATACAGCTGAAAATGAAATGTATCATTTAACTTTAATAATTTTTTTCTTAACATTCTAACTTTTAAATTTTGATTTATATACTTCAGACCTGCAATATTATACATGCTCTTAATGTCCTGAAGAATTCTTGATTACCTCGTTATGGAAGTAGTAAATTATAAACTGGCAAAGTCCTATTAACCCCCCACCCCAACAAAAAATAAAATGGAATGTATTCAAGATTTCCAAAGTACTGAAGATAAAAATTTTCCTTCCCTTTCAACTATTTTTGAATAATTCTGCAGATTAAATATGGAAAAATTGGATTGTTCGTCATGTATAATATATCTAATCCCCATGCACCCCTCGGCCTTTCTTTACACCCTGATGTTGATATTTTGTGCACATTATCATGAATTTATGTTAAAAGAACTACGCACGCTAACTCTCGATTCCCGCCTACATTTTACACCCATTTATTTCCATACAAATGGCAATTTTACCGTAAAATTTTTGTTGAATGCAAAGAACAGTTCAATGGTAATTGACTGATAATTTTAATTCCAGTGTTAAACCGTTAATTAACCCCTAATTCCAGCTCTTTAAATAAGGGGGGTAGACGATATTTTTCATTGAAATCGGGCTTTGAAGCATCACCACATTTTAAAATATTCTTGGATATGAATAAACGTTCCTTAAATCTTTTCTTATGTTTTACTCATATAAAATTAAACATATATTATTAATAAAATACAATGTTTTAGTTGTAAACCCCTTTGAAATTGGTGAGAAAAAAAATAGGCATTTTTGTTTTGTTTGTTTTGTTTTTTTTGGTCTGTAAACATATGGTATGAATTTGTGAAATGACAGTCCGTGTTACCTGTAAAAAGGAATTTTTGGGGGAGATGTTTTAAAAATATTTTCCGTTTTACGTTGATATCTATAGTGAAAAACACAAGTTTTACCAAAATTATAGAATTATTTCTCTTTGTTTTCCCGAAGAAGTAATGTTTTATGAAAATTCATGTAAATATCTATGTACACATGAAAAATCATTCAAATGTGTTAACTTTTGAAAATTGACTTGGAGGTAGTCGGGAGAACAATACTATCGTTCACAGTTCTTTTGAGGACTTCACACAAGCTGCATTTGCATTAAAAATTAGTTAATTATCAATGTGAATCATATTCTATTATTCTAAATTCTTATTAAATTTTCACACTATCATCCTACAGATACACATGTGTAGGTTACCTAAAATTTCATTTATGCCTCAAGTTTTCCATGCAGGTTTATAAAGTGATGAAAAAATCACTTAAAAGTGTAAAGATTATGTTTCAGTCTTTGGACACCCAAGGTCAACTTCTTATATGCTTCAGTGGTGTTTCTATGCTGTCCATAACTTCCAAATATTTAGTTTCCTATATAATGGTCAAAACAAAATTCACCAAGAAATTGGTTTATCTCTGTAGTCTGAATTAGGGAGACCAACAGACATAGGAGACCAATGGACAAGAATGGTAAGGACGTCAGACAATTCAGTAAGAGAAAAATTCCAATTACCGGTGAGTTCTTATAAAGCATGATTTACAGTTTGACACACTTAAGTTAAATTTATGGAGATGAGCCATGCACAGATCATTGAAACCGTACCTTAAAATCTGCAGATGTTAAAATTCTTTTATATTGATATATATGCACATCTAAAATTACAAGTAGAGTACACAATAACTTTGAAAGTATTTTATTTCCTTTAATTGTTTACCAAATATCACATTGTATTTTTCCCCCTAAATAATTACTTATGAAAAGTACTGAAAGACTTAAATGAATGAAATAAATGAAAAGCATTCTTTACAAGTTTCATTCATCTTCAGAATTCTTCTGAGGTAACTGCTTCACTTTACCGGTAAGTTCAAACATACTGTGGAAGAAATCTTCACATTTGCTTAAAATTGCAATTCCTTATATAAAGAGATAAGAAAACTGTTTTCTAATTTTTTTCAAAAATTTCTTAAGATACACTAATAACTAGAGTACACACAGGTGTGATATGTGACAATATGGCACAGGAGACTAGTTATCTACACACATATGCACACAGCAACATATACATTGTACACATACCAGACAGGAAAGTGAAAGGAGAAAATGAAAGTGGTTTTGAACAAAGTAAAATTAGTCTCTAAGATATTACACAAATTAACAAGTTCAAGTCTTCTGGCTGTATCAAGGGGAAAGAGCCAGTGATGCATTATCATACTTCAACAAGAGTTATTACGTTTACTGTACACAAGGTTAAACTGTTTACATCTGATTGATACATGTTGTGGCAGGTATTTCCATAAGTCAAAACAGTAGGCTAAAATCATAATTCTAAATCAATGGCATGTTCAATCAACAACATGTTACATCATTAACATGTTCTATTAATAAATCACCAAGTTACAGCAATAACATGATACATGTAAATCGTAACATGTAACATCTTAAAAGTGTTACATCACTAACAAATTTTATCACTAACATATTCAACTGACAATGGATCTTAAAAATGAAAATTTGTGAATTGTTCCATTAAATTATCAAAATCAAAACTGACATAAAAATTCAATTGTACAACTAAAACTAAACCTTTTAGAAAGTCAAACAATAAACTTGGTTTCAGTGCAGAAAGTCTTTAACGATTTGTATTTTGTGAAACATGAAAAGGGAATAAATTCCATCTAGATTACTGTAAATAAAAAGGTCTACAAACATATGCAAAAAAGAAATAATGATAATAATAAAAGAAGAATAATAAAAGAATAAAATTTATAATCTATGTTAAACATACATGATAAAATAAAATGCAAACAAAATGGTTACTTTGGTAAACTGTAACACAGCACTTTTGTTTTCATGGTTCAAGAAACTTATCTTTTACAACTATTTAACAGTAACAACCACACAACAAATTATGACTGGTCCATAAAAATGGCCAGACCTTAGACCAAACTACATTGTTTGTTTTCTGAGTTTTCAGTTTCAGTGTTCTGCACGGGTTTTCTCTTATCAGAAGTCTTTTTACTTCGACATCGTTTGGCTGAGCGAGATTTTTTCTTGCGTGGACAGATGAGGAGGCCATCTCCCGAGTGGCTGCTATGGCTACTACTTTGGGAAGATGACTTATGGGAGACAGAGCTGTTGTTTCTCTTCACGGAAGCTGAATGCCAGTGACTATCACAGATTTCAGAACTATCATTGCATGTGGGAGCACTTGTGGAACAACCATTAGAGTCAGTAGATGAAGGCCCAAGAGACCTATCAGAAATGTTTTTATTCCTACATTTTAGCTCATCAATGAAAGATAACTGTCTAGGAGGAGCAGAAGACGATCTTCCGTTTCTGTTGTAATTTCCATTGCTTTGATCATTGTAAAACTTGGACTGCGTTGACTGTCTTTTCTGTTTCTTTGACACTGTTTCTGCTCTTCTGCTGGCTTTGTTACTAGAATATGTGGAAGAATTTAATATGGAATTATTGTTTCTTTCAAACGATGATACACTTTGTGGTGAAAATGAACGATTTGGTTGAGATATAGGAGTGAACCTTGCACTACTTTCACATGAACATCTGCCGTGAGCACAGGGCATCATAATGGATGAACAATCACTTGAGCCACAGTTATCCGAGATTCCACAACATGATGGAGTGTCTGCATTGGTCAATGTTGATGGCATTCTTCCAGAACATGGATACTGAACATCATTACTGAGGGCACTCTCTTCTACAACAGACAGTTTCTTTTCACCAGTCTCTGAGCAGATGGACAAACCAGAATGGGTAGACTGTGATTTTTGAATATTTGGATAACTATTCAAGCATGAATGGCCACAAGCAGATTCAGAAGAATCTGATGACTGCTGTAGAAGTTTAGACAACCTCAAAATTCTAAGATTTTGAGAGTCATGAATTTGTTCTAATTTCCTTCTATTGTCTTCTGCTTCCAAAACAGAATCATTTTCTAAGATGTTAGTAGCTCCAACACACTGGTCATTGCTGGCTTCAGCTGAGTTATTGTAAGAGGAATGGGAGACACCAACACTCCTTGTCTCACTCCCATGGAAGCTCACTTCATCCAAAGAGGAAACATCATGACCTGCATTGCTTTCCCTCCTTGGAGGTGGGTGAGGTCTGTTAGAATTGAAAGTAGAAACTGCTGGCAAACAACCATAGCTGTGGCGGCTAGTTTGGACATACTGATCAGTTTGAGTACCACTCTCTGTTGACAGATCATCAGTGTCACTTAATTCTGAAATATGAGCTGGTTGCATGCATCTGCCACCAGATGATGGAAATCTAGACCGGTCTTGGATCTCTGAAGTGGTGGTTGCAGTGGAAGTATCCTCCCACAGTTCTAACAAATCAGGAGAAAAGTTCACTTGGTCTGTGTGTCTGTTGTATGTTGGAAGTGTCTGAGTACCCCTTTGTGTTTGTCTGTTCTGTCGTAGCCAAGGAAGAGAGAATCTAAAATTCCCATGCCTGTCACTTTGATTTTCACAACCCCTAGAATGGGAAGACTCTGGGTCATGCTCTGAATACCCTGGTAGAGAATGATGTCTTTGCACAATTTGATTGCAAGAATGTGAAAGAGTGGATATGTGTTCTGCTCCTCTGCCACTTAGTGAAGTATCAGTACCTTGCACTGTATGTGGTGAAGTCTGACACCCTATGTTGTTGTTGTTATTAGGGCATGGTGATGATGCATTGTTATTATTGTTTGAACTTTCTATTGCTTCATAAGGAGGGGGAGCTTCCCTTGGGAACTCTTGATCAGGGGGTTTTGGAGGGGTGTAAGGAGGGGGTGGGTCATCATAAGAGGGGCATTCAAAACCAAAGAATTCTGGTGAAAAGCTGTCAACATCTCCTTCATCAAGCCTCTCACGCCGTCGACTGTCTCTGTATCCTGAAAATAATATCAAAAGCATTACACAACTTACATTGCATTACTTAAGCATGCATTTTTTATGTTTGATATTTCATAGAGATTCCTTCTCCCTGCCAAATGGCACATCTGTAATTTCAACACGAAAAGAAATGTTTTAAAATGTACTTGCTTCTTCGGTCTGGTCTAAGAAGTAAAATTTGACAAAAGAAGGAATAAATCAATAATTTTCTTTTTTTTCATATCAGAACTGATACCTTTTGTACCTTTTTATAGCCAATTTAGTAAAAATATAGTTTCTCTGAAACTGAGAAAATGCAAAATGTGATGGATGGACAGAAAGAACAAATGGAATGACAGAGAAAGATGGACATGACAAATACTATATGCCTCACTACCTCATCTATATTCATTGTGGGTCACAAAAATATCTCCTTTTGTATAACTCCAACTATTTAAGATATATACCGAATGCTTTTGTTAGTATTCATGTTTAAAACAAATAAAAAATGGTGCATCTGAAATTCTTTGATGCTTTTAAGAACATAGAACTTTGAAAACCCAATACTTACGACGCATGGCTTGAAGAAGTCTTCGTTGTCGGAGGCGATGACCCATGAAGAGAAGAAGAGCAAGTACCAGAAATGAGGTGATAGTACTTGCCACCAGTCTCAGACCCAGGGTGGTCATATTATCACTGCTCCCTGTAATTTTGAGTCACACTATGAGCACAGTTACATGATATGCAATTAAATTTCTAGAATTTTAGATGAATAGTTTTTCAATTAACAACAATTAAAAAGATTGAAAACTCAACTTGTCCCTCACATTACATAGGTTATGCATGTACTTTGATATTGAGAAGTAATTTTATCCAAAAAAAAAAATCATTTGGATCCCTCCCATGCTAAAAGGGGGATGAAAAAGCTAACCATTGTCATTATTTTTTCTGGTAGGGTCAGTGGAGTTGACAGTAGGGAAGTTTCCTTGTCCCCCACTGTTATCCTCATCACAACGGAATGCGCAGCATTTTCCCTCTATCATGACAGGGTTATGGCAGCCAGTGGGAGGAATGCAAGACACTGACTTGCACATGGTGGGGAACCCATTACTACATGTACACTGGTAACAGGGATCATTTTTGGGTTGATAAACTTGACCATTTGGAATTTCTTTTCCAGCATAGTCTGTGCATTTTAGTTCAGATATGGCTGAAAAACAAGTAAAATGTAGTTAATTAACTGCAACAATCAATTATAAAGCATTTTATTAATTCATCTACTAAGAGTCAAAATGAAATACTAAGAATGCTTGTATTTATTACCAATTGAGTAATAAACTTTGGATTTCAATATATTTATATTTTAGATGTAAGAGCAGACCACTCTAACTGCATAAAAATACATGTACCATGAATTCTCTTTAGTGTGCAGTGTATAGAGGCTATATAATTTTAATTAGATTGTGTATAGAGGGCTCTTAAAGAGCCAGTTAAATAGTCAATGGGAATGTATGTTTTAGTATATCATGTTATTTGCTCCCAAATATAAACAGTGAAATAGCAATCAAAAAAATTGAAAAAAAAAAATAAATAAAAAGATGTAAAACATTTGAGTTTGCGATTTTCTCCTGGCTAATAATTTTTGTATGTTATCAAAGGTTAAGTTGTTAGCTATACATGATATTCACTGGACCATTCACTGTCAATTCTCCTTTCTTATTGTATGATTAATTACTCTTTCCAAAACATCTTGACTACCATCCATAAATGAATCAACAGGTATATGATGAATATCCATTTCAGCAAGAGTTCAACTAACCTTATGATTTTAAGTCCTCAAGTGTCATATCTGTAATGACCTATTACACTTTTGGTAAAATAATAAACTTAAAATGATGTCTCATTTAATCATTACAAGTTCAATGGCTGCTTGGGTTAATAAAATTAAAATATATAAAGTCATAGTGGAATGGCCTATACCTTAAGTGTCTTCAACTCATTTTTATGACAATTTAACAAACGACAGTGGTTTCCATTTTTCTTTCTTCAAAATTTTAGAAATTAATTTTTAAATACGCCTTATCATATACAGAATTCGATAATAATAAAATAAAAAATAAAATTTAAATGATTTCGTAAACCTTATAATACAATTTTTACTTACGAATTAATGACATTTTTGTAAACTTCTGTCTCCTAACTACAAATGCTTTCAGCTGTCAGAATTTTTTAAGCAATATCTTCTCAACAACTCCACCTAATCTTCCTTTTATAAGAAGTAAACAGTTCCAGAGGGTAATTCAAAAGTTTTCTTCTCACTAAATCACTTGCCTAATATGTCCATTCTATAACTTCATTTCTTAACCACCCTGTCCAACTCTTTTGTTCTTTTTTCTTTTCACAAAAGAAATATGTCTCTGTAATGTGTGACTGTAACTTAATTTTTCAAGCTACAATAAATAGACTTCATTATATGCTTCTTAATATAAAAATATATTAAGTGGTCACAATTCCAATTTGTTATCCTGAGATATCAATCTTGGATCAGTGAAAAGTTGGCCAAAAATCTTTATCCCTCCCATTTGGAGACTTAGTAGGTCTGGGCTGGGCAATCTTGGACACAGTATACAGTATACAGATAATGGCCGAATTCTTGTAGATGGGTAACTGAGTCCTTTGTGTGGTATCTTTCTGATTAAATAACAGAGATACAGAACCAAAGCTTGCTAGGACAGGAGTTAATTATCTCAAACATGTTACTCAACCATAATCTTATCAGGTCATCTCAACTTTAAACCAATAATAAGGCCTTCTATTAAAGGGAGAAAATTAACTTTTTAATGTAAACTCTGCAGCAACTGCTAGCCACAAAATAATTTAACTTGGCAGCATAAGAGAATAAAAGACCCATTGATTTCAAATGAAATTAGAATACGAAACTAATGGTAAATATTTTACATGATAAAATTTATTATGCAGTTTATCTCAAATATGTGGTATTTAAAATTTGCATAATTACATTACATGCAGTTAAGTTTACAAAGACAGTTTGATTAACATTTATACTAGAATGATTGATGGACAAAGCTTTTTTTTTAATATAAATAGGATGAAATAGCCTCTAAACACTTAATATGTATATACTAGTATACAAATTTTCACATTACTGTACATTTTGTCCTTTGTTAATTTTTTTCAAATATCAAAATTAATTTGAACTTGTACACCTCCAACAAAACCAAAGCTTGTCTATTAGAGGAGAGAAAAATAGTACACGTACATATATGTCATATATGAATTTCATTTCATTTTGAAGTAACCTCTTCAAGTTCCACCGTTTACACAGGCCATTGTTTTAGTTATCTAAATATTTTTTTATCAGAAGCACTTGAACACTGGACTTCATGCCAGCATTGGACAAGGCTACCTGAAGCACCAGCATAATACATGTATGAGAAAGAATGTGGGACTTAGTAGTAGAGCGAGGTGATAAAAATGCCATATGCTCATCTTGTTGTCCTCTTGTTTGTGGGAATTGCTGGTTGTTGATACATACAGTGAATTTAGGGTTATAATGATACAACTAGAGCTTACTGTGAAATATAATGATACAGTGGGACTATATCTTAATTCATATCATGATATTTCACCTTTTCATATTTTTAATATAATTTGCATGTCTCTGTTCTTAAATGAGGACCTCTCCATTACACTGTGGAAGGATAAAAGTTGTAGACTATTTCCTCAAGTTCACAAATACATTATGTAACATTTAATACTTAGCTCTGAACACAATGAAAACAGCTCCTAAAATGTTATGTATCGTGATACACAGGTATAATTCATGTTTTTTTTAATCATGATACAGTACAATTTCTTGGTGTATCACGGTATGCAGGTATATCAGTATATCGTTACACCCCTAATAGCAATACATGTTAAAAGTCCAGAATCATGAATTACCACCTGATCTGAATTCAAAATTACTTTACATCATTACCATAGTCTCATCAAAAATGATTCATATTTCATGGATTTGTTGCCTTTAAAAATTACCATTCTAATAACACACATATATGAAGTAAATTAAATATGTATGTATACTAAGTTACTAACCTACTTTGCTATATAGTACCCAATCATTTGAAAAATATATGATGCAATGATTTTTGTCATATTAATTAATAAAATCTTTGCTGACCTAGATTCATCTTATCTTACTCCCATATAGACGTAGTAACTCATACTGATGTGTGCTGATGGATAATATGACCTTCTGAGGTCAGTAGACTGTTACACTACAGAAAACAAATTTCTCAAGTATATTCTTGAATTTAATAGATAATCAACTATGTTATGGCTTTAGCAATATTTCTCTGAATATGCCAATTGAAAGAGTTTTCTTTGCTGGTAAAAACTTGAACTTTTTGTCTGACACTTTTACATGTTTCTGCATCAGCACTACTTGAAAATTGTCAAAATTATTACCTTATTTCATTTTGAAATTTTGACAATAGTTCTTCACATTCAACTGGCACATCTTAATTCATTTTACACCTTTTTATTCAGAGTACTAAGCAACATAAATGTAATCGTAAAACAATGCTTTTCTCATATGTAATGCACCGTACTGGAATGACAGTATTATTGCCCAACCCGGAACTTCACTGTATTCAACAGGTTTGGAGTCAATCTGAACGCTCCTTTAGACATATATCAATCAACTGAATGAGATTTTAATGACCAAGAGAGAGCAAGAACGTACTACTTATCACTGACTCTGACAAATCGATTTCAGTGCTTTAGTATATTAAGAATCAAATGAAAATTAACCCCTATTACTTAACTGAACTGCTACTATCTTGAGAAAATTGGAAGAAATCTTACAAGGAGACTATAAACCTTTACACATAATGACATTTGACCTATTAGTAAATGCTAATGTGATGCAAATAAATATTATCTTTAGAGGTGCAACAATAAGGCAATATATATCCATCCCTTAGTACAGCATAGTGTAGAGTACAGCAATACTGTTTTCAATTTTTTATCAATGTATCATATATCATGATACATTGTACTGCCTATCAGTGTATATATTTGTATTAAAAGGTGCCCTGTGATGTAAATATGACAGAACTTGATGCTATAAATTAGGGCTGTCACGAGTACCCGAAATAACCGAGAACAGTGGTCCAAGTTGTTCAGTTTGGTTTCGGTTCCATTTTTCCGGATTTCGGTTCAGGTCTGGTTTATATATTAGAGTCTGTTCAATACAAAAAATGGCGTCGAAATCAAAGGAATGATGGCGATAACAGTGATAAATAAACATCACAACTGAAATCTACTTCTTCCTATGACAAAACACTTGTCACAGAAGTATTAGATAATTATCAATACGAGCAGGAATAGTCAGGTTGTGGCTAATAGTAGGCCAAGTAGTTCTACACACCGATGTCTAGACGTTCGCATGGTTAAGACTTGTTTTCAATGTAAATTTAATGTAACAAATAAAGATTTTTCAAGTTAAATTCATGAAATTAAGGTTTAAAATAGATGTAAATAACCGAACCCAAAAACCCGAAACCCAAACCGAAAATTTACAGAACCGACCCGACCCGAAAAAATTTTGGAACCGTGACAGCCCTACTATAAATGTAATTATAGAGAGCGGTGTTAAGTGCCACTAGTCACTGTGAATTTTTAAAGTAACACATAGGTGAAGAGAAAATTCAGACTATCTGCACAATAGAATTCGTTTCCCCTGTAAACCTTGTGCTCCATAAATTGCATATGGCACCCAAACAAATTCTTGCTATAACCAAACAAAAGTTTACAAATAACAAATAAACTAACTTCAATTTAAAGGATGTTGCAGATAGTAGATTAAAACGTTTTTTTGTTAAAAATTGCACATTTCAGACTTCATTATGGAAATATGCGACCAAGTTTACTAACATACGACACCATGTGAAGTCTCATTCTAGACCTTCCAAATATCTCATGCTGTTTGAATAGGTGGATGTCAGTTAAAATTGAAAAGGTAGGCTATCCAATAGTACACAATTGTGCCTGCCCCAACGGTTATATCATCAACATATTAGATCTCCTGCCATGTCAGTAAGGCATAATTATATGTCATCGCATAGTTGTGAATTTAAAACTTCTTAAAAACGTTTGCTGTTGTATAAGTCTTTGTGAAATGCATGAATGAATGAAATACAATGTTAAATATTCAATACATTGTAACTGCTTGAATATTCAGTATTGATGAATAGGTATATCTTTTTTATCAGGGAAAATTTTCAGCTTTCAAACAAGTCCAAGTATACATAAAGTCAAGAAAAGAATTCTCACAGATTATTCTAAATACATACTTACAACCTTTTTTCATATGTCAAGATTAGAAAAAAAGACAAACGTTTTCTGTTACTGTTGTTAGTTGCAATGTTACTAAAAATCATTGAACAGTTCGAAGTCTATACCAACCTGAATCTATCCCTGTTGTAAAGACGAAAATTAAGATGGCAAGCATGTCTGATTTTCCAACGAAAACGAAGAAACATGAACAAAATACACGATTTTCATCCTCGTCTAAAAAACAATTTTTACTGCAATGGCTGACCAAATAAATTAATACGGAACTTCCTTAGTTTTTTCTTTATAATTCAATGATAATTCGAGAGGTATACCAAACGAAGTCAATTGCGAGATTTTCCGAGATGTAACATGTCTGCGCCCATGAGAGGTCAGAAACGGGAATGAGCGAAAAGAGGAACGCTGATAACTCACGTAATTTTAACACAGACACCGAACGCAAGAAAAATGAGCCTAAGTAAAGACAAAGGAGACCAGAATCCACTGGAGAAGGCCCTCGCTGCTTACCTCAAGGCTCTGCATACTAAACCATTGTTGACAAAAGCTGTAACAAGGTTGAAACTTTTGCATGTACATAGGAAAACCACTCAGCATCTACTTTGAATTTATTCTATATAGATATTTAAGACATCATTAAGCTATATCTAAGGTCAATATATTTCCACAAGGTTAAACTTTCAAAAAAAAAAAAAAAATTAAATAATGATTTCATAAGCTTTAATCAACGCTGGACAACTGTACTTTCACTTTCTCTGATGTAAATTTTTAAGATTGTCAACCTACATAAATGCAGAGACATAAATAACAGAGATTTCCAACTCTGCCATTAATATGCTTATTTTCTGAAGTACATGAAGGTCCCGGCATTATCCTAATAATTACTCTTTATTGGTTGTGTACCCACTATTTCTATCTTATGTTAAATTGACATTAATTTTATTACATATGGTTATATGATTTGTAAAGTTTTAAAACTATATACATGATATATTAATTATGAAAAGCAAACCAGACAAATTTAAGAGGTCAATGATCACAAGTTGGCGAAATCAGGGTGATATGGCCGACCATGAGTCACCTGTTACAACTTCAGATTTCTCCTTAGTTACTAGATTAAATACAGTCTCCCTCGACCAGCTCGGCAGGTGGTCGGTGCAGCCATGTCGAGGGGCCCAGCCTGCCGGGTGGCCGGCAGTCTCCCCTCGACTAAGTCGCACAGAAATGCACAGAAAATTATGAAAATATAATGTTCTGAATGGTTTGTTAATATAAATTAAAATTTGTAATTCATTATCCTTGATAATTTTAAAGATTTATGTGATTTAAAGTAGTCAAGATTTGAAAAAGTAAACAACCGGGACTGTTAGATCTTGTGAGTTTGAACTGTTTCCAATCTCTGGTATATATGTCTCTGATAAAAGATATCATCTTCGATGTTGAAATGTAAAGGGATGCATGTATCAAGTCCAGTTTTACATGTACTAAATAGATGCTTATGTTTATTGAAACTTCAGTGGTGTCATTGCATCAATTGGAAGTCTTGCCTCGCAGTTGATCGTTCCCAATCCTCAGAATGGAGGCAAAATTGTATGGAGAAGTGTGGCAGCGTATGCAGCATTTGGGTAATTGTTTCTAACTTATTTCAGTTATATAAGATTAATATCATCAATCATTGGCATATGTTAACTGCTAAGATAGTTTTTTGCATGGATATTTTCACCATGGATGGGGTAGGGTGGGGAAACTGAAAAATTACTAATATCTATCCATATATACATTTATCATTCTTTAGTTTAAACACTTTTACATCCATCCATAGAATTATCTGAATTTATATTGGCTTAGGGGAAGGTGCACTGGGAGATTTGGGATATGCTTTATACTTGTAAATACGTAGCATATTAAAAGAATTATTCAAGAAATGGATGAACAATGTCATTCTACATCATATTATTTATTTGTAAAAGATTTAAGATCAACACATGATCATATGTAAACATATTTATTTTGGAGATATGTGAAGTTTCATTCCAATCAATGAAATGGAACTTATGTTACCTTAATTTTAAAATCAATATGTAATACCATATGAGTACATTATTACATATCTGGTCCAAAGAACACCATCGAAAGTGGTTAAAAAATTTAAAAAACACTGAAAAACTTATTATGCTACTTGAACAGTTGTTATAAGTGGTTTAGAAACACTTTTTCTTGGATTGGTAAGGCACCACAGACTGTGTATTTAAAATGGCAGCTGCAGGCGGTTTATAAGTGGTAGAGACTGTATCAGAGGATAGTAGGCCTGTGAGGAAACAGATTATCAGTAAAAATCTGGTCCAAAGAACACCATCGAAAGTGGTTAAAAAATTTTAAAAAACATTGAAAAACTTATTATGCTACTTGAACAGTTGTTATAAGTGGTTTAGAAACACTTTTTCTTGGATTGGTAAGGCACCACAGACTGTGTGTGAAGTGTAGTATGTGTATTTTTTGAGAAACTTTCAAGACATTTTGTTTTTAAAATTCCAATGTTGATATGTGGTGTTCTTTGGACCAGATTTTTACTGATAATCTGTTTCCTCACAGGCCTACTATCCTCTGATACAGTCTCTACCACTAATAAACCGCCTGCATCTGCCATTTTAAATACACAAAAACGTGACTCACTTTTGACATGTTTCTTTCTTTCTCTAGCATTTTCAGTTCCTTTTAAAGTTTTCCAGAGTGCAACACATAATTGTATCGCCACTCACTGCTCCATGATGGGAGCCAATGTTGTCATCTTTTTTGCCTTTTTCAATGAGAATTAACTGTCTTTGCAATTGATTTCTTTTTAATAAAGCAATATAATATGTCCCAATATGGCATATAAAATGATGTAACAATTCTCAATTTGAATTTAAATTGACTTTATACAATATACAGTGTTTGCAAATTATTGATTTTTTTCATGCTGAATGACCCTTTTTCAGACTTTTTAATTTTAGATTTTGAAATATATCATGATTTATTTGAATTTTTTATTCACATCATTGGATTATTTGTTAAAATATGTCTTCTAAATTTGGTTGTGGCATGACGTTAAGTAGAAAAGATTTGACAATTAAGTCTGTATATTTTTTGAATGGCCTTCATATTTCAAAATGGAGAAGAGACTAGACTCAGCTGATGTTAATTGTTACTGCACCCATTTTGTATATAAATTGGATATTTCTCTTATGCAGACTCTATAGCTGAATGTGGTATTTTGTAGATTTGTGGTTAGTGGTCCCTTAATTCACAAATTTTACATCCTGCTGGACAAAATTATGCCACCAAAGAAAGAAAAAACAACTCTTGATGGTATCAAGCGAGTTATTGTGGACAGACTGGTTTTTGCCCCACCATTCCTGTTGCTGTTTTTATATGTGATCACAATTTTAGAGGTAAGATGAAATAAAGATTATTAATTTACTTGAACATGTTGAAGGGGCTCAGGATTACACAAATAAGTCATGAGTACTGAATTTGTTTGTTGTCAGAAAGTTACATTGCAAATAATATAATGCAAATAATTTTAAAAAAATATATTATCTTGCACATGAGAAAAATGAAGTGTCTGTATATGTCACATTAAAAGCCATATCAACCATAAATCAGTTGACTTGTATATATAAACTAACATGTATCTGTAGCAAAATGAGTTTTATGTTTATATGGAATATTTTATTTTTAATGCAACTTATTTTATTAATAGGGCCAAGGACATCATGCAGCCATAGCCAGAATAAAGGAATCATTCTGGCCAGTCTATAAGTTAAATCTTCAGGTGTGGACAGTGTTTCAATATGTGAATATCAATTATGTGCCACCAAAGGTAAACATGCAACATATTTCATGTGTTTTTCCTTACACTACATCTGATATAGCTGCAAAAACATAAGCCCTCTACTTTTTTTGTATCTGATGTTTTCAAGAATTGTAGCCCCCCCCCCCCCCAACAACCACCACCACCACCAAAAAAAAATTAATGGGCTACACTATTGCAGCTAGATCTGATATGCTCCAATGTTTAATTATAGTATTGAAGTAAAATTTATAATGTTCTGTTGTACATGCATTAATTAATGACAAAATTATCAAAAAAAAGCTTCTGTTAGTTTTCATGAAAATAATTATTGCTGAAGTGAAGATTAAATTTGTTCATATATAATGAGCGTCTTACATGTATCAGAAAGCCCAAAGGGGTTCAATATTTCTGATTTAACTTCTCTTAGTAAAAAAATAGATCAAGTTTGATTTATAGAAAGCATTTATGATCTAACTGGCTCTTTTTCAGTATCGTGTTTTATTTGGAAATGTGCTAGCCTTAGTCTGGTCAATATTTGTGGCATCAAAGAGGAGGAAAATGGCTCTGGCTGCCAAGCAGTAAATAATTGAAGAGGATTTGTCTACATTCCGTCATCACCATTAGATGATATTCACCTGGACAGACATGTTTCCCTTTTTTATCATTACCAATAATTATTACATTTTATACAGTACTTTCTTGATTATAGAACTATTTATTTTAATATAATTTTGTGCAAGATATTTTGATCTTTAACTATATGAATGTTTGATAAACTGATGCATTAAGGGAGCTGTTGAGATGCATTATTCTGCAAGTGGTATTTGATGGAAAATTACATGTATATCATAAATGAGGTATTAAAGAGTCTAAATCAACACAGTAGTTTAATTCACACTTAGCAAAAAGTAAATTGAATTATGTCCCTTTCCAAAGTCTACTGAAAAGTAAAAAAAATAAAAAAGAAGAAAGAAAACAGTATTTCTCTTCTTTATGCTTCTAAACATTTAGGGGTACATGTACTTCAATAAATTAACATTCTTTTATAATTTTTTTCAATACATTGGTAGCCCCATCCTGGGGAAATCAAAATACAAGATGCAAGTGACATTTTTATGCCAAATGACAACAATAATTAAAAACCAGAAAGTTTCAAAGCCTACTTTGAGAATGCAATGGATGGTGTCCAAGGGACATAACTTTTGAAAAATTTGGATCTTTAACCTTTAACCTTGGACAGTAAGTGACAGAAATCTAAATATACAGTTTTTTTGTTTTGTTTTTTGTTTGTTTTTTTTGTTTTGTTTTGTTTTTGTTTATTTTGAAATTCCAGTATTAAAAACTAACTGTTCCTCAAAATGAAATCCATTTGTTTTGTTTTAAAGTACTCTGTACATGTTCATTACTGTCACACATAAATCAGCACTGCTGTCAAAGAAAGGTTTTACACAAATAAAAAATTGTTGACACAGTGCAACACAGTAATGAATTGATGAATTTCTATATTTTCAATGTTTTATGGTTAGAGTATAATGTATTACTAGTACATGTATATACATGTATGCACATTAACTGTATCATGAAATGACAGTGATTATACAAAAATGATATATTGATTTACATTGTATTGAAATGCAAATTACATGTGCATTGATTTTATGCATTCAACTTATGTGATTCTGTATCATAAGTTTTGAATGCAAAGTTATTTACTTTTGTATAATCTAGAAAATGTTTTTATAATTAAAACTGTAGGATAAACCCTTTCGATGTTTATCTATTATAGTTAAGTCACCTGAGAAAAACATCCGTGAACCTACTAAACGAAGGATGTACACAAACTTGTCACTTAGGATCATTGGGTATTGATCTTATGTATAAAGCTTTATCACTAAGAAATTTTTTGACCTTAATTTTCATTGCCAAAGCTAACAAACAACTAAAGTCTGTGTATGCAATGTATGACTGTGACCTTGGTCTTTACCTCAAAATCAGTTCACTGGTAAAACCTGAAAGAGAACTAAAGTTATAACCAGGAAGCCATTTTATGCAAGATAAAATTTTTTTACTCTGACCTTTTGACCTCAAAATCAATAGGGGTCTTCTCTAAGTCAGTTGGAGTTAAGATATAAAATTTTATTGCAAAAGCTCAAAGAAAACAAGTTTTCATTGGGAAACCATTTTATTTGCAATGTGTGAAAATTTTACCTTAACTTTTGATCTTTTTGATCTCAAAATTTAATCAACTGGGGTCTACTCAAGACCACAGGGAGTTGTGATATAAGATTTCATTCCAAAAGCTTTTTAGGCTTTTTGAGTTATCATCCAAAAACAATAGTCTTACAGGCAGACATAATGTATGAATTTCTGACCTTTAACCTTTTGACATCAACATCAATTGGATTGTTCTTTCAAATGGTCATAAGGAGTTGTGATATAAAATTTTATTGCAAAAGCTCAAAAGCTTTTGAGATATCGTCTGGAAACGATAGTGTTACACACAAAAAGGATGGACGGACAGACCCAAATAATGATATTCCACACTTCAGTGAAAGCAGGGGACATTGTCACAAGAAAAGGCACTAGAAAGTACGTGTTTCCGCGCAAATTGAACACAGTTTTTTCACACAGTGAATTGATATGATGTTTATAACATAATGAATACCTAACTATTCTTGACCTTAGGTATATTTTTAAACCATGGAATTGATAAGCCACTTATAATCTATTTCTAGTGGAACCAAGGTCATGATCAACTTTATTTTTGACTAGCTAAATTATTTCCTGAAAAAAATAAACTATATTGAAATACATTTTTTTTTTTCTCCAAAAATTGATAATTTCAGCAATTTTCATATTTTAAAACTTCTTATTTCAATCAAGACAAACATAAAAAAAATGAACAAAATAACCATCCTCAGCCTCAGAAACCAATTTTAAGCCCCTATGGTATGGTAGTTTAAATTAATAATATTTTCATATGCCCTTTCACAAAGAAGGATCCAAGAATTTTTCCTTGAACAATGTTGAAAAGGGAGGTCAGGGGAGTCATATCCACTCAAAAATTGTCGTAGAAATTTTTGACAAGCAAAGAAAGATTGAAAAAAAACAATCACACACAAACAAAAACTAGCTAAACAGAGGGGGTGAGGGTGGGTGAGCCGATGAGCTCATGGATTTCCCTCGTGTCTCTCACCCCTAACCCCACCCCACGCAGAGGTCTGCCTTGCAACTTTTTAGCTCACCTGAACCAAAGGCTTAAGTGAGCTTTTCTGATCAATAATTGTCCTTTGTCTTTCGTCGGCATTGTCGTTGTTGTCGTAAACTTTTCACATTTTCATCTTCTTCTCAAGAATGACTGGGTTAATTTCAACCAAACTTGCTACAAAGTATCCTTGGGTAAAGGGATTCAAGTTTGTTTGAAGGGCCATGCCTTCTTCCAAGGAGAGATAATTATGAATTTGGGGGAAGTTAATGGCATCATTTAAAAATCTTCCTCTCAAGAACCACTGTGCTTGAAAATATGAAACTTATGTGGAATCATTATGAGGTAGTGTAGATTCAAGTTTGTACAAAGCATGCCCCCCAGGGGTAGGGTGAGGCCACAATTGGTGATCAAATTTTGACATACCTGGTATTAGGAATACATACTAGGGAAAATCTTTTAAAAATCTTCTAAATAATAGCAAAGCCATGATTGGTCATATTTATATGGAAGCATCCTAAGGTAGTGTAGATTAAAATTTGTTCAAATCATGACCCCCAGGGGTAGGGTTGGGCCACAATGGGCCATCAAGTTTTACATAGGGATACAAAGGAAAAATCTGCTTCACAAGAACAGTAAAGCCATAATTGGTCATATTTATTTGGAAGCATCCTCAGATAGTGTAGATTCAAGTTTTTTCAAATCATGACCCTCCGGGGGTAGGGTGGGGCTACAATGGGTGATCAAAATTTTACATAGGAATACGTATACATAGGAAAAAATCTTATTCTCAAGAACAGCAAAGCCATGATTGGTCATATTTATATGGAAGCATCCTCAGGTAGTGTAGAATCAAGTTTGTTCAAATCATGACCCCCAGGGTAGGGTGTGGGGCCACATTGGGTGATCAAAATTTTACATAGGAATACATAGGAAAAATCTTTAAAATTCTTCTCAAGAACAGCAAAGCCATGATTGGTCATAATAATATTAAAGCATCCTCAGGTAATGTAGATTCAAATTTGTTCAAATCATGACCCCCAGGAGATTAGAGGAGTCATAACAGGGGATCATAGTCATACAAAGGAATATAAAGGATGTATCAATAAAAATCTTCTTCTGAAGAACAGCAAAGCCATTATGTGTCATATTAATTCAGAAGGGTAGATTCAAATCAAACAAATCCCCCCCCCCCCCCCCCCCCCCGAAACACTTTTTCAAAACTGAACCGATTTCTGCTTTTTCTCATCCAAAGTGCTCAGGTGAGCGATGTGGCCCCTGGACCTCTTGTTTTATGGATAGGATAATAATCGATTTAAGTAGAGAAAATGAACTGATGTCAGCGAGTGTATTTGTTTTATGGACAAATAAACCAATGCTTAAGAACATTTTTTCATGTCGAATGACACCAGGTACGATTGATTTCATTTTAACTGGTTCTCCTCCAGGGCTAGTTCCCCTGGCCTGTTGGGAAAAAATGAATTCGAGGACAAGGTATTTTTTAGTCTTTTTCCTCTATTTCCGTGTATCATTTATTGCATAAAATATAATAACGTATATTTCAGATATTGACACTGAAATTTACACTTTGCATAAAGACCACTTTAACCTCAGTAATACGAAGCAAAGCATAATGCCCTTCAGTTAACTCGAATTTCCTCGAATTGCATACTTAACTCAATTTGTTCACAGGAGTTCGCAATTTTATCAATAAAGTCAATAAAAATCACTCGATTGACCAAGCCATGAGCTATGCGTTAGCATAGCGAACAGTTCGCTATGCTAACGCATAGCTCATGGCTTGGTCAATCGAGTGATTTTTATTGACTTTATTGATAAAATTGCGAACTCCTGTGATTTGCTTGTCGACTTCATGGCGAAACATCTTAGGATAACAGACGAAAACGACAAAAGAGAATGTAAAAGCTAATTGGGAATTATTTAAGCCATTCTCCTCCTTTACTTTTTTTTAAGTACAGGTTTATTAGCAATTAAAATTTGATCAATCAACATCAATATCAACAGAGACTAGATTCAGCAGAACAAAATTACTGGTGTGTTAATAATTTCTTTAACAATGAAGTTCTTACATTGCAGACTATTTGGCCTTCTGAAAAACCAGTTAAGTCAAACAACATCAAGAAATATTGCATCAAAAGTAAGAAGACCAGGTAAGTTATCAGAAGTACAAAATCAGCTGTATCTATGTATCTAATGTTGACAGTTCTACATTCTCATTCAACAAGTACTTGAAGAATATACCATTTTGATTTTCTTATAAAAATTCCACATCTGTGGTTATAGACACACACTTTCAGTGAATCATTTAAAGAGATTAAACTGATTGTCACAAAGAATATTTCATATCATAATTTACTCATATTCAGAGATATTTGACAGATAAAAAAAAATTAAATACTGGTATTCACAGATATAAAGGTATTACGCCCATGTATATCACTTTGAACCGATTGTTATCCTAAGATGCAACTGTAAACATATAGTCTAAACAGTGAGAGGAAATAATATAGAATTTCTGTCAGATTGACTTTATAATAGAAATAAAATTCCCAAGTTTCTGAACACTCCTTGAAACCTTGAATTTACAGATGGAGTGCTTCGTCCACGACAAAGAGCAGATAAACCAGTTGATTTTGAAAGACAACTCCAAAAGAGAGACTTGATTTGGCTTGGAGTATGGACAGGCTGTTTTCTTGAGAGTGCATACTTGGCAAGAAGAATTTATCGAAGATTAACAAGTCCTGATAAATATATTAGGTAAATTGTTTACAGCTTCAGTACACTGAAGTTATATAATCTGGTTTACAGTCCTATAGCAAGTTAGTTCTAAAGACTAACATATAAGAACAGAGGGAATTTGAGTCCGCATATTGATCAAGCAAATTTCCATAATTCAAGACAAGTAGAGAAAACAGTCCATTGTGAACATTAATGAAAAAATAATATGCAAAGCATGTACCAGGTATAAGATTTAGATTTGTTTTATTATGAAGAACTCAAAGAAGTAAATAACTGCAAACCTCATAAAAGTAAATGCATGCTTCCTGCAAAAATCCTTCCCTTGTCGCATTTACAGGTGAACTTCCGTATCTCAAGCACTGATATCTCGGAGTGATTTGGAAGTCCGAAACACTTTTTCTTTAAGTATTTTACCTTTGTTATCTCAAATCCTTGGATATCTCAAACTTTTTTTCCATTCAATTCAAGATAACCAGGTTTGAATGTATTTGGAAAAGCAATAAATGATGTCACTCAGTTGAAGTAATTAATCTCTAAAACAACCAGGTAACCTGAGGATATTGTAATCCGCTCCTTGAGTGTTAAATGTGTAACTGTAATTGTAATCAGTTTAAAAAAATCATTTTTATTACTTTTCAGAATGAAAAACTCTTCAGTAATGTTCAACTGGTGGCATGCTTTTGGATGAGGTAGCAGACTTATGAAAATTTTTATGTATAGATTACTTAATAAATATTTGTATGGTTTTGTTGCTTTCTTTATACACTCATGCTAGGTACCCCTATTATTGAGATGTTTTTTATCTATGGTGGGCCCAGAGAAAAGGTGCAAATTTTTACCAATCTGATGAAAGCTGTTTTTCAAGCCTCAGTTTGTTGCATAGTCACCTTGAGCTGAACAAACAATTTATTTTAGGATAACATGAGTGCCTTGCATGTTAGGACCAAATGACTCCAAAATATATTTTGGGGACTGTTTACTACACTACAAACTGAAGCTGAACAAACTGACTGTTGGATAACATGAATACTGTACCTTTCAGCCTAAAGTGTTCATATTTATCACATAGATTGGGGGTGATTAGAGGAAGACAGTGTCTTCAAGACGCAGGTTTATAGTTTTTCAGATCATGGTCAAAGGTCAACATATTTAATATTAGAAACACACACAGATTTCTAATTCCCTGGAAGTTTTATGTTGTAAGAGTGATCTCCCCTAAGAAGTAAGGTAGACTATATGGGAATCTACAGTGAATAATGAAATGTAAAATAGATTAAACTATTCGGTCTTTACATTATACAAGATGAGGTATTGAATACCTTTTTTTGCCAGTATATTCTATCTAATAAATGTAAGTAATCAATAGTGATTGTTCTCTAATACCTTTTAGAGCCTCCTTAAATGACCATTTTGATGCAAACCTAGTAACTTGGATATTTTTACCTCTACTGATTAAAGATCAGAGGAGTTGGTAAGGTGTCTGTTTAAACAAATTTCGCTACTCCTCCTATAGCTGGTCAGATTTAAATAGAACTTGGTGCACAAGAACACTATACCAAGATACATCATGCCACGGTTACTAAAAATAGAAATTTCTGCGAAATCCTTTCTGAACGCTACTCCTCTTACAGTTTTGTTCCGATTCTAATTCTGTATAATATTGGTTTTTGACTCCACAAACAGGGATGGGAACATTGTTATTTTCTTTAGTTCTTATATTTTATGTTAACTAGCTTTCTTTTTTTTCTTTTTCCCCAAGATGGACTGCATGTATAGTTATCCTCATATTGATGTCAAATTCACATTAAATTTTCTACTCAACTCTCCTCTTTCATATACAAACACCAAAAGAGATTTTTACAAGAATGTCAAGAATGAATGGTAAGCCGAATAATTTAGAAAGAGAAAGTCTTGTCTTCCTAAGCCCCCCCCCCCCCCCAAAAAAAAACCTCATCCACACAAAATAGGTTTTTTTCAGGTTTGGGCAAGTTGATTTTTTTTTCCTTATCAGAAAATTTTTGATTCCGAAATTAGTTTGAGTTCGTGTGGACCCCCCCCCCCCCCTTTCCCTTTCCAAAAATAAAAAAAAAATCGTGGATCAGCGCATGGAAAGAATACATGTATAATGATTACCAGTTAATGATCTACGGGATTTTTTAAAAGTATATCCACAAAATCTGACCAACAACCCGTTGATGATTTAATCGTACAAGACTTTTATTTAATGGATCTTTTTCAACTTTGCCTTTTTATGTTTTAAAAACCCTCGGTCCAAGTGTAGGCAGCTGTCCTTTTCACCCATTTTCTGGACCCAACCACAATGACTGGTCAGGGTATTACTACAATTTTAGCTTACATGTAAATTTTACGTCATGCAGACCAACACGAGCAAAAATATGTCTCGCCTAGTCTCTGCATAAACTAAAGTCATCAACTGAAGAGTCATGCATTATTCTGCAAACAAGGCATGATTTCTCTCGTATCCCCACACGACACAGTGTTATGTGGAACAAAAAGTTATGCGACCAGCGATTGCCCTATTGACGACTCACTCCCTCTCATTGATATGCTGTCGTCATCGTTTTTTCCAATAAAATGGTCTAGCTTGGCCACTAATTTGTTTCCAGGAATGATTCGGTTGGATGAAATGTGTTCTCTTTTAAAGATCAAAAGTATGTATAAAATATTTTTTCTTTGATAAAATGAGTTAGATTATTTATGTTAAAGCCTCCTCCTTTTCTTATCTTTCCCTTTCTTACTGCTGTGCAATCCTTCTTTTTTTAAAAAAAAAATATACAACTGATATATTTTTTTTTTTTTAAAAATCATGGAATGGTAGAGCTTCTACTTGTAAGGAATTATTTTCATCCGATAGATATTGAAAATATTAAGGATTTATTTATCAAACATTCTTTTCTTTTACTGCAATATGAAAGATACCAGTATAAGTACAGTGTATTCAATATAAATAATAATATACAGTAAATATACTAGTAGTTAGTCAAAATGGGTTTTTTTATTTGAATGTAAAATGCGCTAGAACAGGTTTCTCAAAAATATATCGAAATTAATCACATTTCAAAATTTTAACTGGTATCAACCACAATAACTGTTAATCAAAATCATTGAATTCATCCGCCTAAAAGAAAAGCTGTACACTAATATCCTTAACGACGTTGGATCCTGATATTTAAAGTCTTAAACTTTTTTTGTCAAGTATATTTTTAGCTTCTACACACACAGCTTAATTAAAAATCAAAACAAAAAATGGGGGTCAATATGCTTCTTTTGGCGCTACAGTACATTTAAAATGACCTTTTTGCACTGAATTTGTGTCTTAATCAAAAATAACATCTTCGACGTTTTCCCTCCAATATTTTTTATCCAAATAAATCATGGGACAAAGTATGCTATTATTCTCTCTTTAAAAAGACATTAAAATTGTGACAAAGAAAAATTTTCAAATTGCTTCGCATAATCAATTATTTGACCTTTCTGCACTCACAAAATGTCATTTTTCGGGCATTAAAAATTGAACAAGCAAGGAAAATATTTTAAAGTCTTAAACTTTTGCTGAATTTAAGTAGATTGATCAGAGTTATCTTATATATTCAGAAAAGAAAATCAAAAGTGGAGGTCTATGATATTATTTTTAGATATTACTAAAAAACTTTTAATTTTATGATAAAATTGGCTCAATTTTTTCCAGGAGTTTCAGAATATATTTTCTATATTTGTCACAATATGATGATAGAATTCACAAAAACTGATTTAATTAATATTTTAGAACCAGCATTAAACATTTCAATGCACAAAATAGCTCTGTGTGCAACCAGCATGGAAAAATAGGAATCTAAACTTAACACTACTGTATATATTTCAAAAGGGAAAAAATGATCATTTTCTTCTAAAAAATCTTCCGCCACAAAATATAGTTCCTGGCTTAATCCTATTTGAATGGAATTTAATCGCGTTTTTTCATTGGATATAGTATAATTTGCATTGTAGAATCCAGATTTAATGTTAGAACTTAAAAATAATGCAGAATTTTAGAAATAAAGCTCCAGACCAAAATCTGCTCAAAAGCTGAGGATCGAACGTCCTTAAGGACCCTCTCTACACTGCACACTAATTTCTAGGTACTTTTGTGTAGTTAGACTGACCCAACATTTGATCTAAAATAGAATAAATTGCAATTTCCACTGTATTATATAAATTGTAAGTAATTTAAGTATTCTAAGCAATTTATTAGACCAAAATGGAGTAACTGAAAACTTTATTTGCATGTATTTTCCTCATTTGAGTAAGCAAATGCTATTTTTCTTTATCAGCACTCCGTCGTCTATGAAGATTTTTCCTGGTTAAAAAAAGGCAGGCACCCTATGTTAAATACAAATTAGATGATTTTAATATGTACTCTTTTACGCTAAATAATTTTCTCAAAGTAAAAAAAAAAGTCATCAGTGTATAGAGGATCCTTAAAGTCTCAAGTTAATTTTTGCAAGCCGACGGTTTTCGGTCCGCGCATAATCTGCCAAGGATTTCTAGGAAGCGTAGCGGCCCGAAAAAAAACCTTGGTTTTCAAAGATGATTAATGATATAGTATTCAGTAATTTTCGGTGTTTAAATCATTGATCTCTTTCCGTGTTATAACAAATGCTTTTGAGTTACGTGGTGTTACGATTTAAAGAATTTATTTTCTTGGAATAAATAAGAGTCATTTTCCTGTGTGCATAGGGAGCACCTGTTGCTTGAGGTAAATAGCCATAAACCCATAAAAATAAAATAGCAATTCTTTAAATAATAGATATGAATTAGTGACAGTTAAAATTTCCTTCCTTTTGTTTCTGTGCACTGTGATTGAAATTCTCTATTGTCGTCAATTAGAATATGAAATTTAAATATGCGACAGAATGTCCAAATCTTTACATATTTGGAGCAAAAATGATAATGGCCAAAATGGGGATTCCCTTATACTTTATTCATTACTTCCTGAAAAATGCATTTTAAACAATGTGTGCACAGTGTTTATCATCTACTGTATGTCATTCAAAAAGATAAAAGACATTCACGTTCTTGTATTGTTAATCAGATAGTATGGTTGGTATGTGTCATTGACAAAATGAACTCATTTTGCATTTAAGATTTCAAGATGGAGTACTTATTGATTAAGCTTAAACACAGTCATTTTGTTGGAATTCGAATTTACTGATATCATTAAGTACGACATATCATATGGATTACGGACCTAAATAGTTATTCAATTAAAATTTGAAAGTTTGCTTTTCAAGCGGACAGAATTGCGGAAATCCTGGCTATAGCCTTTATGCTCATCATGCATAGTCAAGTCATTTTGTTTAAACTTTTTATACTTGTGTTTTTTTCTTTTTTAAATCAAAATCCACCTCTGAAATATACTTCGCTGCGAGAGAGAGAAAAAAAATTCTCTTTTACGTCAAAATTCTTGCGTCTTTTTACGGCCAAATTCTTGCTTCTAAAAAAATCGTTCTGCGTTAAAATTCGCTGTCACCATCTAGGAAGCCTCATATTGATACAGGACGTTCACATATTATTTTGGGGATTTATGTGCCAAATGTCACCACATTGTCTATTTCCACCTGACTTTGGGATTCACCACTTGACAAATCAAGCAAAAATAGAACACGCAATAGCTGTTTCTGGGCATCTAGTACTCGTAAATTCAGATTTCCCCATAAAGCAGAATTGGATTAGATATGCATATGTTCATCAACCGATCATACAATTATTATACATGTACTTAGAACTACAACATGCACATAATTAATTATACATATACCTGTGTGCTTGCAAATTTTTACACTGTAATATAGCAGAGACTTGTACACACGTTTTTACACTCAGGTGCAACTGAGTTACTTATGGTACAACTAGATCATTTGATTAAATGTGCTATGTAAGGTTGCAGACAGGAAAAAACAGTTCATACTCTCAGACACTGTACTATTGTCCCTTTATTTACAGAATTGCAAAAACAGATAATTTATACTTCTCATCCTCCTACCCCCCCCCCCTCCACCACGCCTGTGATTCTTGCCAATGGTTGAGTGCTAAGACATATCCTCAACTTGTAAACATTTTTTTATGAATATGTGCTACTGTCAGCAGAAGATCGGGTATCATGCACGAATCTAGAGGGGGTCCAGACACCCCCTTAGAATTTGCAGAGTTATAATATGTATATTCTGAAGCAAATAAAAAATGACTTTGGACCACCACCCCCTAGAAAACGTGGTCCCCATCATATAGGCTTTTTTGCATGGTTGGGAATGGACTTTACCTTTTCTTTCTTTCTTTCTTTTTTTTATGCTTGTCAAGAAATTTTCTGGGTTGGGATTTTTTTGATTGGGGTGAACCCCCCCCCCCCCGGAAAAAAATCCTGGATCCGCGCCTGGGTATACGATGTAAAGGACCTTTCAGCGGAGGCATACCACATTTATGTCTCTCATGCAGATTTAAAGCGCAATTCTCTATAACCACTTAAATTTTTTTTTTTTGGGGGGGGGGGGGGGCTTGGTCACCGATTTTGATAAAACTTTGCTCATTACTATAGTTGACAACATAAACGTAAATCAATCAAAATTCAGTTGTGCTTTTTGTCCTTGTTGCCATGTTAACAGACGATGTTATTTTACAACACATAGTGTAAAAAGTTTGTGCTATCATGGGAAAACATCACAGATCACTTCTAATTTCATATTATGGATAATAAGCATTGGTATATCTAAGGCTAGATTAAAGAAAATTTGATTTCTCTAAAGATGTATTTACTTTTGTACTTTTATGGGGGTAAAATGTCAACTTTTTGCTTGTTTGTTTGTATATTCAGGAAATGGCACATAGAACATGAGTTGACACATGACATCTAAAGAAATTATAACATACAAGTAAAATTGTATGTTGACACTTGAAATCTTAAGAAATTATAAAATACAAGTAAAATTTCATAGGTTCTTAAAACAATAACACATTATAAAAAATAGATAATTATGAAGAATTTTTTTATATAGTTTTACAATACAGTTTCTTAGACTTCAAAGAACCTTCAATCATATTGAGATGCATGAAATGAAAATTGTTGCACGAAGATTTGAATTTCAAGCTTAATTTTGATCCTTTTTTTAATTAAATAAGAATTTAAGAGTTATCCTTCCTGGCTGAGGAGCGGATATCCTTAACTATTCTAAATCAGTACAACATATTATATTTACACCTTTTTTCTCCTGTTATGTGGAACGAATTCTAGAGCAAAGAAAAGGCATGTTAATGAACAGAGACACAAGTATTTTAAAGTTAATTTCTGGTGATATCTTTCAATGAGTATACGTATGTTTGACTCATCTCACTAAATAGGCAATTTCACTTTCAAATGAAGATATTTCTGTACATTGATTGTTTTAATTTAATCTTGATGATGCATGCATGTGTTCGAATTTTTCCCTTTTTATAGAAAATTTGAATAGTCCATCACAAATGATAGGTTTTTCTCTTTGAAAATTAAATGTGCCACAAAAGATCAAACACAAACATACATATCTAGTGACAAGATACATAAGATTGTTTAGCTTAATTATAACTGACTATAAAAACATATTAGCGATATTGAAATCTATTTTGATATTTCTGCATGACTCATGTTATAAATATATTTATGTAATGGTTTCAATGATTTTCATTTGCAATTCGAAATATAAACTGGTGTACAATTTGACAAAATGCAAAACAATTATCATTTCGTCTTTTACATGATGGAGAGCCAAATAACGAAGCTGAACATACTCTGTACAGGGTTTTATTTTCGCCCCTTTCGCCTTGTAGTCGATGCGGAATTCAAACCCGTCCGAACTTAACACAGACATATGGAACGCCATATTAAAATATATCAAATATTTGAACCTATCTTCAAATAATTGTACCTATCTTCAAATAATTGACTTTTGTCATTACTTTTTTATTCAACGTCAAGTATAAATTCAAGTAATTTGAATAAAAAAAATTAAATATGTCATGATATATATATATATATATATATATATATATATATATATATATATATATATATATATATATATATAAGTCCAGGAGTACGGTCAAAATGGAAAAAAAAATCGCTAACAATATACTTTATAATGTCTTTAATAATACATTTGTATGTGTATTAAATGGCGCTTAAATAAAAAAAAATTTAAACGATCAAATTTAGTATTGTTACATCATTTCAGGTGCCAAATTGTGTTGTAATATTTTGCTTCATTGAGAAGTAATCAATTTTAGAAAACCCTCATTGGAAAAAAAAAGATAACCCTGAGCAGCGAGTACCGATATGTACAATAAATGGATAAATCTTTATATGTCATGAATTTCAGTAATTTTATTCAAAAGTCTATGACTTTCTTGATAAACTATAAGAAAATTCATTTTTTAAATTTTTTTTCAATTAACTTATAAAATCTGAATAAGTACATCTAGGTGTGTGGTTGTAAAACAAATCAATTCCATGTTTATTCTAATTTGATGAGCGTCATTGCGTGGTTGATTAAGATATTGCATATAAAACTACAAACTAGTGTATCTATCAATATAAATTCTAATTTAAAATGGATAATCGCACGCTATTTTTAATTTCCTTCATTATTGTATTCAGTTGTGTAAATTAGCGTCACTTATTGTTTCTCTGTGTAATTTTTTGTCATTTTGTCTTATTTCAAGAGGCTCCTGTCAGTTATATTTAATTTGAAAGTTATTGTCTGCATCTCACGTCAACATTTACTGAAAAGTCCATGATTTTTATGCATAAATTGCCCTCAGGTCTATGTAAATTAGCAACCGTGTAGGATATATGAGAATATGGTCGACAGGCGGCAAAGCATTTGAAAAAGGGACAGAACTTAAACCGGACGGGGTAATACTCCATTTACTTGTGAAACTTTTTTTTTCATTTCCAAACAGGGGTAGAACTGATCCACTCACGATGAATTGTGACTTGTGCATTCTTCTCTCCTACATGTTGCGCATGCTCTGTCAATATGATTCAAAGCTTGCCGAACAGTATGGTAAGTTTTATTGTTTATTATTATTATTTTAATGTACCCCGCAAAGTCACACTATGTTTCAAAAAGGTTTTCGTGCCTCGTAAAATACAATTTGAAAAGTAAACAAAACAAAGAACTTTTTTTTAGGAAAATGAACAGTAGTTGGCTTCAGTTGTTTTTTTAATATAATTTTTATAGTCCTGAACTTTATGAGATTTTTACCAAAAGTTTTGTAAATCAAGAGAAAATATAAAGTATTCTAGAATACCATTTGAGTCTAGTATTACAATTCTCAGATTTCCAAAATTCTTACCAGGCAAGTTCGTTTGGACACTTATTAAGACATAACCGAGTTTTTAAGTATTTCTAATTTAAAAAACAATAATTTATCAAACAGTGAATTCAAGCCTTGTTTAATTTAACTATGCACATGTATACTATTACTCACTCAAAATTAAACATGTTTAAATGGAATGTCATGCACGTAAATATGCGATAACTTTAAATTCAAACAATAAAATTCATCTTATTTTATTACCCGAACCTCCCAAGTTAACATATTTAGTATTATTATTCAAGTTATATTATATATATATATATTGTGGTCCTTAATTTTTGGATGGCTTCAATGATTGTTTTCAGTAAACATCGTTTAAGTATGGTCTATTATATTCAAATCGTTTTTAAATTATTTAATTGCATAGAAATACCGCTACCCACTTCAAAAGTGAAGAAATGTTTAGAAATAACTAAAGATTTTTAAAAATTTGAAAGTCAATTTGCGTAGTAGGTTTAGTGGGAAACAACCAAATTATGAAATAATATTAGATTAGCGATCCCACCCAACAACGTCTTTTCCTTCTCTTTCGTTTGTCTAACATCACAAAACTACGTAACAGATTGTCTTCTTTTTTTGCGTTGATGAAATAGGTCATAAACAAGAACTGTAAACCGTTTTTATTTTTTTTTTAATGTATTAATCGTGTCTTTATTTGATAAATAAATTTGGTACCAAAAAATCATTTCCCTTTGACTCAGTTGTTTATATACATTTATAAACGTGATAAAACAGGTTTGGGATTTAACAGAACTTAACCGGGCTCAAGAAGATTAACACACTGTCTTGTATTTTCGTTTTGACCGAGTACCCGGGTACTCGATCGGAAAAACGTCCGAGTAACCGATTATCAAAAATTGACCAATTTGACATCCCTAATATATATATATATATATATATATATATATATATATATATATATATATATATATATATATATATATATATATATATATATATATATATATATATATATATATATAAACCGTATATGCATTTATTTCCTTTCTTAGTTCTTTTTGTAATAAACAATTCTCTCTCTCTCTCTCATGGTCCTAAAATCGCTATTAAACTAAATTAATTCGTTATACAACTCAGAGGACATATGACTAGAAATTCATACATGCATGCTCGCTGAATTTGGAAAACAAGAAATTTAGAACAAATATTCGATAACGAAAGAACCCAGAAGGCAGTTAAAAACAGGCGACTTTATTTTTCGAACCAAGAATATTAAGTGCACTTCACATTCATGATTTTGAGAAAGGGAGTCTGTGGTCAAGTTATGCATGCGTGAGTCTGCAACCGAGTTACTTAAAAGGGGGGGGGGGGGGGCAAGTGACCATCTCTCAACCCTAGAGGACATGAACTCTTCCCAGTTCACGTAGAAACTCTAAATGACAGCTATCTTCTATCATATCTTCTATCAGCTAACTGACACGTCTTTATTTCCTGTCTTCATCGGAAGGAAAAAAAAATTGTCATCGTAAATTATCAAAAAACTAGACTTTCAAAGCGCTAAAGGGAATGAAAATTTTCTACAAACAAAATTAGTACATATTGCTCATTTAAATGTGGAGAAAATCAAGATACCCTTATATCATTCCTAGCATTAAAAACGATTGCTAAACTTATGTAATTTCCTGTATGTCAGGACAAATTTCTGATTTAAAAAAAAATATTATTAAACAAAGCTCTTAGATCGCTGTGTTTTGTGAATAAAGTATTTTATTTAAAGTATAGAGAATATATATTTTCAACATTGAAAAATAAAAAAAATTGTCATCTAGTGCATAAAGCATAAAGCCCTCCTAAACAGTAGTTTTATTATATGTCAGATTCATTAAATTTTATGTCATTATCTAATTGCAAACGAGTTTTCAGATTAAATCTAAACTGTGACTTTGCACAGAGGTATTTGAAATAAAGGACATGCGCAAAAATTGCTGGAATAAAATAAATCATAAAAAGATCATTTTAATGCAGATAATAAATTCATTTTTGCACCTATGATTAAAATTCTGTTAACTGTCATTGAGGATTACTTTTTTATAGAATATTCTATTTTATTTGTCAGGTTTCGTGCCAAGGGTCAAAGATTCCCATGTTTTCTGTCACACCAAAACCCAAAATTTCATAATCTTCCTATAATTATATGTATATTTATTAATTGTAAAAATTTAATGAATGAATTCATGTTTTGAAACATTTTATCTCATTTCCTGATTGTAGTGTTACACATCACGGTCTTATTTGCACTTTCCATAATGTTTAGAAATGACTTAATTCACTTTAGAAATGACATAATAAATCCCTAAAATATAAAGAAATCGTAAGTTTTCTCTGGGGCTGAAATATATGCCATTTTGTGCTGTTTCCAATGTAATTCTACACAAAAGTTTGCATACTTTTTAAAAAATTATTACAAAATCTTACAAAATTTTCACACTTACCCAGGCAAAGATTATTCAGGTTACCTATATGAATATAAGTCTGTGAGATATATTGCTGCTTTCTGAAGAAAAAAAAATTGTGCGTGTTATTTATCCTTAGTCCAACATTTCAATTGGTAAAACACATTAAAGTTACATGTATAACCCTTGCATCACCGTACAAACAGTATGAAATGTTATGACTTTCTGTCTATAGACCATTAAACATATATTCGAGGTAAATAGCAAGATGTAAACCAACGTAGTAATCTCACCACTCTGACTCAAAACATCAAAATTTCTTTACACAGTTCATTCACAAAATTACCACTCCATTAATTGATACATTGTACATTATACGTATATATATATATCCAACTTGCTACTAACTGAAGGATTTATTTTTAGGAACTGGAAACCAAGTACCTGTCACTCTTGATCAAAGACTCCTGGAAACCAAACAGAACACGCCCAGTAGAGATGTAGAAAACTTCAAATGGAGCTACGGGGGATCTACGGGTAACATCTTCAATTAATTTTATGGTAGTCCATTGGTTTCCTATTCCATGTCTTTTACCCCCAACTTCGTGTGTTGTCTTCTTAACAATACAAATTTCTGGGATAATGATCGTATTATCATTGTTGTAAATTTTGAATTTACTAGGGGGAGGTAAATGCAAAAGAAGATGGGTGAACAAGGCGTGCAGAATGCCTATAGCTTCAGCTATTCAAAAAATTATATTCAATTTGTGAATTAAGTATTCAAAGTGAAGTTCTCATTATTGAAATTTATGAAATTATGATCCACAAAACTTTTCTGAGAAAAAAAAATCTTGGAAAAAATTATTCTTTTATTAAAAATATAAAATGATATTCGCGGGATTCGAACCCCTAACAATAAAAATCCGGAGTATCATATTGCTTTGAGACTAACATGCTAACCACTACGCTACACAGCTCCTGATGAATTGTGGCATTTAAATCATGTTTGTGACATGACCCTTGACTTAATGGACTTCAAGTATTTTTCGGAAAGATGCGAATGCTTTGTCATAAAAGTGTACTTTTAAGGTATAGTGGGTCTTTGCATATTTTTATGCAAACTTTTAGGATTAACTTTCAAAAAAATGGAGCGAAGACCCACTCATATTGAAAAATTTTGTTTAAGTGTGAGAAAATGACCCTTTTTGTCCTCTTTAGTGTGTGTATGCTATTTCGTAGGCAAATAATTTCAGTCTTTGCGAGATTTTTGTAAATTATAAAGATTTTACATAAAGTATACTTTAATGTTAGATGAAATATCAAAGAAAATTTGGATATAATTGAGATTTTATTTTTCACTTCATGCTTGTCGCACTATAGGCACTTCGCCCGCCTTGTTCACCCATCTTCTTTATATCATGTTGTAAATTTTGCATTGACCTCCCCCTAGTAAATTCAAAATTTACAACATAATAGTATGGTTTCCTATTTACCTTCTCTATAATTTTATATCCATCTTCTACATCAATGAAGCTGTAATCTATACATTTATTGGAGATAGTAGACTGAGTATTAAACATAGCTCTTAACCACAGGTCCTGACCATTGGCCTGAGTATTTCCCGCAGTGTGCTGGCAGACGACAGTCTCCTATTCACATCAGAACAGCAGACATTCAACATGTCACGTGGCTCCCAGAATTCCAGTTCATCAACTATGACAAATTAAGCGGAGACGGAATGCAGCCAGCTTTTCTGCATCTCAGGAACAACGGACACACAGGTGGCCATTTTTCTGCGAATTATTGTTTTCCGAAATATGAAGAAAAAAATACACGTAACTTTTCTCGAAAATGTATTGTGAGCAAATTGCACTGAGATACCCATATAAACTGCTTCCTTAATGCTATTTGATTTGTTACATTCATAAAACAGCTAGTATGGCAATTGATGACGAAATTTACCTTCGTGGCTCGAATTTGGGTGAACTGTATCGAGCAGTGGAGATTCATTTTCATTGGGGTTCAGAAAACAACATTGGTTCAGAGCACGTACTCGACAACCATCATCATCCCCTGGAGGTTCGTATTTATACAACTATAGGGAGTGACAAAATCATATTTACTGTTTAAGAATTTATAAGAAATTTATGCTTTTTCCTATAGGTTCACATCGTCCACTACAATACAAAATATGCTACGCTTGCTGAGGCAAAGAAGCAACCAGACGGACTAGTTGTAATAGGAATATTTGCAGATGTAGGCTAAGGGCATCTTACCATTAAAATTATATGCAACTAGTGAATATATTCTGTTTATGTTTAATAATTCAATCACTGAAGAGTCTCTCTTAAAAAAATAAGTGATGATTAAATTGTTTCAGATATCCGAGGAAAAGAACCACGCATTTGAATTGGTAGCCACGGCTCTTGATCAAGTAACAGAATACGGTATATTCTTCAGCTTCAAACCGCAGACAAATTCATTTCATATAGTTGAGACACATAATTTTTGAAGAGTTTGCAAATATTTCATATTTTCATCTTATTTTTTTTCTAGACCACAAAACAATTGTAACCGGGTTAAGACCTATCGATATGCTTCCAAACGATACATCCAGATACTATCATTATGCCGGAAGTCTGACCACACCTCCCTGTTACGAGTCTGTTTCGTGGTACGTTATGCACGAAGGGATAACAATCACGCAAGATCAGGTACTAAAACCTTATGAAGACGTTTTCTTGAAATATAATTAAACTAGCTGAAATCCCGCGCAAGCGCGGGGAATCGAATTTATACCTCTACCGACAGAAAAATTCCAATAATATATATTGTAGTTTCTACCGACAGCCTACAGGCTTATAGCAGGAAGAAATACTTCGTTTAAAATCTCGCATTTAGTTTTGGAGCAGAAGTAGATGTACATCTCCAACCCACCCACCCACCCCCATCCCTTTTTTTGTAAAAACTTGAAAATAACAATTTCATTGATTGACGTTTATTGTGTAACCTGTTATACTATTTAATGGATATTGTACTTCTGGTGCTATTATTTCGTCAAGGACAGAAGCAACGAATATGCATATTTAACTAATAAATTGATTTTTAATTTTTTTTACATAAGCTTTTAACGCCCTATAAATACGCCGAGTATTTGATACAAAAGACTGTATACAGAAATAAAAGCTGAAAAGTATCGATTAAAGTACAAAATTTTAACAGCTTTAATTGTATTTGAATCTAATATTCATTTATTTGCTTTTTTTCATGTAAGCAGTTTTATTACGAAGTACAAATTGTACTTCGGGTTCGTTGCCACGATGCTCTCAGTGAGAAATATACAAATTTTACCGATAAATTTATTAGAAAAACCTACTAATAGTCTTTGGATACATTTATACATTCACAATTTATAACGTTATCAATGATTTACCATTATTTCATTGACCATTCAGCCAAAAAAAAAATTTATGCTCATAGTTATAATCGCCTCGTTTTTCTTTTTTAACAATGGGCTCGATGCTATAATGTTCTAGAAGTTTCCGTCAATATTAAGATCGGTGAATGCGAAAATAATTTGCACATTTCCCTTTTTCATCGGTTATCACAATTTATTTCTTTCATATTATTTAAATCAAGATTTTATTGAATAATTCAATGATGACGTTTTGTGGAATAAATAAACGATTGCTTGTTGTCAGTTTCATTAAAAATTGCCAGTTACTTAAATCCGCCAACCGAAACCGCCACCGTACTCACGTTTTTGCTATTTCATGGTTGTTTATAGAAAATGAAAGTAGAATTTTAATTTCATGTACGATACTTACTATGCGAGTGAAATCTAAATATAGTTTACGGACATCATCTTGTATCTATAGTTTATTCTTAGAGAGTAAGTAAGAACTCTGGTGCAGCCGTTTCGGAGTTTATGTGCAAAATTTCTTAATTTATAAGTATAGATAGTTAATCAAACTAAATTTGAAACTGAAGCAATATTTTCCTTTGTTCTCTATAGATCAACCGACTCCGCCATCTAAAAGAACACGTGGAGGACAAGCATAGTCCACACAAACCTCTGTCCGTAAAATCTGCCGGAGAAACACAAAACATAAACAACACCGACAACAGAATTGTTAATTCACTAGAAACGACTGACCATCACTCACCCAGGACAAATTACATAAAATACAATTTCAGACCTTGTCAACCTTTGTATGGCCGAAGAGTTTACTGTAGCCATCCTTCTATGGTCAAACAAAAGTCCCATCAATCAGAATTTTCTGTAAGTGATATTGCTGTCAGCCATCATGTCTCCAACCTTGGTGATCATGACGTTTCCAAGGCTTTGCTGCAAGATAGTGGATTCCATGGCTCTATTGGATCCAGCCTATCTAATCACCCCCACGAAAGTCATTTACATGGAACTACATTGAACATGCACTCACATGAAAGTCAATTGCCAGCAAAAAGAGTGGAAATCGATTTGGGTGGCCATAAAGCGGAGCTACATAAAAATACCCAAAAAAGTCCTGAGAGAACCAAAGACGTCTCGCTAGGATACAGCAACAAAATCTCTGACAAACTGTTTCCTGAAGAATTAAAGGACGTCTTCTCAAAAAAACACATTCCAAATTTTAAAGAAAAGTTAGAACCAAAGGATATTTACAAGATATTTGGAAGAATTTTCCTTCGACAGGCACAAATTCTCACCGCTCAAAAGAAATCTACTGACAAAGGAAATACAGTAAATACACAACTTTTTAACGAACCAGAAATAAAAGAGTATTCGAATCCAGTATATAAAGTAAAGAAGATTGAGACTGTCAAAAACCCAGAACAGATAATACGTCATTCACACCCGAAACGAAATCTTCCAAAGCAAAAAGTGCAAAAGAGACCAAATAATACGGTTCTCAATTCGCCAGCTAGAAACAGTGTTTCAAATTTCAAATTGGTCAACAGACAGAAAAGTTCTGGTAAGTCATTCAACCTTGCTTCCGACCATCGCAGTTCGTACAGCGCACGCAGAAGTAATCAAATGGTGAACGGTGGATTCCATTTTTCTGTGCGTCAACCTGTATATCAGCGAAAAATCAACAAACAGCATTTTTATACACCAAGTAAAAAGAATAAGTCAACTCAATATCAGTCGAAATCTCACAGAAGTCATTACAGTTCTGCTAAGAATACTCATATGAAATCGGAAACATTAGACACTCATATGAAATCGGAAACACTGAACACTCATATGAAACCAGAAGGATCGAACACTCGAATGAAACCAAAAACATCAAATGGGGAGGTGAAAAAGAGAAATTTGATCGATTTGATTTCTGAAAACCACCTTGACGTGTTAGACAGTAACTTTGCAATGAACACACAGAACATGGTTTCTTCATACACTTCATTAGCGCCTCAAGTGGATGGCAGTGTAGGCTTCAGTGAGCGCATGCCCCAACTTCCTTTGAAAACTCTGGGTTTAGAAGAAACGGCCGTATTTCCGGAGTCAGTCGGTTCAGGGTTATCAAACCGAAAGAGCGACACGATGACAGAAAAAGAGCAAAGGATGATAAAAAGTGTTCTAATGGACCGTATCACACAGTCAACTCCAGAGCCACCTCTAGCAACTAAATCAATACCAGAAATTACAAAGGGCCCGACCCGGACGTCAAAACCGGATATGGTACATGAACAGAATCAAACTTCAAAACCCGAAACAACACATGAACCGATCCATCATTCAAAAACAAAAATGACACAAGAACCAGTCCTTATTCATGAACCAGAGATTGGACATGAACTAATCCAAACATCAGGATCAGAGACTGTGCATGAACCGGTCCAAACGATGCTTGGTAACGAGAAACTACGTTTTCCAATTCAAAGAGAAAGAAACACCACCAATATACCTATTAGAGAAATTTTAGGTAGCCATAGCAACATGCTTTCAATATTGACTGATCCTACACCTACAGAAGAGAAACCTTATCTACCCTCATGAGGGACATAATTTTGATTTCCAGTGTTCAAGGAGAAGCAAAATAAAGGGTGTTCCTTGACAAGCACCGCCTTTCTTTCGCCAAATGGTGAATCTATCCTTAAGGGTGGAAACGCCACGGCCAAGGAGAAGAGAATCAGGCAATATAATGTGTGCCTCGCTTGTTTAGGATGTTCATCATTTTGTCAAATTAATGATCCTTATGACAGAGAGGACGGAATATTTTTTTTCTTAACGGGCTCCTTGGTTTGAAAACGGTACGAGAACAAGGTTCAAAGTGGGATTGCCACAACCAATTTCTTTTTGATGTTTTCGAAATATTTATTCCACAAAGAATTTGGCCAAATGGTTGTTACGGTACCTTGATTTCTTTGTTTTTGTTGTCTTGGAATTAGTTTATGTGTATGTACCCACATTAAAGGTATTACATTTTCAATGCCTTGTTTCTTTTATCTTAATAACTCATAGGTTTTATATAACAATACAAACAGCTTTAAGGTCATCCAGCCCTTAGCAGCAATTTCTGCTTTGGAAAGACGATGAAAGGGGAAGGGGGTTATCATTCTCTTCGTTCAAACTGTGCCTATGTGAACAATATAGCACTGTCTTCTTGTTTCATTGTCCTGATGTTCAACAGCTACTAAAATCTCAAATGTTGCAACTCATCGAGCGAAAGTCTACATGGATGAAATTACGAATTTACGTAAGTCTCCAGCCATATTGTCACTTTGTAGTATCTATTTACAGAAAAAATTATCTTAATACATATATTGCTTTCATTTAATTCGACATAAATTCACTATTTGTTCATACTGCAATTAAAATAATTTTACGCTTTTTTATTTTCTATGAAAATATATGGCGCTGGTTTAATTAGCAAGCTTTTTTTCCGGGGGGGGGGGGGGGGGGGGGGGTGTCTCGCTGTGAATGGCATTGTCAGTTTATGAATGACTTTATCATTTCTGTATGAGAACCTTTGTCGTTTGATAGATGGTTTAATGGACTTCTATCAAATCATTCATCAGTAACTGCTAACGAAGGATAAAAATGTTCTTTCCGATTAGTCAGGCATAACGTTAGAACACATGTTTGTATTTTATGTGTCTGTTACCCCAGACACGATATATGATACAGTAGAGCCTGTTAATCCGGAAACCTGTGTCATGCCGAGAAAATATAAGCACACTAGATTTGGTGAACTTATTTGAAACGCAATTACAGTTAATCAGTGATTTTCCAGTGCGAGGCAATTGATGTCAGCAGTCGAGCGAAGGATCCTAAATTTTACGTTTGAAATTTAAGATATGATACTAACTATATTCAGAGATGTATCCATCTTCTTCTTCTTTTTTTTTAAAGGGGGGTCCATTTCAAAATGCGTGTAAAAATAACATGAATATATACAATGTAAATAAAATATCTTAAGAAATAAAATGAAAAGAACAAAAATTAAAAAAAAATGTCGAAACCTGCAATCCTTAGATTTTCTTCCATGCGTTGATCGGGGGGGGGGGGGTGTTCTGGGAATTTCAAAGGTTCTATGTAAAAGTACCGAATAAATGACCTTTGACCCCTGGAAAACACGACCCCCTCTTAAAATGGTGAGAAGAATCATGTATCTGAAGGAAATAGACTTAAGAAATTATTTTGTCCTCCCCCCCCCCAAGAAAGAGGGTTTTTTTACGTTTGAGGAAGATGACTACCTGATTATATATTTTTGATTCCTGCCCTCTGATGATAGAGAGCAAAAGCAGGGGTTGGTTACAAGTAATGCCAGTTTAATCTTTAAACTTCCTGGGGATGTATATGGGGTTGAATGGGTTGGATATAGGGCATATATGGAAATAAGAAGGATATGAAAAAAATTATATTAATGTAAAATTTTGCTTTTAAATGCGTAACAGGAAAGATGTAAAGAGGTTCAAGTTAACCTTTTCCTCGAAGGGAAAGTGAAATATGCAGGGTAAGAATTGGTCACATTACATCATTGCCACCAGCAATTTCTCTTTTTTTATATAATGACCTTTGACATTGACCTAATTTTAAGGTCAGATGTCAAAAGTTCCATTACAGGTGCTCCCATGTTTCTACGACTCTTTGTGTTCAAGTTTTAGGCTTTAACTAAGAAAACTTAAAAGCTTAGGATCCACCCCTCAAAGTTGCTGGCATTAATTCTCTCTCACGTCTTAGAGAAATATGGGTGATTAGCATCAATTACACTTTTATTGAGTTCATCGCTGTCGAAATTGGTCGAGATTTCTTGGCATGTACTAGCAAATCGTCCGGGTTAATGAAGCGTCCGGATGATAAAACTTATATGATATAAATGTAAAATTCTGTTCCCCACAATTTTTCCTGGTATGTGAAGCGGATAATCGAGGCTCAACTGTATACTCCTTAAATGTAAAGAGTATACTGCAAAAGAGTCCGACCTCTTTGATTAAGTTAACAAATACATGTATAAACTTCAAGAAACCACTCACTAACCTGTATCTTGAAAATGGTAGTTACAGATCTGTAGCTCGCCGGTCTGAAAAGACCCACAGATCTGCAGCTAAGGACATGCCCTCACACTGTTAACTTTACAATGCATACATCGAAATTTAACATACCATCACTCAATATCCTTGTCCTTCGAGGTATGGCATTAAGCTAAGGTATAAAACACACTTTAATGTTAATTATGTGGTCTGGAGACGATACTAAGACAGAGAGACTTCCATGCCAAAAGTAACTATATATTTGGATTAGCAAATACAGTTGAACTTCATTATCTCGAACATCGATATCTCAAATACCATGGATATGTCGAAGTGATTTGAAAGATCGAACCACTTTTACTTTATGTATTTTAACATCATTATCTCGAACCTTCAGATATATCGAAGTTTTTTCTTGGTCCCATCGAATTTGAGATAACTAAGTTTGACAGTAATTGTCTGTATCAAATATGATTCGTTGTTGTGTAAATACTAAGTTACAATCTCATGTTCCCTTTGTGGGAAGGGAGGGGGGGGGGGGTATATTGTCTTACCCGAAATTCTTCTTATTATACTTCTAGATGAAGGCGTTATGTTAGTGTTTGGATTGTTGTCACTAAATCTGTCCATCACAAAATGTGTCCAGGCCATGACTCTTGAACTGTAATCAAACTTCACAACCTAAGGGTGTGTCATAATACTGACCTTAGTCAAAGTTCAAGGTCACTGGATGACATAATGAAATGGCCTCTGTGCTATAACTGTGAACTCTAGATTGGAAAGAATTCAAAGAAAACCAGCTTGCCTATGTTACTGATGAGCTCATGGTTGTGTCATCATCTTACTCAAGGTAAAATATTTAAAAGTTCAAAGGGCAATGAGACATAGAAATTCAGATCTTTGAACTGTAAATATATTTTGAAGTGCCTTTAATCTCTTACATTATATGCTGTTAATTAATACAAATTGATAAGGGTAGTATCTTTGTAAAAGTTGAGACTAACTATCTTTACAGTCAAACCTCGTTATCTCAAACTCAATGGGACAGAGAAAACTTCTAGATATTCAAGAATTCAAGGGTAAATTACTTACATAATAAGTTTTGGGACTTCCAGATCACTTATCCATGGTATATCAGTGTTTGAGATATCGAAGTTCAATTGTACTTAATTCAATGAACAATAATTGAACAAGCATTGCGAGTCTCATACCACTAAGGCTCAGTTCTGTCAAAATCATTGCAAACTTGATCTGTTACTCATCAAGATACATATGCCCAAAATGAGCTCAATATATGCAAAATTCTAGAAAGAAAGTCTGGTAAACCAACCTTTTTCTATTTATAGATTTATTTGGCCAGTGGGACAGACTGACTGACAGACAGACAGACGAAGAGGAAACCAATGGTCTTCTCCATTTTCACCAATAGGGGACTAATTTAGCTCTATTAAATGGAGAAAGCCCAGTTCTTTTATTAGATATAATCCTAGAACCATATATCCTTGACATTCACCACAAGAAAGATAACTTAGATACACTCTCAATTTTTTTAAGCAATTTTTTTAATGACATATCCAAATTTCTATGAAGAACACATTTACATATAAAAGATTATACAATCTGTATGTCATCAGGCCGGTGCTTCTCTCCCACACGGTTTTTGCCATCGTATTTGATTCCAGGTTTAAATTCTCCTTCATGGACCGCCTCTTCTCCGATCTCTATTCCAGCTTCCTCCAAAGCATTCAGCACTGCCTTTATCTACAGTAATACTTATTTACTGAGAGAACTTAAAAGTAACCTCTTTTAATGTTAGCCATCTTTAAGGAAATTGAAAGAGAATCAGCTATGTACCTACCATTATTTTGAAATCAATAGTACCTTAGTATCACTAATCTAGATGTATGCAGAGCATATTAAATATTATAAAGAATTTAAAAAAAAAAAAAAAACTGTTAAATTTTAGCTTTGAAAGTAACTCAAAAAAAATCTTCAGGTCTGAATGTACCTTTTCCCCTCCGTGACTGTCTGAGACTGGGTCATAATACACATTGACAATGCCGGCTTTTTGACAGCGATCAGCAAACACGCGCCCAGTATTGACAGCTGCTGACACATCTCTGGCACTATATAACACAAAATAAAGATGTTCATGTTACACAAAAAAAACCACACAGAGTTTTTACTGAATCAGCTGTTTTAATCATAATGTATTAATTCAGCTTTGAATATTAAACACATTTTCTTCATAGCTTTAATTTTAAACATTGGAGAGTAATTAAAGTTTATTTTGTTAATTGTTGTTTCTATTCATTAGGATAAAACCTAATTCTCCTCATTTTTGCACTAAACAGAATCAAATTATTGAACAATACCTGTATAAAAACAGAAACAAATTAATGAACAATACCTGTATAAAAACTGTCTTATGGCCCATTCTGATGAAGAAGCATAAACAACTTTCCTCCCTGAGGAATGTTCTAGGTACGCCTCTATTTTGTTGGAGGTAGGATTAATATGGAGTCTACAAATATATATATATATATATATATATATATATATATATATATATATATATATATATATATATATATATATATATATATATATACCATACATTCAAATATATATATATATATATATATATATACCATACATTCAAAATTTTGTGCAAAAGGAAGGCCATTTACTATGTGGTATTATTATATTGAATTAGTACTATGTTACATTAAAAATTGCTGGTCATTAATTAAATCACACAGGACATTTCCAAAGGCACCAAATTAAAAGTCCTGCTTATATATATTTGCTTTTTCTTCACTACAGTGGCCTAAAACTTGAATTACCTTCATTGGGTATCCATTAAGTAAATTATAAGACTTTCCATGTATAGCAAACCTAGTAATACTCACTTGTAATAAAAGTTTCGTGAAGGTTGCTGAAATCTCCATCCTTTTCGTCTAGGAGAAACATTCATATACTCTAGACACCTAAAGGGTAAAAAATGTATTAATTACTGAATTTGTAAATGTTAAAAAAAATTAACATAAAGATTTCAAATACATCCCTTCTAAGTTTGTCTTTGAGTAGTAGTTTCTCATAATGTTATTCAGGGTTGTCCCTAAGAATTGAATTAGAAGGGGACATTTAAAAAGTAGAAGGGGATCTAGGGTTCATCCCCTAACTGGGAGTTTAGGAAGCATACCAAAATAACTGGGGGATCACATCATTATAGACGGGGAAATTCCCCGGCCCCCGGGTCTTAGGGACAACCCTGTTATTTAACTAAAGCAATTATAATTTCCATCATACCTGTCATTTCTGTTGACGAATTCAGGATTTATCTTGTAGTCTTTATTGTCTTCTGAGTATTGAGCTGATGACAATGATAAGCTACGAGCTGAAAAATCATATAAAAAGTACAATTAAACTTTGGTATCTAGAATATCAGTATCTTGAATAATATGGATATGTCAAAGTGAGTTGAAAATCCTAATAACTTTTTCTTTACGTATTTCAATCTCAATAAACTCATATAACTCATAGTATGTTAAAATACTGCAGTGCATATTGTGGTCAGACTTGGTATGACAAAATCTGTGGCCAAATGAAAACTTTTATGCAACGCAGAACCCTATTTCATGCAATACTCAGTTTTGCCTTGAACTGGACCATAAATATGTGATGTTTGTCTTGTATTGTGCTGTCTCAAAACACATTAATTTTCAAGTTCAGAGTATATATCACACTGTAAAGCTGGAATTCTTTGGTCCTGACTGGTACAGGTATATTCCTAACCTATTCAAATCAAATTTGAATGTAATTGGGTTTCACATAAATTTTGTTTACATATTTTTATTTACACATCAGCATCTGATATATTTCAAGTGAACAACATTGTAAGAATTTGGATATTCTTATTTGGATTTACAAAATTTAAATCCATTGAATTGTAGTGGTTTGTGCCATGGACATCGGCCTGATAGCTCTGTTGGTAGAGCACCTGACTAGTGATGCAAGGGTCCCGGGTTCGATTCCCTATCCAGCCATACATTTTCTCCCTTCCTGTTACAGATTTGGTGCCGTAACCAAGATGTGACTGGTGAAGGACCTGCCAGGAAAAAGCCTAGGTTAGAGTCTTCAGGGACTGAAGACCTTTAAGTTGGGAGGAATGTGGCAGTCACCGGTGGCCAGATAGCTCAGTTGGTAGAGCACCTGACTGGAGATTCAGGGGGCCCGGGTTCAAATCCCGGTCTGGTCTGTTGCATTTTTCTCCTCTCCCATTACATTTGGTGCTGTGCCATGCCCTGGAAGTGACAGGTGAAAGACCTGCCAAGGAAGAGCTTGGGTTGGTGTCTTCAGGGGCCGAAGACCTTTAAGGAGGGAGAAATGTGGCGGTCAGACGAGTTCGAACGCCAGTGCATGGCCAGATAGCTCAGTTGGTAGAGCACCTGACTGGAGATTCAGGGGGCCCAGGTTCAAATCCTGATCTGTCCATCACATTTTTCTCCTCTCCTGTTACAGTATAATTATAATTGGCTCATCATGAAATACAAAATTTTGCTTAATGCAACATAACAAGTGCACTGCAATTGTGATATCATTTTTTTTACAACAATTATTAACAATTTAGTAAATTGTTTATTTAAACTTTTATGGTAACTGCTGTCTTGATATACAGAGACCAAATTTTCATAAAAATTACAATTATCTAACTATTGTTTACTGATTGTATACATGATTAATTTATCCTATGTATGCAAGTTTTGTTTAACATCTGTTATATTGTTTCTCATTTCATAATTTCATTTAATTCAAAGGCAGTGTCATTTATTGCAGTTGTATATTAACAAATATATGTATTTTTGTAAAAGTGTATTTTGATTCTTTCAGGGAATTGTCACTTTACCTTACATTATGGATTTTTATCATCAATAAATATTATTAATATAACATTCTCGACTCCTCATTAATTTGCAGACAGTATATAAACCATTATCACTCAAACCATTAAGGTCAAATTTTATATCCTCCCCTCCTAAGAACCCTTTTCCTAATGATTTTATTTCACGTGTGTAAACAATTTAAGACACAGATCAGTGAATAACATCAAGTAAAATTATTCTTCACAACTGAACTAAAGTGTTTTCACAACCGGACATGGCAAATTATATCATTCCATGTTTCCAATATGGTGCACTCTCTGAAATAAAACGGGGATATGAGTCAGAGAAATCTCTGGACAATCTATGTGTCATATCTGCAGATCTGTGTTAGGTGTCTAAATAAACAGTTGATTCGATATGCCAGAGCACGCTCTATGTATGAACAATTTCTAAAAAGAGGTAAGTTATTGACAAACAAGTTGATGAAACAAGAATATCAGCAGTCTCTTTTAAAGTCATCATTTCGTAAGTTCTATGGTCGATACAATGACCTTGTCAGCAAATACAATCTATCATTAAGTCAAATGCTGACTGACTTTTTTCATTCCAATTGTTAGGCCATTATTTACACACTGAATTATCAACGAATTTTTCCGTTATTTCCCGATCATGACAAGGAGCACATGGTGGGTGTGACCCGTCGGCAGGGGATGCTCACTCCTCCATGGCACCTGATCCCACCTCTGATGTCTAAGAGGTCCGTGTTTGCTTTGCTCCTATTTTGTAATGTTTAATGGACTTTTGAGCTTGAATACTGTTCATTATCTCCACATATTTCATATGTAATTGATTTAGTAACTGGCAAGAAGAAAATGCAACCGACCAGACCAGTATTCGAATATGGGCCAACTGAATGACTAGTCATGTAGTCTACAATCAATTCTGCCTGACTGTCACATTTCTCTCTCCTTAAACAGGTCTTCATCCCTGAAAAAACCAATCCACCTAATTTTGGTATGATGTATCTTAGCTAGGACTCGACAAAGACCTAGTTTAAATGTGTAATCATTTCACCAGGGACGTTTATTATTATAATATTATATTACGTTAGTGGTTTCACCAAGTGCTTTCCATAATTTCGAATTTCCTCCACTAAGTTTAGAAAGATCGCAAGTTTAACATCAACTTGAGACAAAATGACTGAATTTTTCATTTCATACAAACACATACCAGCTATTTTATGAGTTGAACGCACAGCATGACTTCTACATAAGCAAGTAAACGGCGTAGATGTCAGAGAAACCAGTGTTCTGCCAAGTGACATTTTTTTGTAAAAAGTTAACTCTAACAACAAACAACTCTGATATGTAACAGAAATCACCTTCGGAAAGCAAAAAAAATTAAAGGGGGTAATGTCTAAGCATTTTAAAATCAATTTTTTATCCTTTCATCGAAAGAATTGTAGTCTTTGATATGCTGTTCACCTACCCATTTAAAGTATGCATTAATATAATCGTGCACCGGAACCACATGTTTTCCATCATTTCTAAACCATAGGAAACTTTGCTGCCTTAAAATTTTGTGTGAGAACGCTGATCTAACCAAATGTAACTTTCCTTTCTGTTTTGGAAACTTTTTCTTATAACATATGTCAGTTAAAAAGAGTTCATTTAATGTAATTTGTAATTTAATTGAGCTGATTCTGCAATGAAATCGAGGAAATTCGGTTTTTCTTCTCAAAGAGTATAGAAACTGTACTAAATGTCAATCAAAGAGTACAGAAACTGTACTAAATGTCAATTTCTTACTTTAAACAAGTTTTTCCTGTACAACAAATGAAAATTCAGTTAAATTTGTTTGCCATTAACCTAATCTTGTCATTGAATTCTTAATAAATGTAAGTTGAAACTATCTTGGGATTGGCACTCATCGTCCATAATAATCTTAGTAGCAGAGTTTCAGGATAGTTAGAATAATCTAACTGTGTCTCGGGACAAGCCCTCACCACAGTTAGAATACGTCCTATATACTTGCAATGTAGCAAATCGGAATGGATCCACTCTTAAATGATTTTGAAGAATACAAAAGGAGTTGCACTGAAAATAACTACCAAATTAATCATAACAAACCTTTTTGAGATTGTATATGCCTTTTAACCTAAAAAATAATCCATATAAATACGAAAATTCAATTCATTTTCTCATCGTTTTTTCCTCACTTCAAATTTAACGCCATGTTGACATTCGGAACTCTCTTGATTATTCATAGAAAATGCACAGAGTACGAGTTATTGCCCGTGTTTATTTTGCAACATTACCAATACACGGAACGAATTCTATCGTTAAACCGGGTCCGTAGGACAATATCATTTTAAGGATAGAACGTTCTATCTAAGTTTCAGGATAAAAAAGATCTGCTTAATATAGATTTTTTGGCATACAATTAATGTTGTTCTGAAAATGAGTGCAAATTAAATGAATAATAACGGATCTTCAGCATGGAATCCCATGGTTGATTACACTTCTTTCCTCTTTCACCATTCAGAGAGGAACTCATCAACCATGGGTTTACTATGATTAAAAAAAATCCACATGAAAGAAAAATTCAATACATTTTGATCATTTTCCACTTTATATTATTAATATAAAAATCTTTTTAAATCTATCAGCCAATTCAGTGGACTGTTCATTGAACTTGTGTAGATTAGAATTAGGTGCCCATTTTAATTTTCTGCAATGCTAGCACAAAAATTGGAAATATCAAATATTTTATAAGCATCTTCCTTTTTATTGGTTACTTTATAAATTTATACTTCTTGTTAAGATACTGATGATTTAGTTATTACTTGTGATAGTTAATTCTTAAGAGGATTGTTGGGCGGTCCTTATCATTTTGTTATTCTTATGAATGCATTCTCCATGAATTTTATTTGAATTTTGTTTACAGAATGGCAGAAGAAGCTGATTCAGATGAAAAGAGAATTTTGGCTCAGTTCAAAAGTGAAAGTGGAGATGTCACAGGAAATGCATTTGATTTACCTTTAAATATCACAGCAGAAAAACTGCAGATGATCTGCAATGCTTTGTTAACAAATGTAAGGTATCATCTAAACTTAAAAGGCTCTATATATGTGTGTTATCCAATGCACTGAATTATCCTTTTTTCTTTTTTTCTGCTTTCAGGAAGATCCTATCCCTTACTCTTTCTTTGTCAATGATGTTGAAGTTACTGACAGCCTCGTGAAGGCACTGGATGCTAAAGCCTTAGAGAACACAGAGCAGGTCCTGGATATTGTTTACCTTCCTCAGGCTATATTTAGAGTGAGGGCAGTAACAAGGTGTACCAGTACAATCCCTGGCCATGCAGAAGCTGTCATTTCTGTATCATTTAGTCCTGATGGAAGGTATGAAATGTTTACATTTATTCACATCTTCACTAGCCAAGTATCTGATTCATTTACCCTCAAGGGGGAAATGAGGGTAAATGAATCCGACACTTGGCTAGCGAAGATGATTTATTCATTGAATATACCTGTATTGCTTTGCATCTAAACCATCATCAAAAATATTTTTGTTTGATGTACTCCAACCCACATTTCTCAAGATGGATAGCTAGGAATTTTTTTTTTTTTGCAGTACCTAACAAGTTGATAATTGTCATAAAAATCACAGACTTAGAAATTTATTAATATTTTCATTATATACTGGACAGCTAGACAAATTTAATATTTATTGCTATAAAAACTTTCAATCAATAAAAGCGTTCTAGAAAAATAATATAAGCTTTAACTTAAAAAATGAAACAATGTCTATTTCCCTGCCCCCCCCCCCCCAAAAAAAAATTGAAGTACTGAAAATAATGATTGGGAAGGGGTGATTATGACAGGTCAGACAGAGTACATCAAACAAATCATTTTTAGCTCACCTGAGCTGAAAGCTCAAGTGAGCTTTTCTGATCACATTTTGTCCGGCGTCCGTCTGTCTGTCCGTCTGTCTGTCTGTCCGTCTGTCTGTCTGTCTGTCTGTAAACTTTTCACATTTTCGACTTCTTCTCAAGAACCACTGGGCCAATTTCAACCAAACTTGCCGCAAAGTATCCTTGGGTAAAGGGGATTCAAGTTTGTTCAAATGAAGGGCCACGCCCTCTTTCAAGGGGAGATAATTAGGAATTAGTGAAAAAATAATGGCAACATTTAAAAATCTTCTTCTCAAGAACCATACGGCCAGGAAAGATGAAACTCATGTGGAAGCATCCTCAAGTAGTGTACATTCAAGTTTGTTCAAATCATGACCCACGGGGGTAGGGCGGGGCCACAATGGAGGATCAAAGTTTTACATAGAAATATATAGGAAAAATCTTTAAAAATCTTCTTCTCAAGAACAGCAAAGCCATGATGAGTCATATTTATATGGAAGCATCCTCAGGTAGTGTAGATTCAAATTTGTTCAAATCATGACCCCCGGGGGTAGGGCGGGGCCACAATGGAGGATCAAAGTTTTACATAGAAATATATAGGAAAAATCTTTAAAAATCTTCTTCTCAAGAACAGCAAAGCCATGATGGGTCATATTTATATGGGAGCATCATCAGGTAGTGTAGAATCAAGTTTGTTCAAACAATGACCCCCGGGGGTAGGGCGGGGCCACAATGGAGGATCAAAGCTTTACATAGAAATATATAGGAAAAATCTTTAAAAATCTTCTTCTCAAGAACAGCAAAGTCATGATGAGTAATATTTATATGGAAACATCCACAGGTAGTGTAGATTCAAATTTATTCAAATCATGACCCCCAGGGGTAGGGCATGGCCACAATGGAGGATCAAAGTTTTACATAGAAATATTTAGGAAAAATCTTTAAAAATCTTCTTCTCAAGAACAGCAAAGTCATGATGAGTAATATTTATATGGAAGCATCTTCGGGTAGTGTAGATTCAAGTTTGTTAAAATCATGACCCCAGGGGTAGGGCGCGGCCACAATGGAGGATCAAAGTTTTACATAGAAATTTATAGGAAAAATCTTTAAAAATCTTCTTCTCAAGAACAGCAAAGTCATGATGAGTAATATTTATATGGAAACATCCACAGGTAGTGTAGATTCAAATTTATTCAAATCATGACCCCCAGGGGTAGGGCGGGGCCACAATGGAGGATCAAAGTTTTACATAGAAATATTTAGGAAAAATCTTTAAAAATCTTCTTCTCAAGAACAGCAAAGCCATGATGGGTCATATTTATATGGAAGCATCCTCAGGTAGTGTAGATTCAAGTTTGTACAAACTATGACCCCCGAGGGTAGGGCATGGCCACAATGGAGGATCAAAGTTTTACATAGAAATATATAGGAAAAATCTTTAAAAATCTTCTTATCAAGAACCACAAAGTCATGATGAGTCATATTTATATGGAAGCGTCCTCAGGTAGTGTAGATTCAAGTTTGTTCAAATCATGACCCCCAGGGGTAGGGCGGGGCCACAATGGAGGATCAAAGTTTTATATAGAAATAATATATAGGAAAAATCTTTAAAAATCTTCTTCTCAAGAAAAGCAAAGCCATGATGAGTCATATTTATATGGAAGCGTTCTCAGGTAGTGTAGATTCAAGTTTGTTCAAATCATGACCACCGGGGGTAGGGCAGGGCTGCAATGGACTATCAAAGTTGTACATAGAAATATATAGGAAAAACCTTCTTCCCAGGAACAGCAAAGCCCAGATTGTTCATATTTATATGGAAACATCCACAGGTAGTATAGATTCAAATTTATTCAAATCATGACCCCCGGGGATAGGGCGGGGCCACAATGGAGGATCAAGGTTTTACATAGAAATGTATAGGAAAAATTTTAAAAATCTTCTTCTCAGAAACAGCAAAGCCCTGATTGATCATATTTATATGGAAGCATCCTCAGGTAGTGTAGATTCTGTTTTGTTCAAATCATGACCCCCGTGGGAAGGAACGGGCCACAATGGAGGATCAAAGTCTTAAGTAGAAATATATAGGGAAATATCTTCTTCTGAAGAACTACAAACCATGATTAGTCATTTTGATATGGAAGCATCCTCAGGTAGTGTAGATTCAATTTTGTTCAAATGATGACCCCCAGGGGTTGGATGGGGCCCATTGGGGGATCGAAAGTTTTACATAAGAACATATAGAGAAAATATTTCTTCTCAAGTACAGGAAAGCTATGTTTAGTCATATTGATATGGAAGCATCCTCAGGTAGTGTAGATTCAAGTTCAAATGATGACCCCTGAGAGAGGGAGGAGCCACAATGGAGGATCAAATTTTTACAAAGGAATATATGGGAAAATTTTTTAAAAATCTTTACAAGTACAATAAAGCCATTTGTTATATTGACATGGAAGCATCATCAGGTAGTTTAAAATTCAAGCCCCCCCTCCCCCCCAAACCCCAGGTAATCTTTTCAATACTGAACTGATTTGTGCTTTTGCCTAGCCAATGTGCTCAGGTGAGCGATGTGGCCCATGGGCCTCTTGTTTATTGTTGGCCTTATACATTGATATATACCAGTATTGCAATGACAATGAAGGTAAAGCAAGAAACCAGTTGATTTTTTTCTCTCTCTTCATGCTTTCACATCTCCTGTATGGTGATACTCCACATTGGAGGGTTTATGTAACGGTTTATGATTATTATTAGGTTTACTAATATTGCCATGACCATTGCTCAATCTCTCTGTATATTTACAAAAACCAAATTTTTTGCTAGGTGCTTTTTTTTATACTTAGTCTAATATATCTTCCAGTGATGCACTTAACTTTTTAAGTCAACATAGATGTTTAATACAAGTTTGTTTTAAGTGGTATCAAAACCAAACTTGCACACATACTGGTAATAAAGTAATCTTGTGCATAGAGCCTTTGCCAGATGTATGGTTTTGATGCTGATCTACATTTTTAATCAGGTGAATCTGGAGATAGAAAAATTTATATTCTTACTAGCTTCCACAATTGATATACTAAATGATGTATCTATAGATGCTTTATTACTTGTCCATAATACAAATGATTTAGGCACAGGATTGATAAGGCGAAAGGGCAGAATATTTTATTAAGGTCTTCCGTCTTCACGGAAGACCTTATAGTGATTCTATTGTTTCTTATTATTATTATTAAGGTCTTCTGTCTTCACGGAAGACCTTATAGTGATTCTACTGTTTCTTCTTATTATTATTTTTCCGCCCATCTAATTTTGTGCACGCGATTTCTCAAAGACTACTGGATGGATTTTAATGAAATTCGCAGAAACAATGTGTTTTAATCTGAAGTCATTTTATTCGAGAGAATCTTTAGAAATTCACTTCCGATGCCAAGTTACGGACCATTTTCTGAATTTGAAAAGACATTTTGTCCGCGGATAATCTCAAGAACGGTAAAAGATTTCAATGTGAAACTTTCAGGGATTATAGATCATGATTATTACTAGCCAGGATGGGACCTTTTGTTCGTCGTCAACACTTCCGGTCGTTACCGGATGCAAATTTAAAAAGTCGATTTTTTAAAACTTTTTTGTTTTTCAATATTTTTCTTTGATATCAAAAAGGTTTATAAAAACACTTCTGAAAAGGTTTAATTATAATTTGTTTTAAAATTAATAAATCCAAACTCTAGATATTCACATTTTAAAATTTGAAGCGAGGACCAAAATGGCGGCTGTCTCCGTAAACGCCAACGAGCAGGTCGGAGTTTACGGAGAAAGCCGAGCGCCTGGTTCAATGAAACTACCATAAGGATCAATGAAATGTGAAGGCATTGTTGGATAAGCAATCAATATTTTAAGAAAATAATTACGTGGCAAATACATACAGAGCTTGTGTCATATAACATGAATAGAAAACGACAAAAATTAGAAAAAAAAATTAGGAAGATTGTTTAATGAAGTTGATATTAATATTCCTTTATAGATGCAGGTTACTGAACATAAAAGGTATCATTTTCCTTGACTGTCGTACGGCCAAACGTGTTTTGTAGGAAAACATTCCAGTCTTTTCATGAATGTGTTACTAATTGGAATAGTCCACTTTTGGGGTAAACAGGAATATGAAACATGTAGGAAAACTTAGTGAATTCACTGCTTTAGTGTTACGTGCCCGTATACGGTAAGTTATATGTACAGTATGATAAATATACATTCTTAGACTCGAAAATCAGGCTATAAGAACGCACTTTTTAAAATTTCATTGAAGCTATCACATACATTCACATCCTAACGAAAAAGCGCTAAGATTTGCTCATGACGTTTGGCGCAAAATAATGTGTCGTGACCCACCTTTTATTGTAGACAAATGGACTGATGCAGTAGTGTAGAAGTACAGAAAAAGATTACACGGACATGTTTGTATTTGGAATTGCATAGAATAAAAAGCTGAATGCATAAAGAATAAAGGAAGTAAACACAATAGTTTTTAATAGCTTTCTTCAGTAACAGATTATTTCTTCTGCTTACAGCTAACAGTTATTGTTAAAACTGAAGTAAGAAATTCCAATGTAAATCTTCTAGTACTTGCACATAATTTAGCTGGCTAGCTTTCATCAGGTAATTCCGCACTATGGAAAAAATAACCTGCCTGACACTCGTTATTTCAGGCAATGAGTGCAAGATAAACATCGATGATGGCTGGTACATTGCGCAAATGCATTGGTTTCAATATTACATTTTCACGCAGGCTTTCTTAGTTTAATCCCGACTATATCTGATTTTTTTGCTTGAATTTAAATTTTCATGTTTATCAATGATGTTGGTAGTTTTTTCTTTCTCGTTGTGAATTCTGTGCTCTTATAAATAAAAAAATCTTTTTAAAGACCCATGTTAAATTTTTAGGTGTCTTTACTACAAGCAGATAAAAATGTAATTTTACTTGCAAAGAATATCACATTTAAGGATGGTAATTCGTACGGAAGACCTCTCGTTGCTCGCAACGAGTATCTAGTTCTTCTTATTATTTTTTTGACTTTCTAATTTTGTGCACGCGATTTCTCAGAGACTACTGAATGAAATTTACTGAAATTTGCAGGAACAATGTGTTGTAATCTGAAGTTATTTTATCCGAGAGATTTTTTGGAAAACCACTTCCGGTGCCAAGTTACGGGCCATTTTCTGAATATAAAAAGACATTTTGTCCGCTGATAATCTCAAGAACGGTAAAAGATATCAATGTGAAACTTTCAGGGATTATAGATTGTGATATATACTAGCCGGGACGTGACTTTTCGTTCGTCGTCGGTACTTCCGGTCGTTACTGGATGCGAATTTAAAAAGTCGAATTTTTTAACTTTTTTGTTTTTCAATATTTTTCTTTGATATAGGTAGGGTTAATAGAGGCATTTCCAAAAAAGCTTAATATATAATTTATTTAAAAATTGATAGATCCAAACTCTAGATATTCGCATTTTAAAATTTGAAGCGGGTCCAAAATGGCGGCTGTCTTCGTTAACTCCGACGAGCAGGTCGGCACTCGGAGCTCCTCGGATGGTTCGTTCCTCGCACACTAACCTCGGACGTCAATGGTGTTCTACCATGTTGCTGATACAGTCATGTGATCTTAATTGAAATTCCTCCAAATGTTATACCTTTGAAGTCTGAGTTACTTTGAAGCACACCCAACACTATGGTTTGCTTTCAAAAATTACTTACATGATGTTGTGATCAAAACCAATATACAAGGAAGAATTAGAGAAGAGAAAAAAATGTTTGAAGAACTTTATGCAGAGTAAAATATGAAATGAGTTACAAGGCTGTTTCCAGCGGAGAAATGTAATCGGTTTGATGCATATTTCTCCACCAATCACTTCCGAGGTTTGTATGGAGCGTAGTGGAGTCAGTCGAGGATTGCCGATTGGCAGGTCGGAGTTTACGGAGACAGCCGAGTGTCTTGTTAAACGAAACTATCATAAGGATCAATGAAATATGAAGGAATTTTTAGATCTGGCAGATTATGAAATGGATAATCTGTCAAAAAAACAGAAATATTCTGACCTCCAAATGCAATAAAACGAGTAATTTGTACGGTACATATGATAATATATATGAGAATGGAGACAATTCAATAGAACATACATTTCAAATAAAAGGCGCGAAGATTTACTCGTGAATTTTGGTGCAAAATAATGTACCCTGACTCTTCTTTCATAGTAGAAAAATGGTTCTAATGCAGAAATGCAGAAAAAGATTACACGGACACGTTTGTATGAAATACAGATATATGGAATTGCATGGAATAAAAAATTGAATACACAAAGAATAAAGAAGTAAACAGTATCACCAGTTCATCAGTAATAGACTATTTGTTAATGTTTAAACTCAAGTAACGAATTCCGATGTAAATCTGCTTGCACAAAATTTGTCTAGCTAGCTCTCATTCTATAATTCCAACTATACTGAAAAAAAACCCAAAATTTTTTAACCTCCCTGACTCTCGTTACTTCAGGCAATGATAGAAAGTAAACATCGATGATAGCTGGTAAAATTGCGCTCGTGTAGTGGTTTCCATATTGAATTTTCACGAAGGCGATCTGGGTTTAATCCCGAATTTGTTTGCTTAAATTTACGTTCTCATCTTTATAAATGATGGTGAGAGTTTTTTTGTTTTTGTTTTTGTTTTTGTTTTTTTTTGGGGGGGGGGGGGGGGTTAGAGATGATAGAACATGATTTCTAGATTGGCGAAGGGACCTTTTCATGTGTCGTCGTTAGTTCCGGTCGCTACTGGAAGCGAATTTAAAAAATCTATTGTTTCAACTTCAATATTTTTCTGAAATATTTGTAGGGTTAAGACAGCCTCTTTTCAAAATACTAAATATATAATTTGTTTTCAAATTGATAAATCCAAACTCTTGATATTCGTCATTTTCACTTTGAAGCGGGAGGTGAAATGGCGTTTGATTTTCACGCTGATGACCAGGGTTAAATCTCCAGAGTGTTTGATTTTTTTTTTCTTCATTTTTTCAGCTTGAATTTATGTTTTTATTTTCAAAATCGGACGGAAGACCTCTCATTGCTTGCAATGAGTTTCTAGTTTAAATTTCTGATTTCACCCTACTTCGTCTTTCAGGTATTTGGCTAGTGGTTCGGGTGATACAACTGTACGGTTTTGGGATGTCCAAACAGAAACTCCTCAACATACTTGCAAAGGTCAGATGCTTATTTTATCAAATTACCTCAACATTAATTTTAAGTCCAATGTCTTTTAGAACTTCATTCAGATTTGCAAAAAGTGAGTTCTGGGTATCTTCCTTTCAGGTCATAAACACTGGGTGTTATGCATAGCTTGGTCACCTGATGGCAGGAAGTTAGCCTCAGGTTGTAAAAACAGTCAAGTAAGTTTTACTCAAAAGAAGTGATACTTTGGAACATCTTTTAACTTTCTTGATTTAAGTATAGGACTAAGATTTTATAAGAAAGTTAAGGTTCATTGACCCTCTGATAAGAGAGGTAACTCTTTTTAGGATAAATTATATTGTTCCTCTATGAAATTGTTGAGGAAAAAAGGGAATTTTTGTCAAAATTTGCCTGCAGTGTATGCTGAAATTGTGTGCATTTTAGTTATAAATTGGATTCCTTTTGGAAAATCACAAGCAATAAAGCAAAATTTTACATGTGTGAACAGAGGGATAGTGAACTTTAAATTTATTTCATATAGTTTGTCTATGTATCTGCTTTTCTTTCACCTAACTTTTCATTTTTTGGGATAGAAAAAAATTGGAAATTTCACAGAACTACAGTATAAAGATATATACTTGGAGTGTATAGCCTTGATAGGTTGTGTGGTATATACTTTTTGTGTTGTAGATTTGTATATGGGATCCAGAATCTGGCCAACAGAAAGGAAAATCTCTAACAGGACATAAACAGTGGATAACCTGGTTGTCATGGAAACCTTTTCATTTGTAAGACCTTCATTTTTGAAAACACTATTTCTTTAAAACCTGCTTTCATGAATTTACAAGACTTTTGTGAGCTTTTGTATTCCCCCATTTTATTGACTAAGAGTGACTGTACAATTGAAATGCTTAATTACAAGAATTTGATGAGGTTATTCAAACCCTACAGAAATTTTGCTATCTTTATTTTTCAGAGATCCAGAATGCAGATTCCTTGCAAGCAGTTCCAAAGTAAGTTTTTATTCAACAAAATTCCTTAACAGAAAAAAACATTTGCAAAAAATGTTCTTAATTAATTAAAATAATGAATTAAGTCACCATTTTTTCACCACATTTCCATGACATTATCTTACAAGTACATGTATGTCAAGTACAAATTGTAAAAGTACAAATTGTAAAATTAAGCACAACTTTATTTCAATTTTTTTTAAAATTCATTTTATGTATCATTAATAAATAGAAAGAAAATACAATTATATGACATTATTTTAGAGCTTGATTTTATCTTATTAAGATTAGATACAGATATCCCTAATTATTTATACATGTACATAGGTTACCTGGTATATGCTTCTTGTTTGTAGGATGGTACCATAAAGATTTGGGACACCCTGTTGAGTCAGTGTCACATTACCCTGTCAGGTCACCTTCAGTCGGTGACCTGTATCAAATGGGGTGGTACTGACCTCATTTACTCTGCCTCCCAGGATAGGACTGTCAAAGTGTGGAGAGCAGAAGATGTAAGTTTGTTCTGGATGAATTTGTAAAGACCCTTCTTGTGATTGTTATGAAGTGATACTGGGATATATAGAAAAAAATTGTTTTCTTATTTTATTCTTTCCTTTTCTAGCTCACCTGAAATGAAAGCTCGTGAGCTTTTCTGATCACTCGTTGCCTGGCATCTGTCTTTCCATCCATCTGTAAATTTTTCACATTTTCAAAATATTCTCAAGAACCACTTGGCCAATTTTAACTGAAGTTGGCACAAAGCATCCTTTTGTAATGGAGATTCTAAATTGTTTAAACGAATGGTCAAACCTCTGTTCAAGGGGAGATAATCAAAAAAAGCAAACGTAGGTTGCAGTCATTAAAAATCTCAAGAACCAACGAGCCAGAAAATACAAAACTTAGGTGAAAGCTTCCTGAGGTATTGTATTTTCTAAATTGTTCAAATCTTTGCCCCTGGGGGTAGGATGGGACCACAATGGGGAATCAGAGTTTTACATAAGAACATAGAAGAAAAAAATCTTTTAAAAAATCTTCTTCTTATGAACCTCTAGATCTGAAAAGATGAAAGTTAAGTGAAAGCATTCTGAGGTTGTGTAGATTTTAAATTCTTCAAATCATGGCCCCTGGAGATAGAGTGAGGCCACAAAGGGAGATCAAAGTTTTACATAGAAACATACAGAAAAAAATCTTTAAAAATCTTCTTCTGATGAACCACTGGACCAAAAAAAGATGAAACTTATGTGAAAACATCCTGGGGTATTTAGATTCTAAATTTTCTAGTCTTTGCCCCAAAGATAGGGTGTGGACACAATAGGGGATCAAAGTTTTACATTTATATACATAGATAAGAAAAAAAAACTTAAAGATTCTTCTTCTCATGAACCACTGGACCAGAAATGTTGAAACTTATGTGAAAGCATCCTGAGGCAGTGTCTAATTCTAAATTTTCACATCATGACCCACAGGGGTAGGGTAGGGTCATAAAAAAAGATTTAAAAAGACATTAAAGAATGTGATTGCACAGAAAATTTCATAGACATAGCAATCACAAGACTTCTGTAATTCTGATAAAATTATTTCATTAAAATCTGTGAAAGGACATAAAATATTCAGTGCAGTCTTGAATCCCCCCCCCCCCTCAATGAAATTAATAAATGTAAGAACTAGTTAGACCTTTTCTCTTTTCAGGGTGTTTTATGCAGAACATTACAAGGTCATGGTCACTGGGTCAACATCCTGGCACTTAGTACTGACTATGTCATGAGGACAGGAGCATTTGATCCAGCTAATGCAAAAATAGTACCAGCTGACATTCAAGAATCTGGTGAGAGGTCACTTTGTACCTGTATTTCATGTGTTATAGCTAACATGTAGCATTACTGCATACAGAGTTATTTTTGCCCCATGTATACTTATTTACCCTGTTAAAGAATTTGGCCTCATTTAAGATTTGCCCAAACACAGTTGTGTTTAATCAGAGAAAACTCTTTCTGTATTGCATTCACCTCATTTTGAATTATGATAATGTCTGATAAGTGATGATAATGGTGAAAAGGCCGGCTGAAAATTTCTCTGTATAGAGTATACTGGCATCCAGATCTTGTGTAAAAAGATTAATTGAAGCAAAATATAAAAACTCAATATATTTACCAGCTATTCTTTTTAAACCTCAACATTAAGGACCAGAGGATATACTGTATCTGAACTGTCTGTGTCTTTGTCTGTCAGTCATTTGGACTTAATGTTGAGTATACATGTAATTAAGATAGAATTTTTTCATATTAGTTTAAACAGAAAAATGCTACTGTCATTAGTACCAAATTTGGCTTGAAAAGTAACTAATCAATGGATAAAATGAGGAAAAATTAACCTCAGCATCTGCTTTTAATTGCCTTTTACTAGAAAGTACTTTGCTAGACTAAAACTTCAAAGATTTCACAATAATGAGGTACAATTCTTGAATATGAAAATTAAGTGAATTTTCATATAAGGCCACTGTAATGGCAGTAATCAAGCTTTCCACCCTTATGAAACAACAAACCCTTTTCACATAAAGTGTACTCAATTTCATATTATCTGCCTGATGGGAGATTTTTAGCTCACCTGAGCTGAAAGCTCAAGTGAGTTTTTCTGATCACCCATTGTCCATCCGTCCGTCTGTAAACTTTTCACATTTTCAACTTCTTCTCAAGAACCACTGGGCCAATTTTAACCAAACTTGGTACAAAGCATCCTTGGGTAAAGGGGAGTTTAAATTGTTAAAATGAAGGACCAAATCTCCTTCCAAGAGGAGATAATCAAGAAAAGACAAAAATAGGGTGGGGTCATTAAAAAATCTTCTCAAGACCCACAGGGCCAGAAGAGCTGAAACTTATGTGGAAGCATCCTGGGGTAGTTTAGATTCTAAATTGTTCAAATCATGACCCCTGGGGGTAGGGCGGGGTACAATAGGGAATCCAATTTTTTGCATTAAAATATATTGGAAAAATCTTTTAAAAATTCTTCTCAAGATCCACTGGGCCAGAAAAGCTGAAACTTAAGTGGAGTAGTGTAGATTCTAAGTTATTCAAATCATGACCCCTGGGGGTAGGGCGGGGCCACAATAGGTACTACAAGGGGGGAAATCAGGTGAAAAACAGCGAGGCCAAAGTTACTCAGGTGAGCGTTGTGGCCCATGGGCCTCTTATTTGTTTCACTTGGAAATGTTTAAGAAAAACAGTTTCCATATTCATTTATATTGGTAAGAAAACAATATACTTTGAGCAAATTTTTTTAGGCAATTTATAGTAATTATGCAGAAGAACATGACTGCAAACTTATAAATCCATTAAATCCATCTAAAATTGGAGCTTCCTGATTTGTCAATCTCCACAAAGAAGAGGTATTTTTCAACTTCAAAGAAACACCATTATCATTTTCCAAACACATCCAAAATTTAATTCACCAAGTTTTGAAAATCCCATGTATTGTTGATGTACATTTTTCCATGTGGGATCATTTCACACTATGTAAGCAGTCACAAATTTTCCATAGAAATTTGTCGCATCGTACTGAAAGTGCATATAAGATATACAATGGCAATTCAAGAAATCCACATAATTTTCCCGCAGATGAATATAGAAATTGTGATTCCTTGGAATTATGAGCCCATGGAAAAAAGTTTGTTTATAGTATTTGATAGGTGTTCCAAAAACGATATGTGTAATTTGCATGATGATTTTTCTTGTTAATGGCACAGCCAAAACATCCATATATTCACAGAGAATTAAAAGGAGTACATATATCAGTAATAGTTAATCACATTATAAACCACCACCTGAAGTTCCTGTTATTCCCTCACACATTGCATGGCACCTTTATGTCCTGACTAATGTCAGGGGCCAGACTTCCTGTGCTTTCACAGAAAGAGAACCCGGTTCTCCAGACAGAAGTGATATCAATAAGATCCTCATCATACATGTAGAATCTGGCGTAGTATTGACCCTCCACAATCAGGTGGTGGTCTTGACCGACTCCCGCTCGAGTTTTGTAATAATGGATGACTGCATTATTATAATGACCTTGACCTTTAGGATTATCAACTCTAGTCACAATGTCAATCTTGGGGCCATGACATTTATCTGATTCTTTGATCAGCATGTTGTAGTGTATGTCTCCAAATCTTCGTTCGGGGATTGATTCCTTGATGAATTTGAACTTAAAGATAAAAGAAGAAATGTGATATTCCCATAGAAAATGTTCACAGTTTTGATGATGGTATGTTATTGTACCACGCAGTGGATTAATTCTGTAGCATTCACTGGCACTAAGATTTCCCGATTTATCTTCTTTCCAAATCACGAATTTGGTTTTTGTCACTTCATCATAGGAAATTTTAAAAAGAGCAGCTTTTCTGGATCTCATTTCATAAATGGATAATAGCCTCATGAAATGTAACCTATTTGTTTCATTGTAACTGTTGAAATCAAATATAGGATGGTTGAAGTATATGCTGACATTGTCAAAATATCTGGCCTCATTGTATTTCTCTTCGAATATGGTTTTTGGATGATTGAATCGAATGTTTTCATTTGGTTCTCTTTCAAACATGGTCAGGAGAAATACAGACACAGAGCCAAGTAAAATGGCTGTCATTCCAGTTATAAAGAAAAACTTGACTGCATTCTTTACACCTTTTTTCAATCCTTCGAGAGCATCAAAACCCTTCTTGTTGAAGTATCGTAAAGACAGAAGTGCAATTCTAACAGCTATTCCATATATGAGAACAGCTGCCTTGATCACCTGGAATAAGCTGATGGCCTCTTCTCGACACAGAGCAATTCGGACTCCCAATATGAGCTGTGGAATATCCTCAATCCAGAGAAAGAAACAAGATACAATATCAGGATTAATCCAGGCATGTTCAAAGAACAGCTCCTTAGCAATGTTTGCAGTTTCAAAAACAATGGCTATGGTGCCAATGATAGCAAAAGTTAATATGGAATAGGTTATTGAGCTTTCTATAGGTCCATACACAAGTCCAGGCTTAATGCCATAAACATCCCTAAAGAGCAGCCAATCCACAAGGAAATCCAGAAAATCCAGACCAAAGGTCAGCAAGAAAAGGAAGATCTTGAAGGAGAGTTTGTTCTGTAGTTTTACACACCATGGAATATAGTATGTCAGTGTGGTGAGTTCTTCATAATGAGAGCGAGTGCTTCCAGGTCTGGGTTCAATCTTCCGCGGCTCGTTGAGTTCCAGATCTGTTCCAGTACTGTTCCCTTGTGTACTCTGTTCATCTTCTGTTGTGGCAAGTGGATTTACACTTAAATTTAAAAAAAAAGTTTAAATTGGCAGAATTTGTTCCAGTCATTTTGGAAAATAAATATATTGCTTAAAAAATTCTGCATGAGATCTGGAGGAAAAAAATCAATTGATACACCAGTTATTCATCTCCTGACCCTTAAAAACAGATTAAGTTTATATTGGTTCTTTGATATACTTACAAAAACATGGTCCAAAAATGCAGAAATTAGTGAAATGAAAACACTCTGTAGAAATGATGAGTGCTACCTTGATTTCCATTATTTATGGATTATTTAATGAACAGTGTTAGGAAGGCTTTTAATCTTTGGGGCAACAAGAGATTCAGGTGTGAATTTTTCTTGAATATTGATAAAACAATTATCAAATAAAGTCCATAATCTATAATCACATTCCAGAGTTGCAAAGAATAGCAAGACTATAGAATTCAGCAGGCAGGAATTTTAAGACCCATCTGTCTTTGAATTGCAGAATCATGGAGACATTTATTTAGTCTGTGTGCAATCTTATTAATACATTTGAATTTTATTAAGCATGCTAAATTAAATTTTAGTCACACATCATTTTTTTTGCTGTTTTTCTCTACATACCTCCCATCTGCCGAGGTCTTACTCTGTGATATTAGCCTAGATTTTTCCATTTCTTTTTAGAGATTTGAATAAAGCTGAAAATTGATGAAAGAAGTTTCTATGTATCTCCTTCTGCCCTCTATAGTAATATGCCTAGTATGTATCTTGCATGACTGGTCATTTCATATCAAAAAGTTGTGTAGAGTCCATTCATCCAGAATAATATGGTTGTCAAGTTTGAATGTTTGTATGTGCATAGTGTAGTAAATGGTAATTTTCATCAATAAGTAAGTTAAGCATTATACATTACCTTTTTTTTTTTTTTTTTACAGACACCTATATATATTCGCCCAGATTAAGTATTTGTTCTTGTGATTGCAAAATCTGCAACATAATTAGATTGGAGAATTAAATCATAATGAATGGGTTGCCATGACATGAAAATGCAGCGGCGTCGGCAAAGGGGCGGCAGTCGCCGCCCCAATAATTTTGCAAAAACAATAAAAAAACAAAAACAAACAAAAACAAAAAATGAAAGAAAAGGAAATTTTAAATGAGAAATACAAAATTTGTAATGGCAATATCTGTGGTCAATAGAGCGGCAAGAATAACGGCAATCTGTGGTCAATGGAGCGGCGAAGTGTGAAAGCTATTGTTTACACAAATGCAAATTGGATGTACATACTGTACGTGTATACCTGTACCTGGTGTGTGTAAACAATAAGCATGGTATCCATCATTTGCTACAATTCTACATCAGGCCCACATCTAACAACGTTTTTGTAAATTCTATTGGGGGGGGGGGGGGATTCTCTAAGATTCCGATTTTTTTCTTTTCAAATGCTGGAATTTGCCCGAATTCAACCTAACAGCAACAAAAAGTGTGTAAAGGTGGGGGGGGGGGGGGAGCAGCGTCTAAATGAATGAATTTTTACATATCGAAACTTAAGCAAAACAAAAAACAAAAGAAAACTATTCTCAGAAAAAGTGGAGAAATTAGGCAAAAATTAGAGCCCCTCCCTGACACCTTCCCCGGCGTATAATAGACCTGTTCATAGTATAATGAATTGGTCGATCGATGTTTGGAAGTCTTTGATGAATCATAGTTGTAAGCTATTAAATTTAAGCAAAATACATGTACTAAAACACTGTGTAAAAGTAAAACAACTTCAGTTGATTTTTTTTTTTTATAATGTCAAACATATTTCTGCATTTCAAAAATGGAGGGATTATTAAGGATTAATCACCCTGTTCATTTTAAATTTCATATTTACGCATTCTCTCGGTAAGTAACAATAAATATATATTATACAATAATAGACAATTATAGCTAGTTGTATATGCATTTTAATCTTTATCTCGTCATAAACCCTTCAAAGTTCTTTCTATGCTGTTTCGGAAGAAAAAAAAAAAACACTAGCTCCTAGTTATTTAAAAATATTCCCGTTTTGATTTATCAAAATCTATCAAAATCTTGATATTTTTCCCATTAATGTACATGTAACTTAAACCACAAAAAACATTTTTTTGGTTGCATGTTTAATTGTTCTTTTTTAATCAGAAAATACATGTAGGCTATTGATTTAATGGGAAAAATATCAAGATTTTGATAGACATTTTAATTATTTAGTTTATGTCACAAAAAGTTGGTTAGGACCCCCACTTCTTAATCCAGTTCGCCTCCCCAATGTCAAATACTTGCCGACGCCCCTGAAATGTCTAAGGTTTTGGTAAAGAGGATAAATGGAGGTTGAGAGTAAGGAATTGTAATTCATGTGATAAAAATTTATAATTATATCAAAGCTCTTATTGATAAATGTTTTCCTCCACCCCACCAAAACCTCCTCACCACTTTCCCTCGTAGAGAAATACTTTCTGAATCCATATAATAGCAAATTTACAGATATAATGAACTGATTTTGATTCCCCTATGTTAAAAATAATAATTTTTACATCTTTTTTCAATATACATCATTTTTCAAAGCTCTCAACTTTAAAATATTGATCTGATATTTTTTACGAGTATTTGAATTTCAAAAACTTATGAACTCCAAAGTAACTTAAGAATTTAATACTTCCCAAAATGTATTTGATAGTCATAATGAGGTACTTGAAGAAAAAAAAATCTGTATTATGAATTTACTATAAAAATTTTAATGAATTCGTTGTACAGATAAAACAAATTAGAGATATAGTGAAGTACCGGTAAATTCAGAGGTCCCCAGGACTTTGTATAACCCAAGTTTTACTGCATCTGTTCTTTTTTTATGTTTCAGTTGGCTTTTTATGTCCTCAGATGTAAATAGAAGAAAGCTGAGTGAATTGTGTTATCTTTTTTGTTAATGTGACAAACAGACAGATTAAACCTTTATTTTGATTCTCCATAAAACTTTACAACTGTCCTCAGGATGTGCAAGTGTGAGAAAATATCTTAACACGCTGTAAATTGATTTAAATCACAGAGTTTTTGGTTATTTTCTCATGGTAATAGACTTTGGTCCACATGTTATAATGGTAATAGACTTTGGTCCACATGTTATAATGGTAATAGACTTTGGTCCACATGTTATATTGGTAAAAGACTTTGGTCCACAAGTTATAATGGTAATAGACTTTGGTCCACATGTTATAATGGTAATAGACTTTGGTCCACATGTTATAATGGTAAAAGACTTTGGTCCACGTTATAATGGTAATAGGCTTTGGTCCACAAATTATATGACTGTCACAAAGTTTTTTTTTTCTTTTCTTGGATGGAGGGAAAGGTAGGGGTTTTTGTAAGAATCACATAGGTCAGACTATCATTGCAAATCAAGACATAGCCACCTAGTTGTGATCTTGGAATTTGTTTCATCCAGACCACAGGTAATTTGAACAGTTCAAGGTTACATATATTGAAAAAGTGGAATTTGTTTTTAAGACACAGAGACACATACTGGAAGCCCATCCCTGATACAAATGTACTTTGTAATCTGGAAACATTCCATGAATGTGACATCAAATACATTTAGAAAAGTTCATATTAGCCATATGGAAAGAAAACAAGTGTAGCAGAAGGTATAATTTTGTTAGAAGAAAAGATATCTATTGAGTGGAAAATAATTTCCATCAAATTTTCAACTGTTGAGGAGAAAAAGAATAACTGAAAAGTCTGCTAATGATGAATTTTTTAATGAGGATACTATATACATGTATTTATTGACTGGGTTTGAGGGCAATATGCATTTTTTCTGACCCAAGAACCAAACTTTTTGCCCGAGGCTGTTGGCCTGATCGAAGTAAACAGTTTGGTTCGAGGGATTGGCGAAACACATTTTATCCAAGAAGACAGTCATTTAATGCTTTGTTATACATGTACCTTTTATTACTTAAAATGACATTATCTTTTAGTGGCTTCCATGTTTGCATAGATTGATGTAAATTTTGATTACTAGTACATGTACCTGCAATGTGGATTTAACTCGGTAACTGTTGAACACAAACAAATGCAAAAAAAAAAAAAAAAGATTTACCGTATATACTCGCCTATAAGTCAGTTTTTTGGGAATTGAATTTCGGACCAAAACTCTTTATCCTACTTGTAGGTGAGTTATAAAAAGATTGGTACTTTAGAGGGTCAATCCCTGTAATATAAGCTTAAAAAATACAACCGACTTATATGCGGACCTTATAGGCGAGTATATACGGTAGCTGATTCATGTTCCTTCCAAAGAGACTGTACTAACTGAGGTCCTGTAGATGTTGGCATGAAAAAGATCCCTCACTTCTCAATGGCCATAAGTGCATAGTACAGGTCTAAATTTTACAGTCTTCCAATGGCAGAGGTTGATGTCCCAATATGAGTAAAAGATTCTTAAGGGAACACCAAGCAAGCAATCAAACTTTCTCTCTCTCTCATTGTTACATCATCAAGGATTCAAGCTGTGGACTAACTTACAGAGATAAAGTGTTTACCTCAGTTATGCTGTTCCATGAACCACAAATTTTAGTTGTGCTCTTTAAAAGTATCAAATACCAGGGCCTTACAAAATGGAAATGGATATACCGTATATACTCGCCTATAAGTCGGGTTTTTTTGGAGTTAAACTTTGGTCCAAAACTCTATGTCCGACTTATAGGCGAGTTATAAAAAGATTGGTATTTTAGAGGGTCATGCCCTCTAATATAAGCTTTAAAAATACAACCGACTTATAGGCGGACCGACTTATATGCGAGTATATACGGTATAGTCCTTTATTCATTTTATTCCAATCTCTGAATATAACTATGAGAAATTATTCTTAGGATATTGCAAATATTTTGTCATTTAATTCACATGAATCTACCAAACAACAGGTGATTATGAATTGGATTAGAATTAAGATTCTTGATCGACCTACTAATTCATTCTCATGACTCTCCAGTTGAGTAAATTGTCTACCATTGTAGATGACATGTACAGATACTTGTAGATATTTTAGTAAATTTAGCTCTGCACTAGTGAATCACACAGATTTATCAAAATGATTTACTGATAGATACATGTAGCTGCAGGTGTCAATCATATTCTGATCGGTGATACATGTGTAATTATTGGTGTAAGAGGTACATGTATGGTCGATCATTGCCAAAACAGCTAAGATTGTGAATTGATTATTGAAAATCCAGGGAACAGCAAAAATTGCCTAATTATATCTGTAATTAGATGTTTTATATAGTTCATATTTCATTGTTATGATTTGATGTTTACCAAAAAAAAAAAGTGAATTGACTGTGAATTGTCTAGCACATTACTTTGGATCATTTTGTAACATCATCTAACAACCTGAGTGTTAAATGTTCATGGTTGATGTTTTGATAATGTTAATGGTACTTATGTGACAAATATGCTAGACATTTTGTTTTTGACTGTACTTTTTTGGTACAGCATATTTTATAATAAATGGTTTTCTTGAAAAAGAATCTGAACTTAATTCATATTCTTGGGAAAAAAACATTGTTTTTAATTGATCAATTCAACAATGAAAATATTCTGTAACAGTGAAAATTACAGCTTGTATTGCAGAAAAAAGTTTATTTACATGTGACCAAACAGATATTGAGGGTGCTGAAAATTTTGCTTATAAATTACATAATCAGGTAATTTTAAGAAGTATTTCTTTAATTCAGTACAACGTACTAGCACCTTTAGAAACAGTCTTGTTTTCTTTAAATATTCTTGAAAAAAAAGCAGTAAAAATATATAGCCAAAACTTCCATTGCTCTCAGATTTTCTTTTGAAAATTGCTTCAGAGTAATTTGGATTGTATTGGATACTGTTAAATCATATACCCCTGGTACATGTATTTTCATGGGGTTTTGAGGAAAAACTATGAGTTTGTGGGGATTTGTTTTCATGGATGAAGTATTGTTGAGTACTTATGTAGTCTCTAATGACATTTTACATTTCGAGGTGGACAGGATTTCGTGGGTCTCTTCATTACTCAAAAACAACGAAAATTAAACCCTACAAAAATTAGTGATTCACAGTATTCCTTTGTTGCTAACATTTGATGCTCTTATATTGAATTTTAAAGTATGCTGCAGTAAAACTTTCATACATTTTGCCAATGAATTTTTGGAAAAATTGAAACAAAATTGAAAATTAAGACCTTTTGAAACCTGACAGCCATTCTGTGTCTTACTGATACAAGTAACAAGCCATTTTTCCCACTGTTTAATCATCTAAATATGATATGTTTTTTCCTCATATATATATAATACTTAAGAAAGAGTTTTATAAGTATCTACTTTTCTTATTTGACAAAGAAACCACAGAATACTTGATAAATATTATGCACTATATTCACAACAACAAAGGAGACAAATATTAAGAGCTCCCTGAAAATTGTGTAAAGTCCATAAACCGGTTTGCTATTTAAACATGTTTTAGCATACTACAGTATAAAAAGTATTGAAGATGAAAAGTGTTTTGTGATCTTTATTCTTCAGTTAACAAGCATTTGCTAAAATCTGAATTGACACCAGTAAAGTACAATTGATTCAAAAGTACACTTCTGAAAAATACTTCCATTAAAATAAGTACTTTACTTAAGTATAAAACTTGAACACATTTTTCATGAAACTGTAGGAAAACTCAGTTGTTTCATTTTGAATGATTAACAAGACATGAAAGAAAATCAAAATATATTTTATAGAGAGAAAGTATTGCCCTTTTATGTAAGAAATTAAAGGCATTTTAAAATGTCATTTGAGTATTTGTAACGGCTTGATTTCTGAAAGGCAGAGCAATGGTAAAACACATGATCAAAGTGTCACATTGATGGAAGAACCCTTCAACATCATGTGACTTTTTTCATTTGGATGAACATTGAAAAAGATGATTTTTTTGATGACCATGGTAATGCTGTTGTTTCCAAGTATTAAATAGGAGATTGAACTTTTTATGTCAGTTTTCTTCTCGGCAAAATACATTTTTTTTTGTTCAGTGTTAAGTATTGATTTGTGTATTCATGAGGTGTTCAAAGTGTAGAGTAATAAAAACCACGTCACTTTTTTCCCTCCATACAAGTTTTAAAATCTGTTTTGATAAAATGGATTAAAAGTCATTTGACTTAATTAAGAAATAATTTGTTCATCCGAAGTACCATTACAATTTATATACAGTCATGTACAATAATGGTTTCAAGTATATTCTCTCTCTCTTCAGAACATATTAAAAACAAATGAATTGCTAATAATGCTATGCACATATTGACATAAGTTAATGGGCAGAGTAGTCTTTGAATTTCAATTGATTCTACTCACTTTTTTTATTACGACAGTTCACAGAAAAATTGGTAGCTGACCATATGAGCATAGGGATTCTTTTGTAAAGAATACGATATTTGATGCGAAAGGTTCATAAAGAAAAAAATATTTTATTCTACACATGCTTCTACCCCCAAACTTTAGAACTACAGGTATCAATCAAATGTTTACCTGGCCACACCTGATTAACTAAAGCTGTGTGTGTGTGTGTGGTCATTAGCTGTATACAGAGGTCTCTGACCTCGGATGCAAAAATAAACATCTTTATTGGTAAATGATTATATCATTCACCTTCCTTATTAAAAACAGGTTTATTACAAATCCAAGGGAAACAATAGGCCACAAAGGTCCCCAGAGCTGAATTGCTCTAAAAGAAATCTTTAAGACTTAAGCCTCCTCCCCCCATATGGTCCCACACTGGTCCCAAGGACCTTTAACTGGATCATATTTAAATAAATGTAACAAATGAAAGGATGCTTTCATAGCATTTAATACTTAAAAGCCTTTGACTTTGGTGAACTTAAAGAAAAAAAGATTAAAATGTCTGGTTAAACAGTATAGGTCTCTCTGAAGTATAATTATGTACATGTACATAAAAAAGAGTTTAAAAGAAAGCTGAATAAAAAAAATGCCTTAAGAAGTATCCATGGGTAATACTGTTAATGGTATAGACTAGCTGACTTTCAGAGCTAGAAAATAAGTAAATGAACTGAGAACTAAAATTTGGTATTTCATGCATACACTTACATGAAAACAGATTTTGGGCTTTATCTGCTATACCATTTTTAAAGATTTGAAACTAAACATTTCTACAGAAATTTCAAAGAATATAAATTTTGAGCTCTTCAAGTTGATGATATATGTAAGTATTAGCTTTATCCTTTAAGGATAGTTTTGAATTAAACATCACAGTCTACAGACAGTTCAGAATTCTGGTGTGGAGAAACACTGCCTGAATATTTACAACCAATGAAGCCAGTTTTCCACACCGAGGTGATGTCCACCAGATGGAGCTGTGGGGAGTAAAACTTCAGCATACGACTAGTTGTGGTGGAATTGTCTGCTATCAAGTAGTCACTGTGCTTGTAGTCCTCTTTGACTTGGTAGTACCTTAGGGCAGTGGTGAAGTTTCCAATCATAATGTAGCTGTTCCCAGTGTCAGGGTCCTCACTGACGGATCCCTGTTCACAACTGCCATTCACTGTGCCTTTGACATTGTAGATGATGTCACCTAGGATGAGGTGACTGGTCGGGGAGACGTATTGGAATTTGAAGATGATCTTGTGAGTTTTAGAGGTCATTGAAGATGTTCCAGAGCAAGATGGGTCAGATGAGACATGTACCTCACTATTTCCATTCATTTCTATATTGAAGCAGTTCATAGTTTTGTTATAATTGGGAATAATTTTTGTGACTTGGAGATATTTTCTGTCATTCGAGAATTCCAGGGTGATAATGATGGTGTTGTGTCTGTGGCGTAGGTCATGAATTTCAAACAGACGCACCCAGTGATCTTCTGATGGAGAATTTTGGTCAGTTTTATTACCAATGTCCAAGAAACCAATGTTTCCATATATTCCAGCTCGCTGAAAGTAATGCTCATCTATATACTCTCCTTCAAACAAGGACTTAGGTTTCTGAAATTCTAAAAATTCACTGTGCTTCCAAGTGGTTTGGGTGAAGATGAAAATTAGACCCGAGCCCAAGACTAGAAGAGTTAGCCCCAGGAACATGAAAAATCGGATAACTGGATGCTTTTGTCTTTTACAGTCTACATTTTTTGTGCCCTTGCTTTTGATGACACACTGAACCTCTTCCGATCTTCTGCGACAGGCAAACACAATGCCAACAAAAAGCCGCATAATGGCCCCCAGAATAACCACAGAGGCTTTACCAAGCTGAAAAACACTGATGGCCTCTTCTCGGCAAGCTAGGATCACAAGACTTATCGTGATTTGTGGAATATCCTCAAACCAAATCACCACAGCAGAAGCTATGTCCATATCCACCCAAGGAACCCCAGAGAAAATGTCCTTCCCAAAGTTTATTATTTCAAAAGTAAAAATCACAGCACCGACAATGGAGAAAAATAGAAGGGCAATGCGAACACTTTCCTCCGTGGGTCCAAAGGCCAATCCCTCCTCAGCAGCCGCTACATCATGGTATAAAAGCCAGTCGTTTGTTAAGTCAGCAATGTTTAAACCGAGCATAATGAGGAAAACAAAGATCTGCACTGCTCGGTTACTCCTCATCTGAACGTACACTTTACCACAGCAATTTTTCCCCATGATGGCTTATCGGAGGTTCTAATTTTAATAAATCGATCTAAAATGAAAGAAAAAATGGTTGCCAAATTGATTGTTCTGTCACAGATATGCTAATTTATAATGTGTGTAGTCATGCCATTTTGGTTTGTGTATCACATGTGTGGTTCAGTACAAAGTCCTTGCACATACGAAATTAATTTTTGAATATTTAATTAAATACAGTATATATTTTTTCCAGCTTATTAGGGCATTGAAATAGTCAACATGCTTTCAGTTTCATAAATACTATCATATATAGCATATGGCAGTCAAAACAAAAGAAGTATGGATCAAGACTTACCAGTTTACACAGTTCACATATGGATCCAATTTTGAAGTGCCCTCACTTATTTACAACTAAAAACTAGTGCAATATTAAGTATTTCCTCTTTGTGTATTCACGCCTCGGGGCTAGTGTATTCTGTTCCAAGCTAAAAAAAAAAAAACCAAGCCAATCATGACTCACTGACAAGCATAGAGTATCGTGCTATTTTTAGGTCTGAAGGTCAATGCTGTCGGAACTGCTGAAATCCAATACCTATAGGGCTCGCCTTCAGATTTCAGTTCTATTTTAACAACAGGGTGACATTTCTTTTAGGTCGCCTAAGGTTCTAGATATCTGACTGATTTGGGAGAAAATTGTGATTTTATTGATTTCTTTGTTTGATATTGCTTGTATAATATTGCATACCTTTTGATGAGCAATATGTATCAAGTGTGCTATATTACATAATATTTTTTAATTTTTTTTTTTTTTTTTTTTTTTTTTTTGCAGCAGAGAAGTTGTCCAAAATTGCCAAAGAAAGATATGAAAAAGCAAAGGTAAGGAAATAAAAAAGATGATGGATAATTTTGTAAAATAGAGTAAAATATATTAAAAGCTTCCATTGTTTAAAATTAAATTACTGGTAATTGTGTCCAATTGCTGCATTTTGTGAATTTATTAACCAATTAAGGACTGACACATATAATTCTGTCTTTTTGTTTTCTATATATCTTTTCATTTGTGAGAGATTAGATTGTAGGAAGTTTGTATGGTATTAGCCATGTCATTCTACAGTTAAATATAAGTGTAGCATGTCAGTGCTCTGTAGCTATAATGTACAGTTTGGTTTGTTCAGGCTACTCATTTGCTTGAGTCAAGTGTACTGCACAATGTACCGAAATTTCAACACTTTCTCGATACTTACATTGCAAAGGCAGACCCCCAGTTTAAATTTTTTTTGAAGTTTTTTGTATTATCCTAAAATCAAGGAAAAAACACCTCTTATTTGTAAGAATTCATCAGCTTCCGTGGGCTTCCCCTGACCCCCACCAAGGCTTTGCCCTAGACCCACTGGGGGTTTCAATGCAGCCCCCAGACCCCTGCCTTCTACTGCACCCCCCCCTTCTCTCGTCATGAAATTCCTGGATCCGCTACTGCATTGCTCCTATGATGTGCAGTGTGCACATTTTAATAATTCACTGATGATTTACCCTTACTTGCAATTAAAATTCCTCAAAAAACACAGAAAGAAATCTCTACATATGGAAATGGGAACATAAAAGGTAGGGACATAAAGTATGGGTAGGGAGGCAATAAAGTTTTTTGAACATGAATAAAGTCACGTGGAAAATACAAACCCCTAGAATCAAAGGTATGTATAAGGTCAAACCTATAATGTGTGAAAGAGTTTGTTTGCTACTGCCCCCCATTTTCTTTGTAATATCTTAAGTATTGACTGGATACCCTTCTCCAACTCAAGAAAAACATCCAAGATTCTCATTCGTTGTAATTCCTGAAAATGATTTACATTTCTCAGGAATAAATAAATCTCATTTTTTTAATCAGAATTTTCTTCTCTAAAATACAAGTCCCCCCCCCCCAAAAAAAAGAAAGAGTACTATGAACATGTACCTGCTAGATAGTAAGAACATTAACTAATCAATATTCAGTAATCAAAAATTCATCAATTAATTGTATAAATTTAAAGCATTTAAAGAATGTGGTCTATATACATATATGAAGAGACTAATAAACTCTTAGTTAGCTAAAGCTCAAGATAATTTATTTCATGACACCTTTTCTGCCCCTGTCACTGTTTCCACATGCAGAAATTTCTTTTCATGCTTTTTTGTAGAATTTTAATTGTTGAAAGTGTGGAAATCTTGGTGTACACATTGTACTCTTTACTTCAGTAATGAGTAACCTGACAAAGCAATCTGTGAGTACATGTATTGTATCTGACATTCTACATTTACTTTAAATGAAGAATGACATGACTGATATCGACCATTGTAGTATTGGTCTTGTTAGGTACAACTGTACTAGGTAATATAAAAGTTTTAAACATTTTGATTATTTATAAAAAGTACACCCATATATAAAAAATTATTCATTGCATAGTTTAATAAGCTTAATTAATTAATAGCTTAATTAAGAGCATGTGTACAAGAGTATAGAAGATTCTTTTGTATTTCACATGATTTTAAAAGCTTTGTAACTTTAACTTCAGGGAAATGGTCCTGAGAGACTTGTGTCAGGTTCCGATGATTTTACTTTGTATCTATGGCAACCTGAGGAGGACAAGAAACCCGTGACCAGGATGACCGGTCACCAGCAACTGATTAATGATGTTCGGTTTTCTCCCGACACCAGACTTGTAGCCAGTGCCTCGTTTGATAAGTCTGTCAAACTATGGGATGGAAAAAATGGAAAGTATGCATATCATTTGAAGTTGTTGTAAAATGTGTTGATGTAAAATAAGTTGAAATTTATTGAGAAAAAAAAAACAGAATGAATTTGTTTAGAGGGAAAATTATAACTTTAATTACACCATGTATAATGCAAGGAATTTCATTTTTTTTCTCTATATTTTAAAAATGTTATTCCATTATTGTAAGCCTAATTTTTGTTTGAGAGATACACAGTATTTAGTGAATACTTCTAGCAGGATATTAACAGTTAATTTGTCTGTCTATTTCTTTAGGTTTTTGGGGACATTCCGAGGTCATGTGAACCGAGTGTACCAGGTCACCTGGTCAGCTGACAGCCGTTTATTGTGTAGCGGAAGTTCTGACTCCACCCTCAAAGTCTGGGACGTCAAACTGAAGAAACTATTAATAGACCTCCCGGGGCATTCTGATGAGGTATACAGAGTTATCTTTCTTGCCTTATCTGGGAGACTTAATTCAATTACAATCTACTCCGTAATATGTCTTCCCTTGAAATTTTGGAGGTTCCACCCTTTAGAATATTTTTGATACATCTCTAAAAAAAAAAAAAAAAAAAAGAAGTTAGATTTTGGCAGACTCGATTCAAAATTTGATCAGTCACTTATTTGCAAGAAGATCTTTGAAATTTTGCATGACACTGCCTTTTGTTGCATATCAGAACTGATTTTTGATGTTTTAAGATTTTCAAATTGATTGAAACATGTTAATAAAAGACTGTATCAAGTGATCAAAAAAGGGTAACCTTTGAGGTTTATCATCATCATTACAATGCGTGGGCTTTCTGACTCTGGGTACAGCTAGATGTGTCACATCAGCTGACATTTTATCAACCAGACACAAACATTTTGTTCATCTGTGTAGGGGGTAAATATCATTTGATTTGTCAGCAGCTGTGATGTTGTAAAAATAATTTGTAATTATTTCAGTGTGTCACTGGTGGGTCAAATTAATAATTTTATGTTTTTAGCTCACCTGGCCAATACCCAAAGGCTCAAGGATATAGTCTCATAATTATGCAAGTCTATCTGCTGGTGAAAATTTCATTCTTGTAAATATTTGTGTTATTAATCGTTATATCTAACAATTAACAAAATTTGGAAAAAATTTCTCTCACTTATGAATACCAAATAACTATCATGTGATAGGTGATCTGCAGTATCCATGAGGATCTGGTGGGGCCACAATTGAGAGTCAAATTTATTCAGAAATATATAGGAAAACTTTTAAAAACCTCGTTTAGAAAAACAGTGCCATAATTATTCATAATTCATGTAATATATATTAAGCATCTTCATGTACATGTAGTAGAGAATCATTTATGTATTGTGGCTTGTGAGACTAGGGTGGGGCCACAATTGATAGTCAATATTTAACATAAGAAAATATGGAGAAAGAAAAAAGAAAAGCAGGACCACAATTAATCATATTAATATGGAAGCATTTTCATATGCTGGGTATTGTGAATTTAAAATTTTCTCAAACCATGGTCCCCAGGGTTAGGTTGGTACTTTGATAGGGGATATTCGTGAAGTGTAGATTCAATTTTTTAGGTCATCTGAGTTTACTCAGGTGACCTATTGCTATCTGTTTTCGTCCGTTGGTGTGCGTCGTCTGTCTTGCGTTAACATTTGAACGTTTTCAGCTTCTTCTCTGGAACCACTGAACCAATTTCAACCAAAGTTGGCATATAGCATCTATATGTGAAGGGGAGTAAAAATTGTGAAATTCATGACCCCTACCCCCCTGGGGTCTGAGGGGTGGGGCTAAAACCATCAAAATTAATGCAATCTTTAAAAATTTTCTTCTTTACTCCTGGACATCAAGCAGGCAAACTGTTGGCATGAATGTAATAACCATTGAGCCTTCTACCTAAATTGTGAAATTTATGGCCCCAGGGTCAGGGGTTCTGGTGCTAGGATGGGGCTCTGTTGAATATGTAGTGAAAATGCAGTATTCTTAAAAATCTTCTCCTCTGCTCTTGGGTATTAAGGAAACAAACAATATGCATAGTTATGATGAGGAAAGGTGTCTCTTCTAAAATTGTGAATTTCATGGCCCCAGGGTCAGTGGTTCTGGTGTTAGGGTGGGGATCTAATGATTATATAGTGAAAATGCATTGATTATTCAAAAATCTTCTCCTCTGCTCCTGGGTATTAAGCCAATGAACTAAGTACATAGTTATGATGAGAAAGAGTGCCTCTTCCAAAATTGTGAATTTCATGGCCCCAGGGTCAGGGGTTCTGGTGTTAGGGTAGGGTTCTGTTGAATATATAGTGAAAATGCATTATTTCTTTTAAAAATCTTCTCTGATCCAGAACAAACAAACTGAATGCATAGTTATGATGAGTAAGGGTGCCTATTCCAATATTGTGAATTTCATGGCCCCTGGTCAGGTTCTGGTTTTAGGGTGGGGCTCTAATGATTACTTAGTAAAAATGCAATAATTCTTTGACAATCTTCTCCTTTTCTCCTGGGTATTAAGCCGATGAACTACCGGTAAGAGTATAGTTATGATAAGGGTGCCTGTTCCAAAGTTGTGAAATTCATGGCCCCTGGGTCAGGGGTTCTGGTATTAGGGTGGGCTTTGTTGAATATATGGTGAAAATGCATTATTTCTTTAAAAATCTTTTTATTTTGATCCTGGGTATTTAACAAACAAACTGATGCATAGTTTTGAGGAGTAAAGGTGCCTCTTCCAAAATTGTGAATTTTATTACCCCTGGGTCAGGGGTTTTGGTGTTAGGGCAGGGCTCTAATAATTACATAGTGAAAATGCATTAATTCTTTGATAATCCTCTGCTCTCTTTCTGGGTATTAAGAAAGCTTACTAAATGTAAAATTATGATGAGCAAGTGTGCCTCTTTCAAAATTGTGAATTTCATGGCTTCTGGTTTAAAACATTAATCCAATTTAATTGTGGGGAAGTTGTTGCATGATACTCAGGTGACCTATGAGGCCCGTGGGCCTCTTGTTTTTATTTGTCATACCCTTGGATAGGATGGGGCCCAATGTAAGTTCAAATTTGGACATATTTTGGAAAAATCTTGTTTCTCAGAAACAAATGGCCACAGTTAGTCGTATACAAATATCTAAATGTTGTATAGGATCAGTTTTGCTGAAACATGGTCCCTGGGTAGGGTGGGGCCACAATAATGGTCAAAATATAACAGGGAAATATATACTAAGAAGAAATTTATAAAAAGCCTTTTCTAAAGAAGAGCAAGGTTATGATAAGTCAAATACAGGTGACTCTCAGTACTTCAAAGTCTACAGGACCATAGAAAAACTTCCAAGAGATCTCGAGATTGATGTTTGAAGGTTTACCTGTAGTTACGTATCCCCCATGTTGTTTAGTTGCATATTTTTTCTAATTGTGCCCATAAGGCTAGGAATAGACCATGATTGGGAAAGTTTTATTTTAAAAAATTGGTATTGACATTCACAAGAACTAGATGATTGCAATTTGTAAAGTTGTCATTAAGCCTCAATATATATGTGAAGTAAATTCAAATTGTTGAAATATTGCATCTTGTTTTGATTAAAAGAACACCTAGTATGGAAAGTTTTTCATAGCTATGGCATACATTGTTTTTAAACATTGTTTATGAGATGAATAGGTACATGTATAGTCCTTGATCATCATTACTTAGAGAATAAGTACATGTAATTCTGTGGAGTATGACTTCTGTAAGTATGATGTACTCTAATTTTTAGCTCACCTGAGCAAAGGCTCAAATGAGCTTTTTTGATCGAAATTTGTCCATTATCTGTCATCATTGTTGTTAACTTTTCACATTTTCATCCTCTTCTCCAAAAGCACTGGGTCAAATTCAACCAAACTTGCCACATAGTATCTTTGGATGAAGGGGATTCAAAGTTTTCAAATAAAGGGCCACATTCTCTTTAAAGGGAAGATAATTAAGGATAAAGGAAAATTTAATTTCATCTTTCAAAAATCTTCTTCTCAAGAACACTGGGCCAGAAAAGATAAAACTTAAGTGAAAGCTTTATTACATAGTGTAGATTCAAGTTTGTTCAAATCATGACCCCAGGGAGTAGGGTGGGGCCACAATCGGCATTCAAAGTTTTACATAAAAATATATAAAAAAGAAAACTTTTAAAATCTTCCTCTCAAGAATGGCAAAGCCATGATTAGTCATATTTATATGGAAGCATCCTCAGGTAGTATAGATTCAAGTTTGTTCAAATCATGACTCCTGGGGGTGGGATGGGGCCACAGTGAGTGATCAAAGGTTTACATAGGAATATGTAGAAAAATCTTTATCTCAAGAACAGCAAAGCCATGATTGGGCATATTTGTATGGAAGCATCCTAAAGTAGTGTAAATTCAAGTTTGTTTAAATCATGACCTCCATGGTAGGGTAATACCACAATATGTGATACAATATGTTTTATATAAGAATATTTGGAGGAAAATCTGCTGATGAAGAATAGCAGGGCTATTTGTGAATCAGGTGAGCATTGTGGCCCATAGGCCTCTTGTGTAGTTCTTAGTATGTTATGGCAGTGCTTATGATTTGTTTTAGGTGTATGCTGTGGATTGGAGCCCTGACGGACAGAGGGTGGCTAGTGGGGGCAAAGACAAAGTCCTCAAAATGTAAGTCTAATAATGGGAAATTTTGGTGACCATTTTGTAATTCTGGTTTTATTAGTGATGGTCTTGGCAACATTAAATATAAATGTTACTGATAATTCAATCAAAAATATTGTCTGAGAAAGTAAATAGAGTTATCCCTAAAATTTTCTGTAATACCAGTTAATAAATGCCTATCTTTTGGATCAAATTACTGGATTTCCCAGCTGCTAAAATAATCCATTATATGGCCAATCAAGACGGTAATCATTTGTTGTTTTTTCATGTACACAATTTATGAAAATTTGAAGAATTAGAGAGAGAGAGAGAGCTGTAAAACCAACAGTAGAAGATTTTATGACTTTTTAGCTCACCTGAGCCAAAGATATATAAATTTGTCGGTAAACAAGTTTTGTTTAAAGAATGGTTTATATCTAAAAGCAAACATGTAATTATACAGCACCCCCTCCACAAATGAATTTTGGGGGGTTTATAGGAATCACTTTGTCCATCTGTCCATGCAATCTTGTAAGAAATGTGTAGAAAAGAGAAATTCTGTGGCTGGGTAGGGGCTTGAGATGCAATGTAATATGTAAGACAAATTCTTTCACATCCTTTTCAACAGCAAAGTTACAATATTAAATATATGAGCAATCCTGTGGAGTGTTGTTTTGTTTGGTTTAATCTTAATACCCTGGCATCACTCAGTATGCCGAAGAAAAATGTGATAATAACAAAAAACACAACAAAAATTCCAATGAAGTACAGCATGCAGCACTTGAATTGGTCAGTTCAGTTTTTATTTTAAGATTCATTTAGGAGTGTGAATTCTTCATGTGTGTTAAAATTGTATACCCAGGGCCATTTAGGGTTAGTATTGAAATAAGTCAAAATTAATGCACATGTTCTACATTTGTTGTAACTGAAGTAATGAAATAACTGGATTTGAGATTGATTAAATAATGACTTATTAATAATATTATTATATTATAATAACTATATTAAGGATGAGCCCAAGAAGGGGGTCAAAGTGGGATTTTAAATAGCAAAACATAGATAAAGTCCTATCAAGATCAGCAAGGCTAAATGCATATAATTAGACTGATATGCAAACCACCATACATGCTCATGTAGAGTAGATTAAGTTGACTGAATTGAAGACACCCTTGCCATGATCAGAATTAAGCCACTGAATGAGAATAAGATTTGTATACATGTAAGATTTTCCAAAGAAGAGCAAGAGTACCTTTTCTCAAATCAAAATCATGTAAACAGCTTTGACCCTCAAGGTCCATGAGCCTTTTGTTATAAGACATAGGTTATTGTTCTATGTAATCTTTAGCACTATAAATATACACAAAAATTAAATTTTTGTGAGCAGTTATAATTATGCAGAAATAAAGTTCTCATGAATAAAAAGTGATTTACAGTATTGTAACTCATTTCCTGTTGTTGAAATGTGCTGTGAAGTCCATTTTATAACTGCAGTCGTGATAGGGCCACACCTGCAGTGGTCTGAATCTACGGATAGGTTTATTTATTGTTTAGTCGGAAAAGTATTTGGGGAAAAGCAACATTTTTTTAACCATGTTAGGATTGCAAATTGTCAAATTAATACCGGTATGTAATAACATTTTTAAGTGTATCTTCAGATAAAAAGTGTGAACAATTTGTTTTTAGAAAAACCCATGGAATTGATAAGATTGAAATTTAATTTGATAATAGCAAATTTTGTAAGCATACAATTTCATAGAATTTCTTGGAGCAGTGAGTGTCCAGCTGTAATTTAGTCCAGCTGTTCCTTGGACTTCCATTTTCTCATGAACTCATCTCATGAGTGCAGGAAGATCTGACCATTTTACTGCTAACTGCAAAACTCAATTATTCTCCTTGTCTTCTCCAATCTGGTTGAGGTGACACTAATTACAGCAAAAGTGTCTGTCTCAGACTGAACTTCGGGGATTCTCTGTGCTTAAAAAAAGTCTACAGGGTGTAACAAAGGTTGAGGTGACATTTACTGCAGGTCAGAAACAGCCAACTTCACATTTACTGCCATTTTATGTCACTATAGTGATTTCAGGGCCCCTGTTTTATGGGCAAAGAAAGGGGGGAAGGAGATTAAGTTCAAATTGCTGGGTATAGTTTATTATCTATCAGCAAGGTATTAAAAGAGACACAAATTATATTCAGATTTATCAATGCCCAGGCATTGAGGTAGGCCAGGAACTTGGTTCTCAATGAAAAAAAAATTGACCAAAAAAAAAAATTAAAAAAAAAATGGAGGATTCTAGGTAAGGCAGGATTGTATCTCTTTTCAATGTGGCATTCATCTTTGTTCAAAACAGGTAAATGCCTCATTTGTCATTGGGAAGAAAGTGAATACATTATATCCGTAACATCCTATGGTCTGACCCATTGCTTTGAGGCTATCACCTCTTTTCCTTTTCAACTGCAACATTTTGACCCCTCAGAAAGATGATGGCATTTATTTGAAGGTTAACTGTTTCCTGTATTGCAGCATTTGTAAACCACATTAAAAAAAAACAATTCAACAGAATTAAAACTCTGCCATCCTGTGTGCAGTCCACCAAAATAAAATCTGATTTTTGGCATTCTTTAATATGTTATTTAAAGCATATATAAGATGTTTTGAAAGGAATGTTCCGGTTAAATATCCTCTCTTTTTTTCGTTGTTTGTAATTGAAATGGCTGAAGACGGATGACAGCTGATGAGGTTTTATACCTGCTGGCAGAGAAAAAGCTCGACTCTTTACTTGTAGTTTCACTTTGAACATCACAGATTTTCACCTGATCAAAGATGTGTCTCTACTTTTGATCATAACATAGAAAGGATAGTGTCTCTCATCCTGCCCTGCTATCATTCAGTCAGTGACAAATAAAAGATGTTTGTGTTGCATCTGTTTGTCCTACAGATAATGAGAAACTCTTAGATTTACGTCCTTTTGCAAAACACTTTCGCTAATCAAAGTTATGTACTATATGTAGAGATTATATGTTTTGGGATATATCTGCAGTGAATTACATATCATAAAGAAAAATTGATTGTGTTATCTCATAAAATTTCACTTTTTTTCAGATGGAGAAAGTAATGAACTGAAAGAAGAAAAACATGCTGAATACATAATTTTATGTACTGTGATATCAATGGGGGAAAAATAAGAATAAAATAGCTAAAAAATTATATATTTTTTTTCTGTTCTGTATATAATTTGCAAGAATTCATTTTCAATGATGGAAGTGAATTGGTCAGTCAGTTTGTAGAGATTTTTTTTTTTTTTTTTTATCAGAGTACATGTATTTGGGAATACTTCCTGATTTTACAAATAAATTACACTGTATTCAAAGTATCACCATGCTTATAAATAAGCATATGCATTGTGCCACTTTGATATGGGGAGAGTTGAATTGACCAGCTATCAATGTTATAATAGTTGGGCATGTAAATAAATTCTGTGAGTCTGAAATTATGCAATGGAATTTGGACTCATCTCATTTTCATCAAATTTAAATACTTAGGGGAATATAAGTCAACTAATCACAAAAGTCTTGTGAGCAAATGGATGAAAAGACATTGATCCTCCACCAGATAAAAATGAAATGTGTGTAGGCAGGGAATAATCTGTAATATTTTTTTCTGTATAAAAATTGAATTATTCTGGATAATGTTACCAGTATGGAATGGCATGAGATTGTCAGGTGAAGTGAGTGCATTGATTGTTCTAAGAAAGTGCATGTGCATAATTCTGTAAATTCCTTTGTACCAGACTTGGTTTAAATTATTGGAAAGACCCCGGGATAATAGTGAGGAGAGGATTAGATGTATTTATAGGCTTTGGATCTTAAGCGGATTCATCTAAAGGATGTCCCAAGTGTCAGATGTACAACTTCAGCAAAATAAAAAAAGACTATTGGTGTGATCCCAGCTTAAGGTGAGTGTAGAAGAAAGTCAAGCCAAGCAATTAAACACTCATTAGAAGTCAGCACTCAATGGCCCTGGGGTCAGGGAAGACGGAGAGTACAAAGTAGGTTTGATGTGAGCTGACATGAGCATTTATAAGTAATTACATTTAAAGGGGGGGGGGGGGGCTTAAAATAATGCTAAAGTAACAACTATAATATTTGATGTCGATACTGGACTGCAGTTAAACAAGACCTTGTGAATTTAACCCTAGGTCAGTTTTGTTACGTCATATATTGTCACTGCATACATTCACTCCAGGGGCATTTGAAGAATCTGAATATTATCTGGTAAAATGTTAATTGTTTAACACGTAGGTTCATAAACTTGCGTATGACTGTACTCCTGGAAGTGACGTGTACTCCTGGAAATATTTGTTTATTGGCAGGGTACAGATATGCTGTCGCCTGTAGCATCTTTATCGCTTTTCAAAGCGGGGTAAATCGAGAAACGTATGTGGGGGGAGGGGGGGACGAAAGAGTAAAGGCATGTGTTCATACTAATATCAAAAGACTACGCTAAAAAAATGTTCCCAGCACACCCCTACATATTACAATGTATATGATTTCTAACTTTTCCTGATTTTGACTTGAATACGCCGTACCTGGCTTAGAACAAAGACCTTTTGAAAAAGATACTTCTGGAAAACTCTCTCTTTCTCAGAGAAATCCTCTTTCTAATAAACCGGAGACAGGCTTTGTCTCCGCTTGAGATTGAACCCACGGGTGATTGGGGACGGGACGCACCCCCCCCCCCCTGCGTTCCGTACCCCAGGGGTTCTTCGACTTTTATTTTTATAAAATATTTTTCTATGACACATTCACAAAGTATTACTATTGAAAAATCCAAAATATGGTCTAAAACTAACCTTTTATAAAAAGAAATCACACTCTGATAATTGAGTTCTCTCAGCCCCCCCCCCTTTCCACCCCCCAAAAAGGGTTATTGTCCAATCTCGAAAATCCCATTTCGTGGGGGTGACTAGGTCCCAACTTTCGACAAGATTTTTTTAAAAATACATTTATAATATGGGAAGATCTAACTATGTACTGCAACATAATAAGTTGGAGGAGGGGGACAACCGGCCTTTCAATGAAAATTTCCGTACTAAATTAACACTAAAACATTATGTTAAGAAAAAATGGGGGGCTTCCTACTCCCTGACATGCCTGAAAAATGCGATGGGGAAAGTTAGCATATATTATCGCTGGCGATATTGTAAGCAGGGCGACAATACATGCATGTCGTAACAATCTAATGTGTGTGGAATAAGAGCTTCCAATATTTATTTGGCACAAAATTCAACCCGGGCACAAATTTACGAAAGCCTATTAGGATCAAACTACGGTAAAAAAAATTTAAAAGGCGTTATAACGCCTTTTCAAAAGGCGTTATAACGCGAAAAAAGGCGTTATAACGCGAAAAAAGGCGTAATAACGCTTTTTGAAAAGGCGTTATAACGCGGAAAAAGGCGTAATAACGCAAATAAAGGCGTAATTACGCCTTTCCAAAAGGCGTTATAACGCGAAAAAAGGCGTTATTACGCCTTTCCAAAAGGCGTTATAACGCCTTTCTAAAAGGCGTTATTACGCCTTTCCAAAAGGCGTTATTACGCCTTTCCAAAAGGCGTTATTACGCCTTTCTAAAAGGCGTTATTACGCCTTTCTAAAAGGCGTTATTACGCCTTTTAAAAAGGCGCCTTTCCAAAAGGCGTTATTACGCCTTTTTAAAAGGCGTTATTACGCCTTTCCAAAAGGTGTTATTACGCCTTTTAAAAAGGCGTTATTACGCCTTTCCAAAAGGCGTTATTACGCCTTTCTTAAAAGGCGTTATTTCGCCTCTTTCTTTTTCAATACATGACTTACTTAGCCCACCCTGGGGGCTGATTATAATTAGATTTCTAGGAAAAAAGATTTTTAAATGTGTAAAATATTTTCAGTGTTAAACCAACTTAGTCCTTCTCTGATGCCAGACGCTTCTACCAAGGTGTATGGATTTCAGATATTTTGTTGAAGGCTAATTGCTCGATCATTATACCAATGCAAATACTTTGCCTGTTTTTTACCAAGAGGAGAGAAAAATATTTCAAATTTGACATGAATTTTTAATACGTGGCTAGCAAAGCCCAAAGCTGGTTCTGCCTATATCCTTGATTTTCAAAAGTAGAGTGTTGACTTCTCTTAAGGACATACGCAACGTACCTTACCTACTGATAATTTTTCAAGATATTCTTAATTTAAGATTATAGTGCCATCAGATGTTCGTAGACAAAAAATCAGCAGGCATTACCAGGGGTTTTGAAAAGATATCAATTGATGAAAATTTCCGTATAATTCAAAGAAAAATATACAAAAATTACTTAACATATATTCTAGATGTTTTGTTTGTTAAAACTTCTTTTAGAAGAAGTGTACAATAGCATATATAGACATTAAAATGTAGCACACATTTCCTTTAAGTTTTGGAACTCTTCAACTCCAGGGAAAAAGACAATAAAGTTCAAACTACGTTGCGTATGTCCTTAATATGCATGCAAAATGCAAACAACTGTCTGCGAGATGTGCAGGAATATAGAAAATACTATAATTTATAATATAATTTATAATATTAAAACTATAATCTAAATATTGCATAAATAAAGATGGCTTTGGTTCAATCTTTCATATATTTACTATTTTAAAATAACGCCTTTCCATTTTTGGATACAACTCCTTTTCAAACAGGCCGGTAGTACGAATGTGAGTGGGGGGAGGGGGGGGTTCCCCCACCCCACTTTTTGGGAGAATAGTCTTGCTATAGTTTATATATAAAAAATCATTAATTGATTGCTTGGTCCCTTAACATTTTGTTGCAGTATGGTTAAACTCGGGCAAGTCATTGCATTTAAAAAAAGTTTTACCGAAAAATTAGAAAAAGTTTCCCCTCAAGTTTAGGCAGTTTATTTTTTTTCGGGAGGGGGGGTTCTTGTTTTTGTTTGCTTGTCAATTTTATGGGAACCCCCCCCCCAACTTTAAAAGCACGGGCCTGTCAAAACATAATAATGGCCCTTCAAAAGGCATAATAACGCCTTTTTGAAAGGCGTATTAATGCCTTTTAAAAAGGGGTAATAACGCCTTTTCAAAAGGCGTAATAACGCCTTTTGGAAAGGCGTAATAACGCCTTTTGGAAAGGCGTTATAATGCCTTTTTAAAAGGCGTAATAACGCCTTTTGGAAAGGCGTTATAACGCCTTTTGGAAAGGCGTAATAACGCCTTTTGGAAAGGCGTTATAACGCCTTTTAGAAAGGCGTAATAACGCCTTTTGGAAAGGCGTAATAACGCCTTTTAGAAAGGCGTAATAACGCCTTTTGGAAAGGCGTAATAACGCCTTTTGGAAAGGCGTAATAACGCCTTTATTTGCGTTATTATGCCTTTTTCCGCGTTATAACGCCTTTTCAAAAGGCGTTATAACGCCTTTTAATTTTTTTTTTTTACCGTAGTTTGATCCTAATAGGCTTTCGTACAAATTAAATATTTCTTGGAAGTGGTCTTAAACTGACGATATTTCTTCAGTCAAGCTTTAACACATTCTCTCATTATGAGAATAAAGATTATGGCCCTTGGATTCATCAACGCATTGTTCACTCGTAAAAGGTTTTGATTTAACACTAATGATTTTACAAAAGAATTCTAATCCATAATGAAAATATACATAATTTCAGCATACCTTGCGGGAGCAAAATTTAACGGAAATGTTCTTAAACTTGACAGTTTTGTAAAGGAATAATACTCGTTTATAACTGTAGGAGTTATCTCTCCTATTAGAGGGTCGATGAACCTTAATATAATATACTCAAAACATGTATTCTACCAATGTCTTTGTCCTTGCCTAAGTGACATGGGTCACAGTTACTCCAGTCTGAAACTATGGCAGCCCTATTAAAAACTGCAACCCCCATATTTAACACCAATCATACTGGACAACCTCAGAAAAGCAGTCACTAGAGGTTGTACCTTACTTTTGAGGTTAGTACATGTTAAACGCCTTTTTAAAGGTTCGATACAATGTTCTTTTTCTGAAGTTAACAGTCAAATGCTACAGGAAGAGATGACTCGAAATAGAATGATAAATGAACTCAGCTTCCCTTAGGTCATATCCAACAGTTGAAATAATTACAGTATGTATGCAATACCAGTGAGCTCGATCAACATTAAATTTGCAAATGGAAGGGTTAGCTATTGATATCTATGATTAATTTTTTGGTTTACCACCAAAAGGGGGATATGCTCCTTCCCCTTTTTGAACTATTATGCAACTTTAATTTAAAAAAAAAAAATATCCATTTATTTTGATTTTAATATTGATGTTTAATTTTTATTTTAGTTGCCTGTCTCCCCCCCCCCCCCCCCACTCGAAGTACTTCGAAATAAAATGCTACATGTATGTAAATGCTTCAGAAAACAAAAATGTCAGTAAATTAATATTAAGCTTTATAGTATTAGAAATATGTCATATATCTTATATCACCTTTACCCTAAAACATTTTTTTTCTCTAAATATAGTTCTGTCGCCAACAGTTTAAAAAGCTTTATCAAATTGCTCTGCTTTAAAATAGGAGGTTGTAAAAAGTATTTTGGCAACGTTTACCAAAAAGTATCGAGGAACTGGTCGTAAAAATGTACATCCACTGCCTGTAGGAGGTTTCATAACTTAGATGACATTTTTCGCTAAATTCGTCCTGGCTTGTGACCCTACAGGTCATTAATTTCATTGCCAGAACAAGAACTCTCCAAAGAAGCGAAAATCAAAGCTGGTGGTCTACCTTTTTTTCCAAGATCTTCGTTTTTTATTGCGCTTTTACCACAACACGGAAATATAAAAGAAAGAAAAAACATGAATAAGGTCTCATTCAGACCTTATCTAAAGAAAAAAAAGTGAAGTTTTGAAAATAATGCAGACATTCAGAAAAACTTTATTTTTACATGTACGATGATTGCCGTGTATTTTGTTTTATCGATTTATTTATTTACTTTTTGTTATTGTATTGAAAGGGGTGGGGTGGGGCGGGGCTCAGGGGGCAGAGGCATTTAAACAATGTCAAAAGACTTTTCCCTATTGACGTCAGATATAATGCATGACTCTTAACTGCACATATAAATGCGCGTACAATCATAAATCCAAACCATACGCCATTGTTCCGAATTCCACATGTGTGCATGCATCGCCTCATAAATGATAGAATTTTATTTGTTGCCAATAATGTACTGAATACCCACATGATGGTAGTATGGGGGATCTACTTTTTTGTGACCTGCAAAATCTGAGAAAATTTTTACCGTTGGTCAACAGGTATATGGTACCCCCACCTTTTTTATGGTCTTAAATCACACCAATGTATTTGGTGCCCTTCCACTCGACATTGTCGGTTTTTGTACTGTACATTACTCTACCAAGGATTAAAGCATCTTGGGACCTCTTGAGCTTCAAACCTGCTACAGTGAAACTCGGTCATGTCGAAGTCCTATAGCGACCTGTAAATATACTTCGCTATATCTAGTTCGTTATATCGTTATATCCGTAAAACGAATTACATGTATAGCAATTTCACAATATATGTGTTTTCAAGTATGACTACCGAAGGAAACATTAAATACAAAACTTTACATTGGGGTACGAAAGTTTTCAGATGAATTGTATTTCAAATACTTTGGAAGATATTGTAAGTTCAATGTTAAGATGTTAACCAACACGGAAACAGAATCAGCTTTCTATATCTGTTATTAAATTCGTTCATTATATTAGAGTTCGTAACAACCGTAAAATTTCACAAAGAAGTGTAAAGAATTTCGCCGGGGATACCACAAAACTTCGCTTTATCCGTAAATTCCTATATTTGTACTAAAGGAGTTTTACTGTATATTCTGTTTTAAATATTATCAACGGAAGATCATGGAAAACTTTACATACTACATGTAATTTCTCATTATTTCTATCTTCATTACGATATAATTTGTGCTGGAGAGACAAAGCAAAGCCCCCCCCCCCCCCTAAAAAATCAGAGCAGTAATCAAGTTCTTGTCGATAAAATTGATAATCCTAGAAAAATCCAGCGAGTTGAAAATCCATGTACCTAATTTTTTTTTTCTACACCTAAGAAAGGATGCACATTAATCATTATAATATGAAAAAGAGGAATTTGATGACTTTCAATTTATTTATTTATTTTTTGTAACAAAATATCAGAAGTATCGACTGTGCAAACAAAACATTTGAGTATCGCGTGAAAATGTACTTAATTTAGGCACGTTTTTATTAGTGTATTTGTGGCGAATTTAAAACAAGATTTTCAATTTACATATTTAAACTGCTACAGTTAATGATCAATGATTTATTCCGCCCCAAAATCATAAAAATGTGTCCTCGCATTGATAAAGTAATCCAACCCATAAATCTATTTATGCATCGATAAAGTGGGCGGGGAAAACGTAGAAGTCACGTGATATATACTGAAAAAAAGTCTCTTTGATATACCGCCATAGTTTGTGTATTAAGACCGGATTAGCACGAGTTTTTGATAGTATATTGCCGATTTGTCCCTTCAAACTTCAGCTTTATCGCCAAAATATGTCTGACGAAGTGGAAACCGACGTTTTACGATGATTGCATGTGTTTTTCTGCTGAGTATCCTATTTTCACATGTTACTGGAAAGGATAAAGCAATATTGGAAATAGTTATGCATAAAAGTGATCGCAATGGAGTTTATACTACAGAAGTAGAAAAACTACTCGGTCATTTTACGACAGCAGGTTCCATGGTCAGTGCAGAGGGTGAAGTTTTCCAGGTAAGTCTGTGTACAATGTTATGTTAATGTTTCTAGTGCTTTCATTGTTATTACGAAGCCGACCTACTTACGAAAAATCAACACGCATTCTGTATATTTCCAGTGATTGTTTTTATTCAATGTGTGTGGGCAAAATAATTGTTTTTCTTTTATTACAAACGTGTTTTTCTGTGTTGTCTTGATGCTTTAAAAGTAAGACCATTCACAATATGACTACCCCCACGTGTATGCGATCTCTGAAATACCTACCTGAACGCTCCAAGATAAAAGGACTTTTGTTGCCTTTTACCTATCTGGATCTCCCCCTCCCTAAGTTTACATCTGAACAATTTAAGCTTTTAAAGTTTTTGGTTTCTCTACTTTCAAAGCATTTTTTTTTTCAAAGAAATTGTTTTCTGCTAACTTTACAGAGCTGACAATTGAAGATTTTTTTCCTAATGTAGAAATTATGCGAGTAGGGGACAGACCCATTATCTCAAGCATTAATCCATAACTTAATATTTGAACAAAAAGTGGAATCACCTTTGAAGTATGTGATATTCGAATTAAAATATTCAGTGCAATAAATTTAATTGACATCATATACACTGTAAAAAATTAAAAAAAAATATTCTGAGAGCATTGAAGCATTGCCTAATTTTTATCTCTGATTCCATAATAATAATATTAAGAAAGTTAATAAAAGTGAATTCTTCATTTGTCATAAAAAGAAAAAAATGCAAATTTTATGGCTTGAATTCTTGTAAAATTTCTCTCCTTGTCTGCCTATTTCTCATTTCAAAGATGGAACTTCTTACAAATATATGTCATGTGGAAATGCTAGAAAGTATGCGAGGTGTCACTCTTAAATAGGAGAGAAGCAGGATAAATAATATTCCCTCTGGACTACAAACCAGAAATATGACAAGTTTTATATATGTTGTCCTTTTAATTACAAGAAAAATAATTATTCTGATTAGCATATGTATTAAGTTTCTTTTCTTAAAAGTTGTCTTAGACAATGCATTAAAAAGGTATGGAGAATGCACAAACTGATGCATGTTCTTCATTCTTTAAAAATTACGTATGGTTAAAGTTATTAAAGCTCTCATCAATTTAATTGCTTTTACACATATTGGGTTTTTAAAATAAGCTTTGCTTATGTGTTGTTTTTGATAAAGGAAGACTGAACATTTGAAAGAAATTTATGACTTTATCATGCTTGCCATTCTTAACAATTCCAATTCATATCACAGCAACAAAAATGAAATGAAAATAAATATGAGGTTAAAAAATTGCAATAGCTCTCTTGGTTCATTGCATAATTCATTCAAGAAAGGAAATAAAATATGCAGAAAGTTATTTTACACACTAAACTGCCAATATAATGTCTTCAGTGGTTTATGGGAAAAAGAAAGAAAAATTGATGAAAGAGACAAGTTCGTCTTTGATGTTGATGAACCATGATAAAACCCAGGTAGAGAGGAAGATTATAAGTAGATAACGTTCAGTAGTAATATGTACATGTTAGACACAAGGGTTATAGATATAAGATGTAAGTATGCCTTAGTGGTGGACAATATGATAAAGAAATTGATGTCAATCACATTACATGCATATTTTTAGTGTCTCTTGTGGCACATATATGACCAATGGTTGGAAAGGACGAATAAGGGTGGGTGCTGGTGTTGCAAGTGTGTGAGGGGGTGAAGGGGGGTGCGGTTCAGAAATCAGTAAAGGGAAGTAATTATGGATAGATGGGATCTCAATGCTTTGAAATCACTGATAATTTATGTTATAAACATTCTGACAGAGGGAAAAAAGACCATTCTGCTGTACGTGTATGACAGTCCCAGTCAAAAGTATAGTCAAGATGAAAAAAAAATTGAAAGGCAAAATATATATTTAAAATCATGTTATTAAATAAGCACTAATGTCAAATGTAGTTACATGTGTTTGTAAAAAGAGTGCTTTCCTTTACCTCTGTCAAAGCAAGATATGAAAAAAAATCAAAGTTTTGGTGTTGGAACATGCTAAAAACACACTTACAATGAATTGATTTAAGACATAGAAAATATATTTTAAATTCTTAAAGTCATCTCAAAATGTTGACTCCATATTTGAAACAGGTTTGACCTAAATACAAGAAATTCTTTTAATATTCCCATTGATATGAATATTTATAAATATTTACTACATTTCAAATTTCTACTTTATCTTCGAGCAAAACTTGTTAAAAATGTTGCATGCATTCTTATACTGTGTCTGTACAATTCATACAATGAGTTTGAAACACTTGCAAGTAGAGATGCGCAAAGGTACTCTTGAGTAATGCAAAATTTTATTCAAGTTACATATTCATGTAAACATGTAATGCATGTTGCAGAAACAGAATAAAAGGGGGATAACTTTGTCTTAGATAAGATTAGATGCTTACCAGATCTACATTGTTATATTTGCCTTTTTACAAGTACAAACAATTTTGCTCTGTTTTAAATTCCCCCAGGGACAGTTTTGTTACAGAGTTTCTGCTGTCTAATTCAATTTGTCCCACTTGCAAGGAGGGCGAAAGGGGGGCAAAAAATGGGGGTAAAAATTTCCCTGTATACAGTATTTGATTTTTGAAACATCTTTAGATTCCAGTTGTTGTACTTTATAGGGATATATTTGTTTAATACAGTATTTTCCTGAAATAGCGCGGCTTATTCTTTTACTCCTTATTGGTGCAGAAACAGATAAATAAAGGGAAATAACTCTACCTATGAAGCATTTGAAAATGATGATTTGTGTATTTGAATGAATTTGGAACACCTGTTCATGTAGATGGTTGTACAAATATGTAGTTGTTCAGTGCAGCATTTTATTTTGTCCCCAAAATGGCTTTGTGCTGTACTATTTTAACATTAAGAGCAGCAGGTGACTTCATGTAAACAGGAAACCCCTGACACTCTATATCCTTCATGACATGTCATTTGATCTTCATAAAGCACTTTTGCTTCTGAACAAATAGAGAAGTGACACATTGGGAAAACGTTAATAAAACAGGCTTCATGATTTATTACCAGAAGTGTCTATTATGAAATTCTGGAGAGGAAAGTGGGGATGTGTAATAAGCATGATTATTTTCTGGGGAGGAAATGCATTGCATGCAAGGAATTAATGAAATGTTACACAATTCTTTACAATGTAAGATCTATAACAAACTTTATATACCTTTGATGTAGGAGATATATTTGTTTTCATCGCTTTAAAGCAAGGGATATTAATTTGGGACTGTCCATCTGTCTGTCATTCTTTTTAGTTTCTGAATGATGTCTCTAAAAAACCTTTACCTTTTGCAAAGACTTTTTTTTCTGAAACTTCCTATGAAATGTTTTCCAGATGAAAATTTAGTTATTAAGGTTTTTTGCCAATGAAACTTTAGGTGATGAGTCTCTCTAACATAAGAAAGACCCCTATTGATTTGGGGGCTTAAAGGTGAAAGGTCAAGGGCAAGTCTGTTTTACTGTCCTCATCTGCAGTTTTAGATCTTCTACCAACTTATTCTGTCTTTCAACAGGGAAGGTAAATTCTCTGACTTAACATGTTATATATACTTATATTTATATGCATGTAACTTAAATAAACATGGTCACTGTGTTTGAATGGGTTACTATTTTTAAAAAAAAAAGTGTATTTAATGAGTCAAAGGAGGGGGGAGGTATATAGATAAATATTACGTTGATGAAGGAAATTCCCAGTGGGAACAGTTAAACATTCATGAGACAAGAAATCTAAATGTCCTTAGTTGTGGATGCCATGGAATGTTTGTTAATGTTACTCAATCAGAGGGTCTCTACACATGTTGTCCCCCCAGATCTTTTACCCTTGAGAATCCAATTGAACGAGATTCTGGGGGGTTTTATCATACAAGGTTATCATCAGAAATGGGACAAGTGTTTATAATAATCCAGGATAGGATAGCACACAGTTTCCCATGTCTATCTTGTTTTGGCTATCAGCTAATATCTTGTTAGTAAACATGATAAAATGTTTTCTGGAGCATTCAAGATAAAGATTCTGGACTGCTTTCGGGGACTCCCAGTGGCCAAGCGGGAGGTTGCTTTGGAGTGGGACATCAAAGCCAAGGAAGGAAGGAGGACAAAGGTTGGGGAACATCTAATCATATAGGCTTCAGTTTAAAGCTGATACCTGAATATCATCCTTTTGAGGAAAAAAAATGGATTGTAGTCTGGTATTGACATATATTTCTATCCACTAAGAAGAGAAAGACCCTGTTGTTTTAGGTCATGACATGCTACATCCTTGTATGCATTGATACTGAAGGCCTGCATGTGCATGCATATATAAATATCTATTTTTGTTTTATACCTTATCCCTCTCCATTCATCTTTCTCTTAGGAGGTAAGATAATGTTGACCATATACTGTCATCCAAATTTTTGCATTGTTTCCAGTTGGTTGCTAGTGTTACAGGTGCTTAGTGATCTTGGTTTAACTGAATATTCAGAGAAGATGTAGCATGAATGACAAATTTGAGATCAATGTGCATCATGCCTCTTCATTTCTTCTGGTGTTTCTGCATCTTCTGCTTTGGCCATACAATGGTACTATTTGTCTCTTATTCCTGCTGACAAACCAATGGCTTGAACTCTGGACCATAAATTGTTGTGGATTCTTTCTGCCATCAAGGTAGCTAAAGGACTTCTTGCTCACAGCAGTCTCACAGCCAACAACTTGCTTTAGTCTCGTTCCTGTTTTTCAAGTGCTATGAGCTTAGTGGCATTGCTGTGAAATCTAAATATATAAGGCCAGAGTATTGAGTGTAATCATTTTTTGCAGGCTTCCAAATAATTCTACTGACACGAGAAGAGTCATTTCTGGAAATTAATTTTTTTTCCTGTGAGAATTCATTTTCCACCTCATGCCTTGATGATTCATTCAATGTAATGAATTTGAAATAGGATTTATTTTAAAATTGGAGATTGATTAATACACCTATTAGTTATCAAGATGGATCAA